CTGGTTTCCATTGCGCCCTGGATACAACAAATACTATTTGATAAATTTCAACCAAAAAAAACGTCATTTGGTGGGCCAGATTACAAACAGTGATATTTACACGAAAGAAAGCTACAAGTTTAATATCAGGCATAAAATTGCTGCATGATCAGCAAAAAAACACAGGAAAATTCCAATTCCATACCCAAATAACCATGGCAACCAAGTGTATAACTCCGTAAATAAGCGTATTTTGAACTGAGTGGGTTCATGGCGGAAACATCACTGACTAATGGTTTTATGTAGCTCGATCTGATTTGAATGTAGCTGTCCCTATAAGGGATTTCAGATGTAGGCTTACTGTCTGTGCGATTTTTCAACTTTCACGTCAAGAAAACACAACAAATTCTGTTAAGAAATTGCTATTTTCTAGCGTTGTAAAATTATCCACTTTTGAATAAGTCATCAACCCCCCACCTCCCCTTAAAGGTGGAGTTTTCATATGTGACAAACTGCTTTATCTTTATCCTGATGACCGCACCCGAAATAAACTGCCGAACTAGTTGGCTGCGGCTAGCAATTTCACATGCACTTATGGAGGCAGCTGAAACGGCTTCCATACACAATGTGTATCACCGCCGGACATAGCCGAGTAATTTAAACTCGCCCCTACCTGCTTCAGCCCCTTCTGCGTCAGCGCTGAGCACTCCATGTACTTGACGGCGCCAATCCTGGCCGCAAACTTCTCCCCGTGCTCCTTCTTAAAGGGAGCCTTGCCTTGCTCCGCCAGCTTGGCCAGCGTTTCTTTGTCTTCTCGCAAGTCGATCTTCGTTCCTGTAAAGTGGGAAAAGATTCAAAGCCAAGAGAGAGTTTCATCAGAGTGAAGATTCACACCACTATCATGTATACCAATCAGTTTCTATCTTGACGTCATCACTTCGTGCGTTCTTCTCATACGTGCTGTGTGAAGGTGACACTGGAAATACGTGGGGAAGTCGATTGAAACGGGATCGGTTGGCATGAATTTTCATCTTTTCACTCAACTTTTCTTTTCCAATTTAGTAATTCTATCAACCTCTCTTTCTGTTGCATCAGACTTGTCTGATTGCAATTTGAAGCTTTTAAAGACGGGATCGGTATAGGCATGACTTTCCATCTTTTTATTCAACATTTCTTTTCCAATCAAGTAATTCTATGAACCTCTGTTACTAGTGCATCAGACTTTTAAGAGTGAGTTGTTTTCGGTGTTTTGTGAATTTTGTGCTTTTTGTGGCAATTGTGATTTGGTTTCATCAACAAGAATACAACAAGAACACAACACAGTCAGTCAGCCAATCAGTCAGTCATCAGGTGCAACCAGGACTCTATAGCTTGGCCTTCTGGGACCAGCAAAAGACGGACGAGTAACTCACCCACGAGAATGAAAGGCACTCCAGCGGCGTGCTCCTGCAACTCGGGGATCCATCTGGTCTGGACGTTGGTATATGAGGAGGGCCCCTCTACACTATAGGCAACTAGGAAGATATCGGTCTGTGGGTTGAGAACACCAATACACAGTAAAAAGGCAAAACAATATTGTGGAAAAGTTTATCCACAATAGGCCTGCTGCATGGTATTTGTTTGTAGGATTCTGAACAATTTCCCTTGACCAGAGAGTCAGGGGTTTGAATCCCATTGCTTGCCGAATGTTGTGCTCTTGGGCTAGCCATTTTAACCTACTTGCTTCTCTCCCAACCCAGAAGTACAATTGGATAGCAGAATTAGCTGCTATGTTGGCTTTATGTTGTGTCCTTGGGCAAGCCACTTTACCCCAACTTGCCTATTCGTACCTATGAGTATGAGTACCAGCATAAGCTAGGAAGCGAGCGTACATGCAGTGGACTGGCGTCCCATCCATGGTGGAAATAAAAATATTCTCAGCTGTTTTACACCTCGGAAACTACAACAAAATGTCGTTCTGATGAGCCATATTGGCTCTGAGCTGACTTGATTCTTGTTATTTACCTGTGGGTAGGACAATGGTCGGATATGGTCGTAATCTTCCTGTCCGGCCGTGTCCCACAATCCCAAGTTGACTGACACATCGTCCACTTTCATCAGTTGTGAAAAGTTTTCAAACCTGACCAAAAAATAGAAAAATTCTAGACTTTGAATCGCGTTTTGTGTTTGAAACAGTATGAAACAACTTCTGGTGCCATGCCTCGAAAGATCAACTGTTGCAGTTCCGAATGATTCCGTACAAATGAGTCAACTGAAGACCAATAGACAAAGCTTGACTGTCTAAAACCGTGCATCTATTTGGATCAACAAGAGTCGCTCCTAAAACGTTTTTATTCGGCGCGAAGTTGGAACACCAGTCTGCAACGGGGAGCTACTTACACAGTGGGCACATAGAGTTTAGGGAAGGCATTCTGTGTGTAGGACACGAGCATGCATGTCTTGCCAATGGCACCATCGCCAACTACCACTAGCTTGATGCTCTGCGATGTAGCGTGGCTCATGGCTCCGTTGTCTGCTGTAGAAAGAGCAAAATTATTAAGATACTGGTTTAAGAACAATTTGATGTTTTGGCCAACAGGTGTTTGCAATAGGTGTGGAACAATATAACTTTTCATCACAATAATTTTTCGAAGTCTCTTTGCGCAGTAATTACAAGAAAACAGCAACATTTTCAAATGTACAGTTGTGTGAATGTTCATGCTTTAAACTAAAGTTTACCTTCAAGTGTTGGATCTGGGTCCATAAAATCAGACACAGTGAACCTGTGAGTACCGAAAACAGAACAAGAATTAATATACAATGAACATGTAAATACCAGTCATTCTTAAACTGATAGAAGTACAATATTCATGAACAAAATAACTCTTGAATTGCAATGTACTGTTGCATATTATTTAAACTCTTCGCCTACTTAATACTGCCAATGTCTTCAATATTTACAGCGAGCTGGAAATAATATGTGAAATCATTTTTTTTAGAATGAAATCCCTTTGTTTCACTGCTTTGTTCAATCCAATCCAGCTATGACTGCTGTTGGATAAGCAGGACCTGTTAATGGTGGTTGTTGAAGAGGGATTCTACATGTATGTTTGAAACTTAAAGCCGTTCCCGACAAAAATCCGTAAGAGAAGAGTTAGTGAGTCGTGTAACATTGAGACAGTCGTGTTTTGTCCGACGAGGCCCCCAATATTTACTAGCACGGCCAGCACTAGCGCCGTGTAGCGTGTTTACGTCCGGCATCCGACAGATTTAACAACTTGACTGATATTTTTGTGCAAGATGTTGGGATTTTAATAATTAATGATTTCAAGTATTTAAGCTTTTTCTTTCTTCATTTATGTTGTTCTACAGAAGTTTAATTACGTTTGTATAGCGCAGAGATTGTTTACATACCCTACCTTAAAAAGGCTTTTTTTATTTGTAGAAAAAATACGGAATCGATTTCATTTTGTGTTTACTGTATTATTCCTGTTTTTGGCTGAAACTCTTGGTGAATTACATACGTACATGCACCCACAGTTATCTAGATATGTTTTATAACTTAACACACTTTTAAACGTTAACAAACAAATAGGTTAACTTACAGTTAATATGTGGATGTCCACGGAGCGGTACGTTCACATATTACCCTGTACTTGCACATACATGTACATATCGTGTACTTGCACGTTGGTGTACATGTATGTCTATTATGTGTACTACTCCTGGTTATACAGCTTCACAGAGTAGGCTGTAGGGAGTTGTTTTGTATTTTCTCTTTTCATCTTGGCAAAATTCCACTCACACACAAAACAAGATTGCTTCCCGATCTGACACTGACTGTAAACCTGAATGAGCAAATCACAATTGGCCATTGTGCATACTGGTCCGTTTTCCAGACTGTGTTGTACATTTTCATGACCCCATGAAAGAACCCGGCTGCCGGAAATACTGTAATATTTGCTGTGCTTGTGTGGAAGTGTTTACTGTACATAATCATACAGGAGGGTTCAGATTGTACTGCTGAGCAGTCAAAATAATATACCAGTCGAAGTCGATTAAACTAATGTGGACCTGATTGAACATTTGATATTTGAAATATGCTGTTCAAGTTTACCATGGGCCAAGCTAAACTGGCGTGCGTCTACGCTTGTCGACAATTGACGAAGATCCGATTTTAAAGTAATACACCAAGAAGATGTAGCGGAATGGCAGATATTATACAGACGACTAATTGTTTATAATGGAAGCTCTCAACTATATTCGAAAGTAGATCTCACCAAGCTTTCACATATGGACTTCCCAACAAAAGATGTCCATTTTTCCGATAAGTTGTGTGGACTTGCCCACGTCCACACAAGGCCCCCCCCCCCCCTCTCTCTCTAATAAAATCAGGTTTAGAGGCATTTTGGGTTATGCGTTGCGAAATGAAGAGAAACACTCAAGGGAATCATAGTAAGAAAAATGAGTTGAAATATTTTTTTTTCTTCAATCTACTCTTTTTATTGCTATTGTTCATATAGTGGTTTTGAGTGCCTTCCCAGCACAGTTTATTACTGTTATAAAAATGATGCCATATTGTGTGAAACCCACTGTACGCTTACTAATTCTCAGGGTAAAAATGTCAGGAAAAAAATTCACGTGAGAGATCAAAGGGGTTATTCGGTCCATTTTCCCAGGTAGAATCCAGCTGGCATCATTTCCAATCAACACAAAGCAAAGCCATACACGCACTGGAAAAAAAACTGCATTTTTGCCAACCACGGCCTGCAAAACCATGGAAGGTCCAACACTGCAAAAATGAAAGAGTTATTACAGATCATGCGTGAACCAACGCGTGAACCCTGTATGGTACTCCACAAATAGTGTTTAAAAAAACCCAACCCAAAGCACGCTATGCAAGTTACGGCTCAAAAGACACTTTGTGGAGTTTCTGTTAAAAATAGCCCCGTGCCATTGCGAGTAGTAGTATCAGAGAGGGTCAGTAATTTCACCAGTGACTACTTGATTCAGCACCAGCATTCATTGCCAACATGGGCCAGACTATCTCTTCAGAGGAAATTGAGCGCTACTGTTCCAAGTTGAAGCCGGTGGATTTGGGAACATGGGAGGTGCACGACTACGAGGGAGTGGCTCTCTTTCTGGATAATCTCCCAAGCACCCTACATGACCTGAAGACATTGGAGATCCGTCAAGATGACGTCTTTGTCGTCACGTATCCCAAAGCAGGTAATATGACTGAGTAGAACGATTCAAGTTGATTGGATTCAAGGTGATTCCTAAGGCAGAAATACGACATCCCAATTCCAGGATGGCCTTAGAGTTATTATTCTTAGCCTTTGGAAGACTTTAAGTCATACCTGTCGTGCTGACAACGCGAACTTGAGCAGTAAAGTAATGATTAAAGGGGAAAAGCAGAGAGGAGGTGCAACCAATTCATCCTCAAAACTCACATAGGGTACAGCTCTTCACATGCTAAAATTGCCCTGCTCAATTACCTTTTTCTCCACAGGGACAACCTGGACGCAGGAGATGCTGTCTTGCATACTCCACGATGGAGACTTGGAGACGGTCAACAAGACGCACACAATGAGAAGGGTTCCTTTCTTGGAAATGAGCTTCGGAGGCACAGTGCACACTGATGTAATTATTGGCCCAGTAAACCTTGTCACAGAGCGCACAATTTGCTTCAGAATGATTATTTACTGAAATACGGGGAGTCATGTCAGTCTCTCAGTCAGTCAGTCAGTCAGTGAGGTAGGTACAAAGAGGAAACACTAGGCTGGCCCTCTGGGACCAGCAAAATGTTCGTCTTGATATTGTTAAAGAAATTCTGCTGAAGCCAGGGACCCCCTTAAGATATAAAGCTATGTGATACCAAGCAGAGGTTGGATGGAAAGAAGAAATTGTAGGTTTATGGTTATTTCTCTGAAATCCCACACTTGGTTCAACTTTACTTAGAAAGGTCCACTTTAAAAAAGAATGTAATTATATGACCCATTCCCCACAGAAGCTCGATCACAGGCCCACATGTTTATACGCAGGTATTAGCTAAACTTCCTCTTTCTCGGACAGAGCCCTCGACCTCACAAGATAATCGGTAATCATCCAAGGAGTTCTCCTCGCCTCATCAAGTCGCACCTGCCGGGTCAACTCCTGCCTCCTCAGGTCTGGGAGAAGAAAGTCAAGATTGTCTACGTCATCAGGAACCCCAAGGATATAGCTACGTCTTACTTTCATCACATGCAACTGACAAATCCCCATCTTGACATTCAGTGGGATGATTTCTTCGAGAGGTTCAGTAGTGGAATGAGTAAGTAACATACAGTCACGAACGAACTGAGTTATTATGACGCCACAATCGATTTGTGTGCTTTCCTATGGGAGCTCAATGCCTATCGTTCCAACCTGGCTCACATATTTAGATAAGCAAGCATGTAAAGACAGCGTGACGTCATGGGGGTCATTTTATTTTGCAATTTCAATATATTGAAGGAACATTGTGACCCATGCAAAACAACCAATACTAATGTCATGTTTTTATTCCTCTCGCCATGTGGCTGCCACAATCGTGATTTCTGGACATACTTGGCGTATAGTCGCCTATGGAAAGTGGTGGGAGCATTTTCTTTACTTCTGGGAAAGGAGAAACGAAGAACACATTTGTTTCCTACGATTTGAAGACATAAAAAAGGTAACTAAATTTGTTTTAGTTGAATAAAGATAAACCACACAAGGGCACATGTTTTTTTTAATCTGTCTGGCTTATATGCTTTGCCCCCTCTGGAAAAAAATCCTAGCGACGCCCATGACCTCTGGGATGTTATCTTACAGTTTTGCTGACATATCTAACAAGCCCGCGGATACGGGGGCGGGGGGGGGGGGTGTTGTGGGTGATGCAGCACCCCCCCCCCCCAATATTTGGATTGGGGCGCTGGAATATGCTTCAGCACCCCTACTCCCGGGCAAAATGTGTTTCATCCAGCAATGTTCACTACGCTACACATTTTGCTTGCTTTACAAATATCTTCGTCCGTTTTGTTCGTTTCTAGCGTTGCCACAGCTAAGCGCAGCGCTTCGAACATCTAGCACACACACACTGTAAAATATTCAGAGGGGGTATTTTCTAAATCTTCAGGCATTGCAGAATCGATATTTCTCTCAAAGTATTTAAAATCATGACATGTGTATGATATGGAACGTGCGCCATTTTGTGGCGACGGTGGAGTTCCGCCATATTGGATGTGCTTTGACTCAAAAGCAATAACCTCGGCCATGACAATGGTGGCAATTCTTGTTGTTTGTGCTTGCCAGAAATTTTCATTCGATCTTTCAAAAGGGGTAAAGTTCATACTTTCCCCTGAAGGTTTTTTTTTTTCATTTAAAAGTTTCATTGACATTGCTATCGTTCTGTACTCAAATCGTCACAAATAGCAAGGTTCATCCTCAACCCCAACCTAATCGGAGTGGGACGGGTATTTATTGAAACTAGTCATGCCTTACGCCAATTCCAGTGTAGCTTCGTTTTAATAACAAAAGCTTTTCATGCTTTACCCTTTACAAGTTTTTCCTTATAAAAACTCAGTAGACCGATAAAATATCCTACCCTCGCCTTAAACTTGCCATCTACCGATCATAAAGATGCATTTGGTCCTTTATTCTTTTACATTTGCCATTCCCTGTATCAAACAAATAACACTGCAATTTATAACTAGACCTACATTGTTTGTTGAGTTAGAACTATTTTATTGGCTTGTTAAGTTGTTAATCTTTTTATGAACAGAAATTCATCCGTTTCCAGTGGAACCTTTTTCTTTTTTTTTTAACTTGAACCTAAAATCTTTTGGGGTTGTATAGGTTTCAGTATGCATTTTATTTACACTGATGACGTCATCAGTTAAAATGTCCAAACTTTGTATTGATTTAGTTCAAACAGGATAACGTTCGTCATACAGTGAAAATCACTTTTAAAAATATGGAAATTATAATGAATATATAAGTGTGTGTATTAGTAACACTTAACTTCCTGTTCCCATTTGGATTTAATGGAAAGAAAACTGATAATTTAAAATTCTTTCTACAATAACTTCCCCTCCGATGACGTCATGATTCTAAAACCTACAAAGTCCTTTAAAATTGTTAAAAGGGCATTTGGGGTTAATTTGGTAAAACTGTGAGGAATGGTTTTAAAATTCAAGTTTCATCTAGCTTCGACGTCCTTTCAACTTAATCACGTCATCATGCCAATATTTGTATTTGACATTCTTCACTGATTATTTATATAGTAAACTAAAATGCTTCAAATTTCATGTTGTATCAATTTTCACTTCCGGTAATACCGGAAGTAAAGGTCAAACAACTGGTTGCCCGGGCATTCAAAATATTGCTGTAGACACTGTCTCACTGATCACAAAATAGCGATAATGTTCAAGGAATGTTTTTAAAATGTGTACATTAAATTTCTTAGTTGTAATTTAATAACTAATGAGGTCATGATGACGTAACAACTTTTTTTCAGCTTCAAACTAGGTTTGATCATTTCCTGGCAAACCGTTTGGATAGAAATTTCTACATTTGAATTCACCTAACTTTGACCTTCACGTGCACGACCAAAAAGTTAATCAATTTATAAATGATCTTTCTGATTGCAAAATACAAAAATCATTGATTACTTTTTTCAAGAGTTATAAGTGAAAGGAGTTGGTAATTTTTTTCAACTAAAATCGCTTGTAATTTGATACCCAATGACGTCATCGTGACGTCAAAGCAGTGCACCACTTGGGTTCAGGGGTGACGTTGGTTCAAAGTTACACGTTGAACTATTGAGGAGAATACTTGCGGAGAATTACAGTCCAGAAAAAAAAATAGAAACAAAGAAGATTTATTCGAACAATTCTAAAAAGTGATCCAGTTGTGCCCGATCACTCAATAAATAATCAATATCAAAAATTGCTCAACCCTTACTGACGATGTCATCATGCAAATGCTTTAATAGTATGACCTCTTTGGTTAGAATATACTCAAAAGCATTGTATAACCACCAAAACATGGCTCACCCCTCTGGCTGCCCGAATACAGAGGAATTAACTAATGTAAGAAAGCAGCCTTGCAACAAGAATTGTTACATTCGATGTCATGCATAAATGATACAATTATTTTTTCCAGAGTTAAATAGAACAAAAGAATGGAGAGAAAAATACAGGGTTCTCCACTTTTCAGTACAGTAGAAAAAAAATTGAAATAAATTGTCTTTATAATCTCCAAAAACTTTTGCTAAAAAAAAAAATGAAAGTGGCCAGGAATCGCCTCAGATTGCACCACAGAGCATCCTTATTCCAAAACTTTTAGGGGCCCTTTATAAGCCACGCCGTAAGAGCTTTGCGCTCAGCGTTCTCATTAATTTTGTCCGTCCTTTAGAAATTCCAACACCCCTGGCAAAAGTTTGTTACAGCGGGCTTGATGATCGTTCTAGGTGTTATAAAATCTAACGTTAAGCCCCTGGGTTTTGTACTTGTCTGAATACTGGGCACTGATACTGGGGGTCTCTCTGTTTAGGATCCACGTGGTACGGTGAAAAAGCTCAGCGAGTTTCTGGGCAAATCGTTCCCTGATGACGTCATCGATGCCATCACCGACCATTGCAGCTTTGCTAACATGAAGAAGAACCCCATGACCAACCCTGATTCCTTGTTCGTGATGGTGTTAGGGAAACAAGAAGGGAGATCCTTCATGCGGAAAGGTAACATTGCTTTCAACATTTCATCAGTGCCTGTGTAGTGCAACCTCGTCCCCAGGGTGTCAAGCAGTACGCACCCATCACTACCTGCTCTCCCACCCTGGTTTTGGATCATTTGCATGTGCAAGATTTTTTTCAACACGTATGCAAATGAGGAATAGTCTGGTGCCTGCATGTGCGTTACATTAGCGTTTGTTTTTGTATGTGGTGTCTAGGGTAAAAACAGAGTCAATTCGTCGCAGCGCGAGCACGGCGTGAGTTTCGAAAACACGATTTTTTTTTAAATTCAACTGTTACGCTCTAATCGAGATAACATGCAGTATCATATTTCATATTAATATGAATAAATTGGAAAGGAAATTAATTAGTATTTTCGAGAAGGTGTGGACAAATGATCGCGAAAACACATACTGCACGTTGTGAATAACAACATCAAGTACACGATAAAAATCTATTACTAGCCAACTGTGGTATCGAATCAGGATACAGGAAGAAAGTTTCCGATCCAGGGCTTACTATTGGAAACGAGGTTAAAAATAAAGTAAGCACTGGGGACGAGGTTGTGTGTAGTGTGAATTGAGGACTAAGAAATACTAGAAATACTTACATTGGTAGTATTGCGCATGCCTAAGTGAGGACTGTGAACGTTCAACCAATAGAAGGGTAAAAGTGACCAGATTCAAAGGAGTATAAAATTTCATGTGACACTGGAACGGTTTGAAGACCAGCCAGCCCGTATTTTATCAACCGTTTAAGACCGGTCACGTGACGGGCTCTCGACCAATAGGAGTTGGTAAACTGTCTTAGATATTCATGAATATTAGTTTTTAAGATCCGCGCTATACAAACGTAACGTGTTGACTGTGTGGAGTAACGTCGGGGAAAAATTGCATCAGATATCGGTGTTTTCTTTTCAAACCAAAATGCGTGAACTCGGACTTTGAAAAAAAAAACTATTGACATCAGTACACATTCTTCGTATAACTGCTCATACTTTTTAATAGCTTTTACATCGGCCTTAGTGTCAGACTAATTACATTCTTTCCTTTTGCAGGTGCCGTGGGTGATTCGAAGACGCACCTGTCTGAATCCGAGGCGGCAGCAATAGACGCTGTGTGTAAAGAGAAGCTGGCACCAGCCGGTCTCACTTTCGACTGATGCGTGAAATCTCCCAAAATGAGACGATTGAACCGACATTGAATGTGGTCTTTTGAGATATTTCTTTTTAAATAAACCATTTGTTAAAGCCTAAATGTAGCTTTTAGCTTCGGAGTCTTTTACAGCCTTTACTTGTTGGAAATACTTACGCAGTAACTCGCAATCACTTTGCATTGAAATCCCGTCTTTAACTCAATACAAATGACTAGTTCCAAATTAATTTTATGGTTGGTGTATACGTGCTTTTTGGATAAGGCACCTTGAAAAAAAGACTTTCAAATTAAATTGATAATTTTCTAGCATAACATTAGTTATGAGCTTTCCAATGAGACATCGCCATTTAAAACCACTTTTCAAAACTGTATAAAGGCCTGCGAAAACAAACATTTACATAATTTGTTACAGGACATTATATTCATTTAAATTTGTTCGGAAAAGAAAATTGAGATTTTATAAATTTAATGGAACAGAAATGAATCGAAGTAATTCGTTAGACTTAAAGAAGAATTATAGACGAGGAGAAAAAGACAACAAATCGTAGGAACACTCATTGTTTGTTATTCAATTAATTTCAAATACATAGTTACCCGTTCATTAATTAATTAATTAATTAAGGGCAAAAAATAATCTTGTTTGTAGCCAGCTTTTAGTTTTAGATTAAATCCTCTATCAGAAGTCTTTTAACGTTCTAAGAATGTAGTCGATCGCCGGATGTAGGACAGGAAAACTACCTCTAAATATAGGACTTGCGAGATGCTGTCAAGAAAATCAGCAAGTTTCTGGGCAAATCGTTCACCGATGACGTCATTGATGCCATCACCGACCATTGCATCTACAAGAACATGAAGAAGAACTGCAGTGTGAATCGCCCGATAAATATTTCGCAGTATTTTTTTTTAAAGGTTATCTTATTAGAAATGAAAGTTTATCCCGGATTGAAATAAAATAACAGGTAGCGTGCATAATTGGATGGAGCCAATCGTCATTCCAAAATCCACCTGATGAATAATTCATACTCATATAGGAGCATGCATATTTTTCGTGAAGCAGTGATTTATAATTCTGCTATTTTCAGGATTTATGTAAAACATGTCTTTATGAAAAAAACATATGCAATACCCAGAAAACAGTCGGACGTTTAGAAGCATTGATGGTGAGCTGGGTGCAGCTAAGAAGGGGAAAATTATTGGGCCCAATCTGGTCCGAATCATCGAATTATCGGAAATTTGTCGATGAATGAGAATCTATAGTTGGAATTTTAACGAGTGGTAAAAGTGTTTTTCCGCGGATCATGGTTGATATAGATCAAAAGACGAAGTTGTTGATGCAATTTTTGAGGTCGCAGAAGAACATCGCGATTTGATTGTCTATTTTGACTAGTTTTAATCTAATCTTTTTATTGCTCTTGTTCAAAATGGGTTGTTTTGAGTTAGTGCATTCCCGGCAGGGTTATGATGCCGTTGACAACATTAATTGTGTGAAACCCACCGTACGCTTACTAGTGCTCAGGATACAAAAAAGGTTCACATAAGAGATCAAATGGGTTATCCGGTCCACTATCCCGGGTAGAGTTCAGCTGGCATAAAGTTCATGAACACAAAACAAAGCCAGACACGCACTGGGGTCGAGTGTGTTTTTTCATCAAGGCCAAGATCGAGGTCTCGCATCAATGGTGCAGAATTAACGAAATTCTGCTTACTCATAGTAGGTCAAAGGTAGCTTCACGGGAAGATCACATCGATAAAGACAGACAATAAGTGAACCCTGCCGGCTTTGGCATCTAAAAATAGTGCACAAAAAGTGTTAAATAGCCAAAGCACTCTATGCAAGTCACGGTGCATACGACACTTGGTGGAGATTCTGTTTAACATAGCCCCGTGCCATTGCGAGTAGTACTTTTAATGGGAAAGGATAAGTAACTTCACCAGTGACCAGTTGCGCCAGCATTCATTGCCAACATGGGCCAGGCTGTGTCGTCAGAGGAAATTGAGCGCTACTCCTCCAAGTTGAAGCCGGTGGATTTCAGAACATGGGAGGTGTACGACTACGAGGGAGTTTCTCTCTGTCTGGATAATCTCCCAAGCACCCTACAAGACCTGAAGACATTGGAGATCCGTCAAGATGACGTCTTTGTCGTTACGTACTCCAAAGCAGGTAAAAGAAGGATTCGAGGTGATTGGCATGATTATCTTCCTAACACAGAAATCTGGCATCCCCTACTTCCAGGATAGCCGCATATACCTATTAGTCCAGTCCTTTGGAAGACCTTAGGTCATACCTGTCGTGCTGACAACGCGAACTTGAGCAGTAAAGTAATGATTAAAGGGGAAAAGCAGAGAGGAGGGGCACCCGATTCATCCTCAAAACTCACATAGGGTACATCTCTGTACATGCTAAAATTGCCCTGCTCAATGACCTTTTTGTTCTCCACAGGGACAACCTGGACGCAGGAGATGCTGTCTTGTATACTCCACGATGGAGACTTGGAGACGGTCAACAAGATGCACACAATGAGAAGAGTTCCTTTCTTGGAAATGAACTTCGGTGGCACAGTGCACAGTGATGTAATTATTAGCCCAGTAAACCTTGTCACAGAGCGCACAATTCATTTTCAATTGATTCAGAATGATTATTTACTGAAATCCCTTTCATGTTTCTGGTCTACACGGGGAGTCAGTCAGTCAGTCAGTCAAATAGTGAGATAGGTACAAAGAGGAAACACAAGCCTGGCCATCTGGAACCAGCAAAATGGTCGTCTTGATATTGTTTAAGAAATTCTGCTGAAGCCAGGGACTCCCTTCAGGTATAACGCAAGGTGATGCTGAGCTGAAGTTGAATTGAAAATAGAAATAGTAGGTTTATGGTTTTTTCTCTAAAATCCAATACTAGGTCCAACTTTACTTAGAAAAGTCCACTTAAAAAGAGAAAGTAATTATAAGACCCATTCCCACAGAAGCTTGATCACGGGCGCGTATGTTACAGTATTAGCTAAACTTCCTTTTTCTCGGACAGTGTCCTCGACCTCACAAGATCATTGGTAATATGCCGAGGAGTTCTCCCCGCCTCATCAAGTCGCACCTGCCGGGTCAACTCCTGCCTCCTCGGGTCTGGGAGAAGAAAGTCAAGATTGTCTACGTCATCAGGAACCCCAAGGATTTAGCTACGTCTTACTTTCATCACATGCAACTGACAAATCCCCATCTTGACATTCAGTGGGATGATTTCTTCGAGAAGTTCAATAGTGGAAAGAGTAAGTAACATACAGTCACAAACGAACTGAGTTATTAGGACGCCTTTCCTATGGGACTTGATGCCTGTCCTATGGGACTTTATGCCTTTCCTATGGGACTTGATACCTTTTCTATGGGACTTGATGCCTTTCCTATGGGAGCTTGATGCCTTTTCTAGGACTTGATGCTTTTCCTATGGGACTTGATGCCTGTCCTATGGGACTTGATGCCTTTCCTATGGGACTTGATGCCTTTCCTATGGGACTTGATGCCTTTCCTATGGGACTTGATGCCTTTCCTATGGGACTTGATGCCTTTCCTATGGGAGCTTGATGCCTTTCTTCTTCACCTGGCTCCCATAGGAAAGAGCGCATGTAAAGAAAGCGTGACGTCGTTTCGTCTTATAAGGGGGCATTTAGCTTCGCAATTTCAATATATTTAAGGAACTTTGTGACCTATGCAAAACAACCGATACTAATTTCATGTTTTTTTCTTTCCCTCTCGCCATGTGACTGCCACAATCGTGATTTCTGGACATACTTGCGTAGTCGCCTATGGAAAGTGGTGGGATCATTTTCTTTACTTCTGGGAAAGGAGAAACGAAGACCACATTTGTTTTCTACGATTTGAAGACATAAAAAAGGTAACTAAATTTGTTTCAATTGAATAACGAAAGTCACACAAGCTCACGATTTTTTTTAAAATTCAATCTGGCGTTTCCCTTTGTACTTTGCCCCTCTCTAGAAAAACCGTGGCGACGCCAATGACCTCCGGGAAGTCGTCATACAGTTTTGCTTATACATGTATATCGCTAGTAGTAAACAGTGAAGTCTAAGGTGAATCCCCTGTGTTTTGTACTTGACTAAATACATGGGAGTCTCTCTGTTTAGGATCCGCGTGGTACGGTGAAAAAGCTCAGCGAGTTTCTGGGCAAATCGTTCCCTGATGACGTCATCGATGCCATCACCGCCCATTGCAGCTTCGCTAACATGAAGAAGAACCCCATGACCAACCCTGATTCCTTGCTGGAGATGGTGATGGGGAAACAAGAAGGAAGATCCTTCATGCGCAAAGGTAACATTGCTTCCAACATTTCACTATAGCCTGTGTAGTGTGAATTGAGGACTAAGAAATACTTCGGACTAAGAAATACTGACATTGGTAGTATTGCGCATGCCTAAGTGAGGATTGTGAACGTTCAACCAATAGAAGGGTAAAAGGGACCAGTTTCATAGGAGTCTAAATTTCATGTGACACTGAAACGGCTGACGACCAGCCAGCCGGTATTTTATCAACCGTTTAAGACCGGTCACATGACGGGCTCTCGGCCAATAGATATGGGTAAAAAAGGTTTTATGAATCGGTGTTTTAAGCTTTGCTATACATTTTCAGAATATGTGCTACGTAATTATGTTGACTATGTAGAGTAATGCCGGTGAAAATTTGCATCAGATCTTGTATTTTTTTGAACTTGGACCTTTAGTAAAAAAAAATACTGACGCCAGCACACATTCTTTATATAACTCTTCATACTTAGTAATAGTTTTAACATCGGCCTAAGTGTCAGGCTAATTAACTATTTTCCTTTTGCAGGTGTAGTTGGTGACTCCAAGACCCACCTGTCTGAATCCCAGGCGGCAGCAATAGACGCTGTGTGTAAAGAGAAGCTGGCACCAGCCGGTCTCACTTTTGACTAATCTAAAAAAAAAAATGAGACAATTGAACCAAATGGAGTGTGGTCTTTTTTAAGAATCTTTGTTTTTATATGAACCGTTAAAATGTAAAGCCGCGGAGTTTAGCTTTTAGGTTTGGCGTCTTTACATCCTTTAGCTATTGGAATAGATCATGAAGCCAGTCTCTATACCTTTGCATTGAAATCCCCTTTTTATCAAAAAAAATACACAAAAATGTTGTTTCTAAATATTTTTATAAGTAAACTTAGTCGAACATTGATGAATGGAACTAAATTGGTTAGACTAATTAAAGAAGAATTGGGCATAGAGAAAAAAGACAACACATTGTAGGAAAACTCCTAAGTGTTTTTAATCGAATAGTGTCAAATACACTGTGTACTGATTTTTGTTTATTATTTAAGCGCAAATGACTTTGTTTGTAGCTAGGTTTTGGTTTGAGATTCAATCCTCTATCGCAAGTCTTTTTTTACATTCTAGGAATGTAGTCGATCGACATTTTGTTCCTCAGGAAAAGTTCCTCTAAGTGTTATGTATATTTATAGAGTTGTCGCATGAGCAGGTTTGTTCTAGATATATTTTATAAAATGTAGGTTATGTTTATTTTGGAAACAAATCCATATATAAAAGCTGATACAAAAATTAGACTTGTTCCCAATCCATTGTATGACCCATGGATAGAATGTCAGGCCTTATATGGTAATTTAATTTAATCAAAAAGTTGCATTTCCCAAGTTGCACAAATAACTAATGTTAAGGAAAATTATATAGGTCACGGAAAGAACACATAATTTAGAACTAAGAGTCTTTGTGAGTAGAAAAACGATTATAGCCCTTTATTATCAAAATGAATGAAGGTTTAATAAAGTTGTCGTGTATAGATAAATCGGAAAGTTCTAGTGGTTTTAATATTCATTTAAAATGAGGTACGACATGCATTATGCAGAATATTGTGGTAATCATTATTTTATCACGAACCTTATAGGGAAGATACAACATTTGCAAACATCAAAAAACGAAATGATCAATTTATCACGAAATACCTTACTGAATTGCTAGGGATTGACAGTCTAAAGCATCCTGTAAAATGGTGGCTCCTGGTGTGCTGACATTTTCAAGAAAAACTGTATTTTTCCAACGCTGGTCGGCCGACCAGCATTGGGAGAAAACTGGTGTTTTTTTTTAAATGCTCCTAATTTTTCATATTTAGTTATTCCGCATTTTCTTTGCAATAGATTACACACTTGTGAAGGGGCACAAGCCTGCTAATGCTAGACTGATTCTTTGACCTTATAATTCCCTAAAGTCTTTACATTTCTCCGTTTCATCTTAAGTAGGGTCAGGGAACCAGACTGCAAGAACATGATTTGTTGTCTTGGTTTTTCCAGCATATACAAGCCCAAAACGTGAAACAAGTCAGTTTAACAATATTTGCTATAACATACTATTTGCTATAACATACTAATCCTCCAAATCGATTTATTTCTGAAAAGTGCAGCAAAAGCAAATGTTGTACATTCCCTTTAATAAGCCAAATGACTTGATTTTTCTTTTGGGTGATAGCATCACGTAAACATTAAGCTCTATCTAAAGCATTCCGAGTGTCATGTGTACGTTATTTTGACTGGTTGGACCGAAATTGATTGTGATAAGATAATACAAGGGGCACCACAACAAGGAGCGAAAAATGATTTTACAGGGATTTTCATTTCATTTTATTCTATTTATTCACCATGGAGACGGAAAAGTGTTATCCCAATCATTGCAAATATATAAAAACCATCAAAATAGAATTAAAATAATTACAACAACCAAGAGTTAACAGTCGTTTTGGTCTCAATTTGCGAGAAAAAAAAATTTTGGATGGTCAAAGTACGAAATGAACAGTTGATTCCTGACCTTGATATTTGCATGTCATCAAATAGATTGTGAAGAGCTAGTTTAGTTTACTTTGCAGGAACGTGTATATACTAGGGGTTCTGATAAACCAACGGCTAGACTTGACAATCGCGTTTTGACAGTCGGCATCCCAAAATCATACTTCCACAGCAAATTTTATCTTGTTTATTATCAAATACGGGGCACTGCCAGGTCAGAATGTAGACCGTGATTTAGATTATTAGACTTCCCCAACTACATCTGATATATAAAAGAACTCTAAGACATGAACATCGTCTGCTTAAGAAGCAAAGCGATTTGGCCTATGAACGGTTACAATCCAATATGTTTCGGTGAGGATATAACGGAAACAACAGCAGATATTTAGAAAGAAAGTGTGAGGATTTAGAATGGTCAGGGGACCGCACAAAAGACTGCAAAATAAAGTCTTTTTTTTTTTTTTTTTAATTCTTCAATGTTATTTTAACAATAAATGACAATACCAATAGAGGTCGTTCTTCAATCCCTATAGTACATGTAACTTGTAACCCCAGTTCTTCGACCAATGATGACACGCTAGTATTTGATGTGGGATATATGTCGGTAAAAAAAATCAGCTGGCCGATACTGGAATATATGGCAGCCACTAAAGAGCGCCCTCAAGAAAAATATAGCAATATTTGTCGACACTATATAACTTAGCATTAGGCCGTTCCCATCACAGCAGTGTTAGCCTTCCTATATCGATAAAAGTGTCGATAAGGCCACACAAAAAAAGTCTCCGGTTTCTGGTATGCGCGCGCGTCGCCGTAGCCATGCGCGTCGGCAAAATGAAAAAGGTTTTTTTTTCAATAAAAGATGATGTCTCAAAACCGCCAAACTCACTGGTTTGACTGGAATCCTGCTGCTGCACAATTTTAACGTGTTTTCAGATGGGGTTATGATCGAGAATAAGCTTTATGTAGCCTCTCTGGTCTCCCATATATTTGCACTAAGTTTAGTCGGGCACCATTTGCAGTCATCAGCCGACATTTGAAGCAAAAAAAACAGGTAAAAAAAAAAAAGCCGCGTCGCCGCACCACTTTTTGGGCAAGCTCCATACCAGAAGCCGGAGACTTTTTTTTTTGGCCTGAAGCCCGCAGTGTAGTTTTCACGCTCAGTACTCTGCTAAATGTTTTCATTCAAGTTTACGGCGTGTGGCAATCAGAGAACCTTGATCTTCTGACCCCATGCACAATGAAAATCCATACTATGTGAACACCACATTTTTTTTAGCAAGTATACATGTATGTTAGGGAACGTATATCGTGCAATCACTGCGGTGTATTTTTACATCTGCATTTAAGCAGCAAATTTACTTCTTACACAACCAGACAATCTCGGATCTCGTTCTACCTTGGATTCAACCCTTGGTAGCTAGTACATCTATGAAATAAGTAGTAAGTTGAGACATGTTCACTAATGTTGCCAGTTTTTAAATTGCAGCCAACTCTGTCTATTTGTTTTGCTGTTGTCACTATAAATCTGCTTGCCCTTCATATCAACGAAGCCGTTAATTTGCCGTGGCTACCTGTGGAGTATAGGCTCTAAACTTCACTGGTTGTCAAAATTGCCTGGGTTAATTTTACCAAAGAAAGGGTGAAAACTGCAACTACCCAAACTTGGGTTGTTCTATATAACCAATTGTTTGGGTTAGAATTTCTGTTAAATTTAAGCAAAAGTTCATTATTCAGTGTATTATGCACAGCGCGACGGTACTACTGTTTTATGTGTGCATGGCCACTATTGGGCCCGAAACTGCCTACGCCGGCCAAAGAGCATTTTGTGGGCCATCATGGTGAACTTCAGCTTTTTTTCTCATTTGAAAGTCCTGCACAGGACTGCGAGCTCGAATTTCTGTGAAATTCAGATAAAATTGAGCCCTATAATTGCTTTATTTTTCAATATAGGGCAGGCATTTTTTTTCTTCAAAATGGCGATGGGCTACAGGATTTCTTTTAGGGGTGATTATCTTTGGCTGGAACTTTTCCCCAAAAGTCGATCATTGGTTACCCTTAAAACAATTGAACAGAAAATCAAAGATGATGAAATAAGCTTAAATTTGATGTGTGTCTCAAAAACCTTGGAGAGTTGTGTTTTTTTTCTTCTGAATTTCGGAAATGGGCGTTTATCTGCACGCTTCAGTACACATAAATGCTTCGTGGTTTCGCCGATTACAATGCGGACAAGTTAAGCCATGGCCTTGGTGAAAGGCTACCTTTGTACCGGACACTCCTTTCTGTTTTTATTTGTTTAACAGCGTGCCTTTTAATAGGCCTAATGCAGGCTAGTTTCCAAGGAATGTCGCATTACACCGAGTGACTCTGCACCAGTTAGTGTCGATTTGAAAAGTGAATGAACCGAACTCAGGCAGCTTGAGGTAAGTGACTCTGTCAACAAAATACTCGGCAGATTGACATCATATTATAGTCAAATTCGGATAACTTTATTAGTTAATTAAGTCCTTGCTCCCTTTCCACTCTCACACGTTAACTAGCAACACTGTTCCAAAGACGGAAAACTTCGTCTCTTTAAAACAGTTATGTTTACGTTTTAGGCCTATCGTTTGTACTGCATCCATTTATGACGTTTCGGTTAATTCAATTTCAACAGGAAAACGTAGAATGAGTTTGAGTAGACCTCTTATATGCGTTCACAGTTAATGAACACGAAGGTATAGCCGCTGCTGAACGCAATCCACCGGTTCTACTGTATTCGGTCTATCAGGATGCGCCGATGCGGCGTGACGTAAATCCGGGGGGGGGGGGGATTGGGGGTATGTCCCCCCACTTTTTGACCAGGAAGGGATTGGCTATTGAATATATCCCCACCCAAATTTTCGTGATGAGAAAACAGCTGATTTCGAGGTATTTTTCGAACATATCCCAACTACAAAAAAAATATATTCAATAGCACTAAAAAGTAAACAAAGTACAAAAGCTTTAAAAATTGGCATTTTTTTTATGAATGCGATATTGATATATAACCTGAAGAGCGTCCCTTAGTGTAATGTGGTGTCCAACCCCCCCCCCCCCCCCGATTTTCGAATTTCCACAGTTGGGGAATTTTTGGAGTGTGGTCATCCCCCATCGATCCCCCACTCACCGGCACAGACTTCGCCACTGTGATGCGGTGACCTCTAAGTGACGTTTATTATGCGAATACAAAAGCTGGCTAGGCCTTCGTATCATGGATCGCTCTTGCCGAGAAGAAAGCTGTTCAAGGATATATGAAAAAAAAGGCCATACAATTGAGGAATTTCACATGACATCACAGCAGTTCAGCTAGTGGTCACCCCATACACCCGCCTTTTGAATGCGGACAGGTTAAGCCATGGCCTTGGTGAAAGGCTACCTTTATACCTGACACTCCTTTCTGTTTTTATTTGGTTGACAGCGTGCCTTTTAATAGGTCTAATGCAGGCTAGTTTCCACTTTTTGACAGGGAAGGGATGGGCTATTGAATCGTCCCCCCCCCCCCCCCACTTGTTCGTGATGAAAAACAGCTGATTTCGAGTTGTTTTTCGAACATATCCCAACTACAAAAAAATGTATTCAATAGCACGAAAAATGGACAAACAAAGTACAAATGGATCGCTCTTGCCGAGAAGAAAGCTGTTCAAGGATATATGAAGAAAAAAAGGCCATACAATTGAGGAATTTCACACGATATCACAGCAGGTCAGCTAGAGGTCACCCCATACACCCGCCTTTCTTTTACGTACGTCTACTGTTGCAGAAAACTAAACAAACCAACAGTAGGTTGACACAATTCTTTTGAAGTCACATAAGATTTTTCGTCGAGCGCAGCTAACAACTTTGTGTGCATTGTACGGAATGTTCCATAGCATTCCTAAAACACCTTGTACGCTTCGAGAACGTCTCTTCATAACTGCAAAAATAACGAGAATTCTAGTGAGGATTAATTTGCGGTAACACCATGTGGAAGAATTTTTTTGAGAAGATATGTAGTTAAAAAAAGAACCGTTTGGTTTAAGATTTGAGGCTTTGCATGGTGGGGTATCGGTATCGTTTCGGTTTGCGGTAACACCATGTGGTAATATAACTACTGCTTAGAAGATATTAGTTCTGAGAGGAACTTGTCCGGCTTATTATCAACTTTGCTAAGTAGTTTTTTTGTCCTGATAAGAACAAAAGTTTCCTGACGATGACTAGAGCAGGCTAGTCGAAACGTTGAGACCAAAGACAAGTTCGTTTAGAACTTACAGCAGGACTGTTCTTATCAGAACAAAAAACTACTTAGCAAAATTGATAATAAGCAGGACAAGTTCTTTTCAGAACTAATATCTTCTAAGCAGTAGTTATTTACCACATGGTGTTACCGCTAACCGACACGAAACCGTTTGGTTGTTAAATGTTCCCGAACCACACATCTTCTCAAAAGATTCTTCTGCATAGTGTTCCCGCAAACCCTCACTTGTTTACATTACTGCCTTGCAGAATTTCCAATATTATCAACGAGAATAAATTTATCTGTTACTCTGATCTGTTCTAGATTGAAAGCGGTACCTTCAATTTCCGATTATGGCCCCACGACCTGAAGTGGGTTTTTTATTAGTCGCCCATGGCCTTTTGTTCCTGGCCGTCGTGACGTCAGCACTGGACAAGGGCGAGGTCCTGGACATGTCCTATGCGTTTGGCGACACCACCTTGTATTGGCCAGGTCTCGGATCATTTGAAATGGACATTCTATCACGGGGACCATCGGGAGATATACCATGGTAAGAATTACGTTGGCAAAATGACTTTTATGAAAATATGTAATAACATGACCTGAGTTTATACAAACTTTTCTTCCAAGAAGGAAACCTCTACTTTAAGACCGAAAAGTGGGTGCGTGAGATCACCAACCAGATATTAGTGCTGATAAAAAAATACCAATCATGACTTTAACATTGTTCGAACTTCGGGGAAAAAGGGGGGGGGGGCAAGTATTATTAAAAGGGTGAGCAGGAAAGGAGGATCACGATCTACGTGACATATATCTTTAAGTTTATGTCTTGAACAGCGCCATTGCGTGCCAAGTGCACAGGCGGGGTACATATCTATTTTTCAGGAAAGAGGGTCATATGAAGTGGAAGTTGATTAAAGGCATGCCGAAGGGGCATGCCCCGGAATATACATGTATTTTGAAGCCTGCGATGCGGTCTCCTGCATTTAAGGCGATTTGGGAAAAACAATTGAGGAACTTTAGCATTCTATTTGTTGTTTTGGCCCCATAGTAGCATTCATAACAGTTGAAGGGAAGTGGGGTTGGTTGCAACCTTGCAATGCTGCCTACCCACCCCCACCCCCCGATCTGCCACTGCTCAACCCCTTCTTTTAGATTAGCCACAGTTGAGATGCGAGCACCATTATGTTTCCATCACCATACTCAATTCATGAGTTCCCGTTACCATCATCAAAAGTGAAGCGAACATGTCCTTGCTTTGTGGTATTAGAACTTATAATGTTATGGAATGTTACATTCTGTGTGTTTCTTTAGGTTCGAGGCCAACTCCTTCTCAGGTGCAGAGCATGGCGGGACTCACTTGGATTCCCCGGCCCATCTCTCTCAAGGCCAACTGCGCGTTGATGCCATACCAGTCGACAAGTTTGTCGGTCCGGCCCTTCGAGTCGACATAGCTGACAAAGCCAATGTGAACGAGGACTACCAACTGACGGCCCAGGATCTACAAGACTGGGAAGGGGTCCACGGTAGGATTCCGGACGGCTCCTTGCTCTTCGTCTACACCGGTTGGGGAGCCTTCTACCCGGATCGCTTGGCTTACTTCGGCTCGGCACGCAACGACACCTATCTGAATGACCAAGGGGAATCGCTGCTCCACTTCCCGGGCGTGGCGCCCGAGGCAGCCACGTGGCTGGTGGAGAACCGCAAGATCTCGGGCCTCGGAATCGACACGGCATCCATGGACTACGGACAGAGCACCGTTTTTATGAGCCACCAGATTCTTTTCGGGGCCAACATTTATGGTATGGAGAATGTGGCCAACTTGGATCGCCTGCCTAACACGGGGGCTAAGGTGCACGCACTCCCCATGAAAATTAAGGACGGGAGCGGTGCCCCAATACGCATCACCGCCATGTTGGATGAGGAGTGTACCTCGGGGGCAGCGATGCTGTCGCCAGCAAAAGCCGCTTTTGTTGCACTGCTGGGTTTGGCTTTGTTTGTTTTAAAGTACTAAAAGCCATTTGCTGATCGCGATTTTTGTTTTGCTACAAAACAATTACATACAGTCGAGTCTCGTTATGACAAACTCGTTCGGACCTTGCCAAATTGTTTGTTATATCAGAATTTTGTATTAAGAGAAACATCAGTCCCATTCATTGTGCACATAAATGCACAGTCGGGACCAAGGCTTTATGTTTGTTATAACCAGAATTTTGTATTAACAGAGTTTGTACTAACAAGAGTCGACTGTACTAGGAGTTATGCTCTATAGTTTTTACCCATGGTTGTGGTTTTAAAGTTTACAAGTAAGTGAGCAACCCTTAATTGAATTTCTAGCTCGTACTGTTCCCTGTAGATTTAAGGGAATATACAGTCGAACACCTTTATAACAAGGTCCTTGGGACTTTACGAATTACCTTGTTGTAACAGGTACCTTGTACTAAGAGTAACGGAAAACAAAGAGAAACAAAGACTTGGGACCTAAAGTTTTGCTTGTTATAAGCAGTACGTTGTATCAACAGTGCTCTTCTTATCAGGGTTCGACTGTAAATGCCATACTTTTCGCTTGTGGTGGTGGTGGTGGCGCTGTTGATCGCGCACTTTATGAATAGATGTATTTCCTTCAAATAATCATGGTTTTTTTTTCAATATTACCATCCTTAATTTGTTACTTTTAGCATACAATTAAAAGTTTTAGTGTTGCATTTTGGATGAAACGCGAAAAATTCAATTCGACTTCGAGTAACTTTTTATGCAACAAAAATAAAGCACTGTTTGTGGAGACGATAACTCAAAAAACATTTGATACACGACACAAACAATTAAAAATTCGACAGAAACCATAGGAGAGAAAAAAAATTAATACAACAAAAACAAAAACGACAGTGTGTAAGGGCACTCCAGTACATTTTACCAACATCATCTTCTTCCAAAAGAGGGCGCATTACACAAATACTGGTCACCACCGTAAAGACTTCTGTCAAAGTCGTTCATGATGTGCCCAAACGAAGTCGGCATTAAGTGAACAAAAATAAAACACACTTTGTGGATACGATAACTCAAGAACAATACATTGCACTGAATTGAAATTTCGTTCAATAATTGTTCGGGTTATAGGACACAAATCTGTTGAAAATCAATGGGAACTTCTGAAGAATAAATTTAATATTATTTAAAGAACATACCATTTATAAAAATTCGATCCGAATTCGAGTGAATAAAAATAAGGCACTCTGTGGAGACGATAACTCAAGAACAAAACATTGCACTGAATTGAAATTTCGTCCAATAATTGTTTTGCATATGGGACTAAAAAAGTTCGAAAATCGACGGAAACACTTGAAGATTAGATTTAATATGATTTAAGGAAAAGTACAATTTATTAATCGCGATAAATTCAATCCGAATTCAAGTCATATTTAATTGATTAAAAATAATGCACTCTTTCTGGAGACGACAACTCAAGAAAAACACATTGCATTGAATTGAAAATAAGTCCAATAATTGGTCGAGGTATGGGGCACAAAGTGATTAAAAATCGACGGGAACCATTGAAGATTAAATTGAATATGATTTCATGAAATACAGTGTACTGTACCCATCGCGAAAAATTTAATTCGAATTCGAGTCGCTTATAAAGGAACAAAAAAAATAAAGCACTCTTTATGGAGACGATAACTCAAGAAAAACACAATGCACTGATTTGAAATTGCGTCCCATAATTGACTGTGATACGATATAATCAATTCAAAATTCGACAGAAACCGTTGAAGAAAAAAAATTATACAACAAAAACAAAACCACCGTGTACGTGCAAGGGCACTCCCGTACATTTTACTAATATCAATTTCCTCCAAAAGAGGGCGCGCTACACAAATACTGGTCAGCTAGTGTACAGTGTTGTGACGACCTCTGTCAACGTAGATCACGATCTGCTCAAACAAAGACGGTATTAAGTGAACCGTAAAACACACTTTGTGGAGACGATAATTCAAGAACAACACAGTGCTCTGAATTGAAATTTCGTTCAATAATTGTTCGGGATATAGGACACAAATCTGTTGAAAATCAACGGGAAATTCTGAAGAATAAATTGCTATGTGGTTTGCAGTGTCTATGGATATTGATGGGATTAGCTCCATTCATGGAAGCTGTTTATTGGTATTAATCATGTCATGTTTGCTCTCCGTTTCCTGAAGGCAACTAGCCATGGTGACCGTTCTGCTTCAAGGCCGGACCCATCTTAACTTCAAAGAGTTCCGCGTCCGTGGTCACTTACAATTTTTCAACCACATCCTTGGAATCCTACAACTTCTTGAACCTCAACTTTTTGCTCAGCCCTCTACAGTTCTGCATGGCATCATGGAGGCCTACTTCCCTATCCTACCGGTATGTAGTACTTATCAGGGGAAATATTTTGTATATTAACTGGCAGTGAGGGCACTATATAGTGCATGATTTTATTGAAGCCGAATTTCTTATCCTACCAATATGTGGTAGTTGAATTAGCATGGCTAATTGTCTGTCCCTATTGCCACAGAAAGGGGTAATATTTTGTATATTGACTGGCACTGAGGGCACTAGTGAATGCTGATATTGAGATCGCTTCCCCATCCAACCTGTATATAGTATTTATTAAACTAGCACAAATAACTGCATATACCTTGTCACTCTGGATGGGGAAATATTGTTTTTTATATTGACTGGCAGCGAGGGCACTAGTGCATATCTGTGTGCTAGCCTACATTCCCATACTGCATACAATTAGTATTGGAATAAATATGGATAATATACAGTTGTGTAATATTTGTGTACTATTGTATCTTTGACTCATTATAGCATTCTGTGATTGCTAAGAAGCCTCTGGAATCCATCATTATTTCATCCAGCTTCTGTATCAGTACTCCAGCCACAACCCAACCCAGGCTCAGCCGCTCCTAGAGAAACACTCAACAGCACTCAAGTAAGCAAACTCACTCTTGTTTTACAATACTCCCAGGGACAATGCTTTGTGTTTTCCTGTGTCCCTGTAACATAACACTCTCCCATTGACTAAGCACACAAACCTACTACAAAGGACCGTTTTGAACAAGAGACCCAACTCCCAAGGACTGAAAGGATGTGTTGTTCTCCCTTTGTGTGTTTGTCGTCGTGGGTTATGTAGAAAGTACGACACTTACAGAATTTGAAGTACATAATTTGAAGTACACAAAGTTATGGGCTGTTCAAATCTCGTCGCGTTGGAGAAACTTGTAACTCTATTGTCCCTCTCCTTTATCAAAAATCTTCCCATAGCAACCTATCCCAGGTCTACCCAGACATCCAGCAGCTCAAGTCCCTATTGGCCAGCATCACGCTGACCTCATCCTCCAAGGACCAATCAGGGCTTGGCTCCGCCCCCAACCAGGCGGAGCCAGCTATGGATGAGATCCCAGGGGTCGGAGGTCGCGAGGAGACTTACTCGCCGACACTTGCCGCCATGATGGGGGCTGATGCATCGTGGGATACTGAGGACGTCAAGTCGTTCGCTGAGAGACTTTCTCAAGAAGAAGATTCTGAAGGTATGTATGGCAACTAGGATGAGGCACATGGACCAAATACTATTGTACTGAGAACTGAAAACAGTGAAGAAATGTTCAGATTTAGTGGTGGGAGGAAACCTCAGAAGAATATTCCGTGGTTTTCCGTGGAATCAGGTAGGGACAGAAAACCTAAATTAACGTGTTGGCTAAGGTGGGATTCGAACCACAGAGGTGGAAGTCGAGGGAAGTACCAGATGAATGGTAGATTATATCAAGGTTGTAAAGATATCAAAAACTGATGTCTTCAACTTTTCTCTGAAGCTGAGTGTATGTGGTCTTTCTCTTGATGTTTTCACTGGTCTCCTCTGTTTTGTTGACTAGGCATGGCTGAAGCCTTGGATGAGCTGGAGGAGAAGTCTAGCAGTGCTGTGGGAATACTGCAACATTTTGTGGTGAGTGAGGAAGTCCAAGGTTTACTCTTCAGTGACCAGAACAGCCAAAATGCCTGCAGTGGCTTCAGACTGCCAGCATTTTTAATACCCTTTTTATCATGTTTATAGCACATGAGAAACCAAACCTTTTTGAAAATCAGTCAGACACTAGACCATTATCATGTTGTGACCATCTTGATTTTTCCCATTCAAATCAGCGTAACCAAAGCGAGGCTGGAAGAAAAAAATAGTCTGTTTCCTTTTTGCACAAAAAACATTATCATTCAGTAATGTTATTGGATACAGGGAACATGACTGAAATGTGACAGCGTGATAAAGGTCTATACAGTTGTAGTATACAGCTTTCAAAATAGGAAACCTGTTTACGTTTATAACTTTTAAACTTAGCTCAGTTTGGAAAATGCCGTTGGGATCGATAAAGTAATACGTACTGAGAAAAGAGTGGGTTATTATAATGACATTTTCTGATGGGGAAAAGCTTTATTTATTTGATGTTTATTGTAATTTGCCGCTTTTGCTTTCCATTCAGGCTGAATTATCCACTCAGATGACGTCATGCAACAAAGACTGCAGGCAGACGGCGTTTGTTCTCGTCATTCGATACATCAGACACGACCCAAGGTATTAAACCATTGTTGTCACAGGCTTTAGTACAACTTTCCTTTTCAAGAATAGGATCTCAAATAATTTTGTCCCAAAATTGCCAGTGACTGTGAATCTCATCATAATAAAACTAAAAACCTTAATAAGTTGTCGAGAACACCCCAATCAGAAACACCAGACTCTGAGAAAAGAATTATAAAAAAAAACTATTACCAGAATTCATAAACATTTCATATTTGATTTCACTGAGTATGGATGGACTGCAGATTTGGAGGCCTGTTGCTTAACATGACACAAGGTTCCAATTTATCCAGCATTCCCTTCCAATTGCTGCGCAGTGTTTGCTTTTGCAAAAAACAACAACACAGAGATAAGAATTAAACACTTTGTTTTGTTTTTCTGTTGTCAGCGTTGCCAGCAAGTTTCTCCCAGCTTATATGGAATGTCTGAACAGCATGGATCAAGAAGTGGTACAGACAGCTTTGAAGAATCTTCCTGAGTTTACGCTCCTCTGCCAAGGTAAATTTCAAAAGCTGTGCAACAATTTGAATTACCATCTAGATGTTCTGCTTATTACAACCTATCTCATCTACAGTTTTACTATTCTGAAAATTTGGAGCGCTGTGGTCCAATGTTTATGGTGTTAGATTCATATGCAATGGTACATGGGTTCGAACCCTGGCTGGGAACATTGTGTTTGCATTCTTAGGCAAGACACTTTACAACAATTGCCTCTCTCCACCCAGGAGTATAAATGGGTACCTGTGAAGGTAGAGACCAGAATGTGCTGATCGCTGCAGAATAATGGTCTCATTCCTGATGAATAGGGATGATAATTATAAGCACTTTGAGACCTTTGGTATGAAGCGCTATATAAGCATTACATTATTATTATTTAAAAAAATCAATAAGTAGATTTGCAGAGGTAATAGCTTAAATGGAGGATAGGATTTAGGATAGCAAAATTACTTTAAACCTGAGGAAAAAAAACATAAAAACAGATGCTAATTACATTTGATGTCATTAAACATTCTTCGATAAGACTACCAAAAAAGAAACGATGCATCACAATTTTGGCCCTCATTTGCATGACATACGAACCGGTATTTATCTTGTAAACTACTCACAATATTATGTTGTCTTCGTTCTGACAGAGAATGCTGAGGTTGTGCTACAGAAAGCCTTCACCGTTGGAGTCAACAGCAAACTGTCCACAGTTCCACTCATAGCAGAGACACTGAAACTACTCAGCATGGATAGTGCCTCAACAACCTCAAACACTACGACTCCAAGCTGATGATGGGCATTCCTGAAACTACTCAGCATGGATAGTGCCCCAACAACCTCAAACACTACCACTCCAAGCTGATGATGGGCATTCCTGAAACTACTCAGCATGGATAGTGCCTCAACAACCTCAAACACTATGACTCCAAGCTGATGATGGGCATTCCTGAAACTACTCAGCATGGATAGTGCCCCAACAACCTCAAACACTACCACTCCAAGCTGATGATAGGCATTCCTGAAACTACTCAGCATGGATAGTGCCTCAACAACCTCAAACACTACGACTCCAAGCTGATGATGGGCATTCCTGAAACTACTCAGCATGGATAGTGCCCCAACAACCTCAAACACTACCACTCCAAGCTGATGATGGGCATTCCTGAAACTACTCAGCATGGATAGTGCCCCAACAACCTCAAACACTACCACTCCAAGCTGATGATAGGCATTCCTGAAACTACTCAGCATGGATAGTGCCTCAACAACCTCAAACACTACCACTCCAAGCTGATGATGGGCATTCCTGAAACTACTCAGCATGGATAGTGCCCCAACAACCTCAAACACTACGACTCCAAGCTGATGATGGGCATTCCTGAAACTACTCAGCATGGATAGTGCCCCAACAACCTCAAACACTACCACTCCAAGCTGATGATGGGCATTCCTGAAACTACTAAGCATGGATAGTGCCTCAACAACCTCAAACACTACCACTCCAAGCTGATGATGGGCATTCCTGAAACTACTCAGCATGGATAGTGCCTCAACAACCTCAAACACTACCACTCCAAGCTGATGATGGGCATTCCTGAAACTACTCAGCATGGATAGTGCCTCAACAACCTCAAACACTACCACTCCAAGCTGATGATGGGCATTCCTGAAACTACTCAGCATGGATAGTGCCTCAACAACCTCAAACACTACGACTCCAAGCTGATGATGGGCATTCCTGAAACTACTCAGCATGGATAGTGCCCCAACAACCTCAAAAACTATGACTCCAAGCTGATGATGGGCATTCCTGAAACTACTCAGCATGGATAGTGCCTCAACAACCTCAAACACTACGACTCCAAGCTGATGATGGGCATTCCTGAAACTACTCGGCATGGATAGTACCTCAACAACCTCAAAAACTACGACTCCAAGCTGATGATGGGCATTCCTGAAACTACTCAGCATGGATAGTGCCTCAACAACCTCAAACACTACCACTCCAAGCTGATGATGGGCATTCCTAAAACTACGATGACTTCTTCAGCTTCAGCTCTAGGCTTGGCTAGCATCAGCCGTGTTTGATACAACTGTCAAATGTTTGTATTGCAACACATGTGATAAACTGTTACTGAATGCGGACTGTGTCGATACTTCATCAATCACAAAGCTGACGATGCCTTGTCTGAGATGTGGCTTTGTCTCCAACTTTGACTCCAGGCTTGCCCAGCATTGGATGAAATGAACAGTCAACAATTATATCGCAACACAGACCACATACAAATTAATGTGGACTACATGTCAACACTTCATGTACCGTTACAACACATAGTTGATGATGCCTTTTCTGAGACTTCGGCTTCATCGCCAGCCTTGGCTCCCAGCTCAACTCGCATCGACAGTATTGGATAAAATAAAGTGTTAATCAATTTGCAACATAGATAAGAATATTACATTGTTATTGAATACTCTTTCTACTACTTTGGCTCCAGACTGCAGCTTTGTGATTTGGAGTTCCTTTCTTTTACGATTGGGGCTTAAAATATATGTATATGTTGATGTTCTGCTAAAAAAGCCAACACTTTGAGTATTTCCATTTTTGTTCCTACACATTTTTGACGGACCAGATAGTAAGCCAAAGTCTAAAAGGAATATACGGTTTGAAAAATGGCTGTAACAGTTGTCTTTAATTGACCTATCGCCGTTTGTGAGTTGGCCACGACCATTAGACAACCGTTTGGAATTTTCGTACGTTGAGTTTTGTTTGTCTCAGATTTTGCGCGTCCTGCACCACTTGTATATCATGTAATTGGACATTTCAAAAGCTGCATTGATGTGATTCTACCGTGATACGTTAATTGCAATAAAACAGTAAAAACAATAAAAATGTTTTATATGGCATAAACTACTACACTGTACTGTAATTACTCCAGTATATAAATATTGTTGCTTAGTTCTTGTTCTCATTCTTGTGCATTGTACTATAGATTGAAAAAGAAATCTCATACTTGTGTAAAGGGCGGCCTAAAAAAAGTAATTTGAAAGTTGTGGTTTATGACTGTAATGAAGTTAAATACATCATAGTGCTCCTTTAAAATCATTCTAAAGGTTTGAAAATTTACATTGAGCCATCCCATGCCATCAATTTCAAAACATACTTCGCAATCAGCATATAGCTCAAATCTTGGGCTGATAGATATGTGTTTTGGGTGCATTTTGGCATGGGGTAGTTATTTGCAGGAATGAACAAAAGTCTTTGAAATGATTTATCTCGTTATAGAAAAGATATTTAATTCTATGTACCAACACCCTACCTTCAACCTGTTTACATGTTTGCATATTTTCATTGACATAAAAACGTTGATGCATTTAGTTACTAAATTCAGTTGCATGCTGAAATTGTTGCAAACAAAATCTTACTCTCAAAGTGAACCTGTGTAGAAATTCTATGAAAACTGTAAAAAATCCCGGGGAAAATGACCATAAAAATACCTTACATAGCAGCAATGCTGACCATGTGCAGTGTTTATAGGAATGGATATAGTATTTGCAACTAATTTCACAAATGTAAAAACCTATGTTTCATGGAAAATTTGGAAAGAAAAAGTTTGAAAAGGAAGGCCTGGCTTTAGTTTGGAGTTAAGTTGGGGCCTCATGAAAAGAAAATGATTCACGTACCAAGAAACATGAATCACCTTTAAAACATTGATTTTTCATGTTTAATTACTGTAAAATGTGACAAGCAAAGGTTTTTATAGGTCGGCATACATAAATATTTTGACTTTGAAATTAGAGTTGTTGTATACATGCACATGTACAGAATAAACCTTTATTTAAAAAAAAGAAGAAGACAATTTGTTGTTGTCCTTTGTTTGTTGTTCTAGATTTGTTTTCGTTAGTAAACCTTTGAAATGGGCCGGGATATGTGAAGGTTAAAATAGAAATGGCCATATGAAGAGAGGGATGGGGGAATATATCACACTATTTACTGCCATCAAGTCTACAAAAACTGTACAAAAGGGGTCATTAATTTCCACACAGCAGCGCTATAAACTGAATATTCATATATTCAAATTCACTGTGAAAAGGCTGAGCCCGGGGCGGCTGAAATTGAATGAAACTGCATCTCTAGCTATACACCGTACACCGCAATTCGCCTTAAGCCGGTTAGTTTTGTCTAAAGGCGTTTTGTATTTCTACTTCTGTGGTGCACGTGCACCGTATATATACTTAGAACGAGGAGGCTTGTGTAACGGATGCAAGGGAGTCTATTTTCTTTGTTAATTTCTTTTGTTGAATCTGGCTTTAACAATAAAATGTTTCCATTTAGGCGAAAGGATTAAACGCCGCTATCTTTTTCCATGCTTGAGTGCATCTGAATGGGTGTTTTTCAAGCGGAAAATCACGAAATACAGCTCTTATACAGCATTTTAACCCACAAAATGATACTTTTTGTAGAGGAAATTGCATACTGAATAAAACTGTACTTTCAAAATGCAAAAATTCGCCGTATTAAGGAAATCGATGTCAATTTTTTTGGGAGTTTCAAGCAAAACCTTTCCACTTTCCAACGTAGGTGGCGCTATATATATTTCGTTCACAGTATACAGTGTGCCTCAAATACGTACCGCGGTACTGTACCGCTAGGGGCGACGTACCGCTAGAGGCGACTTAATTACCGCTAGAGGCGACGTCGCCCCTAGAGGTACACGGTACCGCTAGAGGCGACGTACCGCTAGAGGCGACGTCGCCCCTAGAGGTACACGGTACTGCTAGAGGCGACATACCGCTAGAGGCGACGTACCGCTAGAGGCGACGTCGCCCCTAGAGGTACACGGTACCGCTAGAGGCGACGTACCGCTAGAGGCGACGTCGCCCCTAGCGGTAAACGGTACCGCTAGAGGCGACGTCGCCTCTAGCGGTACGTCGCCTCTAGCGGACCGCGTCGCCCCTAGCGGTATACGGTACCGCTAGAGGCGACGTACCGCTAGAGGCGACGTCGCCCCTAGAGGTACACGGTACCGCTAGAGGCGACATACCGCTAGAGGCGACGTACCGCTAGAGGCGACGTCGCCCCTAGAGGTACACGGTACTACTAGAGGCGACATACCGCTAGAGGCGACGTACCGCTAGAGGCGACGTCGCCCCTAGAGGTACACGGTATACCGCTAGAGGCGACGTACCGCTAGAGGCGACGACGCCTCTAGCGGTACACGGTAACGCTAGAGGCGACGTACCGCTAGAGGCGACGTCGCCCCTAGAGGTACACGGTACCGCTAGAGGCGACATACCGCTAGAGGCGACGTACCGCTAGAGGCGACGTCGCCTCTAGCGGTACGTCGCCTCTAGCGGTACCGTGTACCTCTAGGGGCGACGTCGCCTCTAGCGGTAATTAAGTCGCCTCTAGCGGTACGTCGCCCCTAGCGGTACAGTACTGCTAGGGGCGACGTATTTGAGGCACACTGTATACTGTGAACGAAATATATATAGCGCCACCTACGTTGGAAAGTGGAAAGGTTTTGCTTGAAACTCCCAAAAAAATTGACATCGATTTCCTTAATACGGCGAATTTTTGCATTTTGAAACTACAGTTTTATTCAGTATGCAATTTCCTCTGCAAAAAGTATCATTTTTTGGGTTAAAATGCTGTAAAAGAGCTGTATTTCGTGATTTTCCGCTTGAAAAACACCCATTCAGATGCACTCAAGCATGGAAAAAGATAGCGGCGTTTAATCCTTTCGCCTGAATGGAAACATTTTATTGTTAACGCCAGATTCAACAAAAGAAATTAACAAAGAAAATAGACTCCCTTGCATCCGTTACACAAGCCTCCTCGTTCTAAGTATATATACGGTGCACGTGCACCACAGAAGTAGAAAGACAAAACGCCTTTAGACAAAACTAACCGGCTTAAGGCGAATTGCGGTGTACGGTGTATAGCTAGAGATGCAGTTTCATTCAATTTCAGCCGCCCCGGGCTCAGCCTTTTCACAGTGAATTTGAATATATGAATAATCAGTTTATAGCGCTGCTGCGTGGAAGTTAATGACCCCTTTTGTACAGTTTTTGTAGACTTGATGGCAGTAAATAGTGTGATATATTCCCCCATCCCTCTCTTCATATGGCCATTTCTATTTTAACCTTCACATATCCCGGCCCATTTCAAAGGTTTACTAACGAAAACAAATCTAGAACAACAAACAAAGGACAACAACAAATTGTCTTCTTCTTTTTTTAAATAAAGGTTTATTCTGTACATGATCATGTATACAACAACTCTAATTTCAAAGTCAAAATATTTATGTATGCTGACCTATAAAAACCTTTGCTTGTCACATTTTACAGTAATTAAACATGAAAAATCAATGTTTTAAAGGTGACTCATGTTTCTTGGTACGTGAATCATTTTCTTTTCATGAGGCCCCAACTTAACTCCAAACTAAAGCCAGGCCTTCCTTTTCAAACTTTTTCTTTCCAAATTTTCCATGAAACATAGGTTTTTACATTTGTGAAATTAGTTGCAAATACTATATCCATTCCTATAAACACTGCACATGGTCAGCATTGCTCCTATGTAACGTATTTTTATGGTCATTTTCCCCGGGATTTTTTACAGTTTTCATAGAATTTCTACACAGGTTCACTTTGAGAGTAAGATTTTGTTTGCAACAATTTCAGCATGCAACTGAAATTAGTAACTAAATGCATCAACGTTTTTATGTCAATGAAAATATGCAAACATGTAAACAGGTTGAAGGTAGGGTGTTGGTACATAGAATTAAATATCTTTTCTTTAACAAGATAAATCATTTCAATGACTTTTGTTCATTCCTGCAAATAACTACCCCGTGCCAAAATGCACCCAAAACACATATCTATCAGCCCAAGATTTGAGCTATGCTGATTGCGAAGTATGTTTTGAAATTGATGGCATGGGATGGCTCAATGTAAATTTTAAAACCTTTAGAATGATTTTAAAGGAGCACTATGATGTATTTAAGTTCATAACTTTCATAAACCACAACTTTCAGATTACTTTTTTTAGGACACCCTGTACACAAGTATGAGATTTCTTTTCAATCTATAGTACAATGCACAAGAATGGGAACAAGAACAAAGCAACAATATTTACATACTGGAGTAATTACAGTAGTAGTTTAGCCATATAAAACAATTTAGTTGTTTTTACTGTTTTATTGCTATTAACGTATCGCGGTAGAATCACATCAATGCAGCTTTCGAAATGTCCAATTACATGATATACAAGTGGTGCAGGACGCGCAAAATCTGAGACAAACAAAACTCAACGTACGAAAATTCCAAACGGTTGTTTAATGGTCGTGGCCAACTCACAAATGGCAATAGGTCAATTAAAGACAACTGTTATAGCCATTTTTCAAACCCTATATTCCTTTTAGACTTTGGCTTACTATCTGGTTCTTCAAAAATGTGTAGGAACAAAAATGGAAATATTCAAAGTGTTGGCTTTTTTTAGCAGAACATCAACATATACATATATTTTAAGCCCCAATCGCAAAAGAAAGGAACTCCAAATCACAAAGCTGCAGTCTGGAGCCAAAGTAGTAGAAAGAGTATTCAATAACAATGTAATATTCTTATCTATGTTGCAAAATGATTAACACTTTATTTTATCCAATACTGTCGATGCGAGTTGAGCTGGGAGCCTAGGCTGGCGATGAAGCCGAAGTCTCAGAAAAGGCATCATCAACTATGTGTTGTAACGGTACATGAAGTGTTGACATGTAGTCCACATTTAGTAACGGTGTATGTGGTCTGTGTTGCGATATAATTGTTGACTGTTCATTTCATCCAATGCTGGGCAAGCCTGGAGTCAAAGTTGGAGACAAAGCCACGTCTCAGAAAAGGCATCGTCAGCTTTGTGATTGATGAAGTATCGACACAGTCCACATTCAGTAACAGTTTATCACATGTGTTGCAATACAAACATTTGACAGTTGTATCAAACACGGCTGATGCTAGCCAAGCCTGGAGCTGAAGCTGAAGAAGTCATTGTAGTTTCAGGAATGCCCATCATCAGCTTGGAGTCGTAGTGTTTGAGGTTGTTGTGGCACTATCCATGCTGAGTAGTTTCAGGAATGCCCATCATCAGCTTGGAGTCGTAGTGTTTGAGGTTGTTGTGGCACTATCCATGCTGAGTAGTTTCAGGAATGCCCATCATCAGCTTGGAGTCGTAGTGTTTGAGGTTGTTGAGGCACTATCCATGCTGAGTAGTTTCAGGAATGCCCATCATCAGCTTGGAGTCGTAGTGTTTGAGGTTGTTGAGGCACTATCCATACTGAGTAGTTTCAGGAATGCCCATCATCAGCTTGGAGTCGTAGTGTTTGAGGTTGTTGAGGCACTATCCATGCTGAGTAGTTTCAGGAATGCCCATCATCAGCTTGGAGTCGCAGTGTTTGAGGTTGTTGTGGCACTATCCATGCTGAGTAGTTTCAGGAATGCCTATCATCAGCTTGGAGTCGTAGTGTTTGAGGTTGTTGAGGCACTATCCATGCTGAGTAGTTTCAGTGTCTTTGCTATGAGTGGAACTGTGGACAGTTTGCTGTTGACTCCGACGGTGAATGCTTTCTGTAGCACAACCTCAGCATTCTCTGTCGGAACGAAGACAACATAATATTGTGAGTAGTTTACAAGATAAATACCGGTTCGTATGTCATGCAAGTGAGGGCCAAAATTGTGATGCATCCTTTTTTTTTTGGTAGTCTTATCGAAGAATGTTTAATGACATGTTTTTTTCCCTCAGGTTTAAAGTAATTTTGCTATCCTAAATCCTGTCCTCCATTTAAGCTATTACCTCTGCAAATCTACTTATTGATTTTTTTTAATAATAATAATGTAATGCTTATATAGCGCTTCATACCAAAGGTCTCAAAGTGCTTATAATTATCATCCCTATTCATCAGGAATGAGACCATTATTCTGCAGCGATCAGCACATTCTGGTCTCTACCTTCACAGGTACCCATTTATACTCCTGGGTGGAGAGAGGCAATTGTTGTAAAGTGTCTTGCCTAAGAACGCAAACACAATGTTCCCAGCCAGGGTTCGAACCCATGTACCATTGCATATGAATCTAACACCATAAACATTGGACCACAGCGTTCCAAATTTTCAAAATAGTAAAACTGTAGATGAGATAGGTTGTAATAAGCAGAACATCTAGATGGTAATTCAAATTGTTGCACAGCTTTTGAAATGTTGTTTTACCTTGGCAGAGGAGCGTAAACTCAGGAAGATTCTTCAAAGCTGTCTGTACCACTTCTTGATCCATGCTGTTCAGACATTCCATATAAGCTGGGAGAAACTTGCTGGCAACGCTGACAACAGAAAAACAAAACAAAGTGTTTAATTCTTATCTCCATGTTGTTGTTTTTTGCAAAAGCAAACACTGTGCAGCAATTGGAAGGGAATGCTGGATAAATTGGAACCTTGTGTCATGTAAAGCAACAGGCCTCCAACTCTGCAGTCCATCCATACTCAGTGAAATCAAATATGAAATTTTTATGAATTCTGGTAATAGTTTTTTTATAATTCTTTTCTCAGAGTCTGGTGTTTGTGATTGGGGTGTTCTCGACAACTTATTAAGATTTTTAGTTTTATTATGATGAGATTCACAGTCACTGGCAATTTTGGGATAAAATTATTTGAGATCCTATTCTTGAAAAGGAAAGTTGTACTAAAGCCTGTGACAACAATGGTTTAATACCTTGGGTCGTGTCTGATGTATCGAATGACGAGAACAAACGCCGTCTACCTGCAGTCTTTGTTGCATGACGTCATCTGAGTGGACAATTCAGCCTGAATGGAAAGCAAAAGAGGCAAATTACAATAAACATCAAATAAATAAAGCTTTTCCCCATCAGAAAATGTCATTATAATAACCCACTCTTTTCTCAGTACGTATTACTTTATCGATCCCAACGGCATTTTCCAAACTGAGCTAAGTTTAAAAGTTATAAACGTAAACAGGTTTCCTATTTTGAAAGCTGTATACTACAACTGTATAGACCTTTATCACGCTGTCACATTTCAGTCATGTTCCCCGTATCCAATAACATTACTGAATGATAATGTTTTTTGTGCAAAAAGGAAACAGACTATTTTTTTTTTTCTTCCAGCCTCGCTTTGGTTACGCTGATTTGAATGGGAAAAAATCAAGATGGTCACAACATGATAATGGTCTAGTGTCTGACTGATTTTCAGAAAGGTTTGGTTTCTCATGTGCTATAAAAAGGGTATTAAAAATGCTGGCAGTCTGAAGCCACTGCAGGCATTTTGGCTGTTCTGGTCACTGAAGAGTAAACCTTGGACTTCCTCATCATAGATCACTCACCACAAAATGTTGCGGTATTCCCACAGCACTGCTAGACTTCTCCTCCAGCTCATTCAAGGCTTCAGCCATGCCTAGTCAACAACACAGAGGAGACCGATGAAAACATCAAGAGAAAGATAACATACACTGAGCTTCAGAGAAAAGTTGAAGACATCAGTTTTTGATATCTTTACAACCTTGATATAATCTACCATTCATCTGGTACTTCCCTCGACTTCCACCTCTGCGGTTCGAATCCCACCTTAACCAACACGTTAATTTAGGTTTTCTGTCCCTACCTGATTCCACGGAAAACCATGGAATACTCTTCTGGGGTTTCCTCCCACCACTAAATCAGAACATTTCTTCACTGTTTTCAGTTCTCAGTACAATAGTATTTGGTCCACGTGCCTCATCCTGCCATACATACCTTCAGAATCTTCTTCTTGAGAAAGTCTCTCAGCGAACGACTTGACGTCCTCGGTATCCCACGATGCATCAGCCCCCATCATGGCGGCAAGTGTCGGCGAGTAAGTCTCCTCGCGACCTCCGACCCCTGGGATCTCATCCATAGCCGGCTCCGCCTGGTTGGGGGCGGAGCCAAGCCCTGATTGGTCCTTGGAGGATGAGGTCAGCGTGATGCTGGCCAATAGGGACTTGAGCTGCTGGATGTCTGGGTAGACCTGGGATAGGTTGCTATGGGAAGATTTTTGATAAAGGAGAGGGACAATAGAGTTACAAGTTTCTCTAACGCGACGAGATTTGAACAGCCCCTAACTTTGTGTACTTCAAATTCTGTACTTCAAATTCTTCAAGTGTCGTACTTTCTACATAACCCACGACGACAAACACACAAAGGGAGAACAACAGATCCTTTCAGTCCTCGGGAGTTGGGTCTTTTGTTCAAAACGGTCCTTTGTAGTAGGTTTGTGTGCTTAGTCTATGGGAGAGTGTTATGTTACAGGGACAAAGGAAAACACAAAGCATTGTCCCTGGGAGTATTGTAAAACAAGAGTGAGTTTGCTTACTTGAGTGCTGTTGAGTGTTTCTCTAGGAGCGGCTGAGCCTGGGTTGGGTTGTGGCTGGAGTACTGATACAGAAGCTGGATGAACTTGGTAATGATGGATTCCAGAGGCTTCTTAGCAATCACAGAATGCTATAATGAGTCAAAGATACAATAGTACACAAATATAACCCAACTGTATATTATCCATATTTATTCCAATACTAATTGTATGCAGTATGGGAATGTAGGCTAGCACACAGATATGCACTAGTGCCCTCGCTGCCAGTCAATATAAAAAACAATATTTCCCCATTCAGAGCGACAAGGTATATGCAGTTATTCATCTAGTTTAATAAATACTATATACAGGTTGGATGGGGAAGCGATCTCAATATCATCATTCACTAGTGCCCTCAGTGCCAGTCAATATACAAAATATTACCCCTTTCTGTGGCAATAGGGACAGACAATTAGCCATGCTAAGTCAACTACCACATATTGGTAGGATAAGAAATTCGGCTTCAATAAAATCATGCACTTAGTGCCCTCACTGCCAGTTAATATACAAAATATTTCCCCTGTTAAGTACTACATACCGGTAGGATAGGGAAGTAGGCCTCCATGATGCCATGCAGAACTGTAGAGGGCTGAGCAAAAAGTTGAGGTTCAAGAAGTTGTAGGATTCCTAGGATGTGGTTGAAAAATCGTAAGTGACCACGGATGCGGAACTCTTTGAAGTTAAGATGGGTCCGGCCTTGAAGCAGAACGGTCACCATGGCTATAGTTGCCTTCAGGAAACGGACAGCAAACATGACATGATTAATACCAATAAACAGCTTCCATGAATGGAGCTAATCCTATCAATATCCATTAGTAGACACTGCAGATGTTACCTCATACATGAAAATGAGGACAGCATCGCCCTCAATACAAAATATATCATGTCATGAAGACATTGCTATGCTGGTTGTTTTCTGTTTTTGTATCTGAGTAAGACATTGAGGCAGGTGTTGACCTCAATTCTTCCGCCTACCTGAGTATGAGTACAGGGTGTTCTGCTGCCAGCTTGCGGCAGGCTACGTTGGCATCATCGGCCTTCTGCTTGCTGGTATCTCCTGGTTTGCTGTCTGCTAACACACACAGTAACCTGGAGAGAAGAAATCCACAAGCAGATTATTGGAAATTTCATTGAAATTGCTACAGAAGTGTTACTGTGTAGCAGAGGCACTACAATGTCACTGTTCATCTCTAGTTACTGCTGATCAAGCTTGTGATTGACTTCTGACTTTGCAAGAGATGAACTCGTAATATTCTTTCAATATTGGGTTTTGCCCTTCCCCGATGTATTGTATAATTATTTTTCACATTGGTGCTGAACAAAACCTAATTTTGAACTTACATCACCATGACGCAAATTCCATCTCATGAAAAAGAATAGTCTTTTTTAAATATCTGAGTCATTCATATACGCCATCTGAATGCTGGTGAGCAGGGCAATTAATAGTTTCAAAACATTTTCAATGCCCGCCCCAGAAATTGATGACGTTTCTAATTGATTCTAAAAAAGTAAGTTTGGAGGATTTTTGAACTGGCTCAAACTTTAAGGTTACAATTTTTCTGGAGCCTAAATGAAGCCAAACCTCAGGAGAAGTCAAGATTTGAACAATACTTTTTAAGAAAGTACCTACCTGTGTGTGAGGCAGTCGACTGGGGTGGGTATATTACTAGTGTCTTGTGATTGTAGCTTGGTACTGATGAAGGAGAGATTCTGTATAGTCTCAGGGACCTGCAGGTATAGCTCTAGTAATAACTGCTGGTATAGGGCAGAGGACGGGCTGGAAAAAAAGGGAAAATACAAACACAACTTGTTATTAATGGAGACTTCTTGCGCGGAGGATTTGTTTGATGTTTCAGAAAAGTTAAATCCCAAACTTCAACGGCAATTTTTGTCCAACACTGGACCAGAAAATCCTCAAACTCAAAATGGTGAAATTTGGTTGATGTACAAGAAAAAATCTGAAACCTACTACATGTATCAAAATTTTTATCTCATCAGAGAAGTAAAATTCTACTTTTACAATGGTGATATTCTTGAAAAATATTTGAGAGCAAAAAAATCTACAAACTTTGTCTCGCGACTACAGTCGCCAAGGTATCTGATAAGGTGCTCGGCCACGCCCTTGTTGCCATGGAAACTGGTCAAGAGCAAGGAGAGCCGGGCTTTGATGGTGTTAGAGGCCAGTTCCGTCAGACCTTCATCTGCATCGGGTGAGGCACTGGGTGTGGCACTGGGTGGGGCACTGGGTGGGGCACTGGGTGAGGCACTGGGTGGGGCACTGGGTGTGGCAATGGGCGAGGCATTGGGTGTGGCAATGGGCGGGGCACCGTACTGCCCTGATGAATCGGCCGCTTCCTGGATGATGTAATCAGCCAATGCGCAGATCTGGTCCGGCGACAGACATAAAAGACATCTTCTTCAGAGTGTCTCTGAGTTGGACCAAAAACGTACAAATTATCGTGTTTTCTCATTTTTTTCAGGGAGGTGTTCAACGCATCCTATGGAGTTTGCTCATATTTATTCCTTCACCAGTGACAAAGACAGATATGACAGACACTTGAAAATCACTGCCTTGTAAGCCTGGATCCGTAACAGATACGCCATGGGGTTGCCTTCTGGTTTGCTTACCTTAGAAGCCTTGTATCCCGTCCTTGCCAGATCTTGGGTATGTGGATGCACGCCCACAAGAAATCCAATACCAGTGTTGGAGCAAAGGCTTTGACCCTCAAGGCCAAGGCCAAGGCCAAGGCTTTGACCCTCAAGGCCAAGGCCAAGGCCAAGGCTTCGACCCTCAAGCCTCGAGGCCAAGGCCAAGGCTTAACCCTCAAGGCCAAGGCCAAGGCCAAGGCCCTGTTTTATGAAATGACCACTGATATAGAACTAATTATAGTCACATGAGTGACACATCATCACGCAAGGGCGGATCCAGAACACAATTGGGGGGGGGGGGCAAAGAAATGTTGGTCCCCCACCCCCCAAAAAAAGTGGGTCAAAAGATTACGGCTTGGGCTTCGGGGCCCGCTTAAGGGCCCCGAAAAAAAATTGGATTCGAGATGCTCTGTGGTGCGATTTGAGGCAATTTCTGACCATTTTAACCGATGTTTATTTAGGAAAAGATGGTGGTGTACTCATTGCCTGCCTTTATTACGACGTCACATAAAAAAAAAATGGTTTCGTTTTTTTGGGGGGGGGGGGCGTGGCCCCTTTTGACCCCCCTGGATCCGGCCTTATCATCACGAATTGCTCGTTACGAAGAACAACATTTCTTAATTGCAATCAACATGCTCGCATAGGCCTACACCGTTTTATGACTGCACTGTATCTATTAACGTATAAGTTCAGGTCTTCAATATGGTTTAACTAAACAAAATAATGATTTACTTCTATATTGACACACAATTCTCCCAAGTGTAACAAAAGGGGGATCCAAGAAACTGATTTGGGAAATTTTTATTTGCTGGCCCAACATGGTCAGAAATATCAGCATTATCTAAAACAGATACATGCAAATCTTTAGCACTTATCAGGGAGACATACATGTATACAACCAATCAAATCTATTCCATAGTTATATGCAATTAAAGTGATCATCTCATTAGCCCCACAAGTGTACGGAATATTGTTGCAGCAAATCTACTACAATGGTAACAACATGTGATGCTATAAAAGTGGAAGTGTGCCTAACACACAAATCTATATGGTGCTTCCCTCCTCCATCGTACATGTAATACGATTAAAATGGTAACAGCAAAATTTCGAACAGATTTATCTGGAAAATGCAAAACTCTATGGGCCTTGAAGAGCCTTGACTCAAAATTGCAAGGCCCTGAACCCTCAAGGCCAAGGCCAAGGCCAAGGCTTTTGCCCTCAAGCCTCGAGGCCAAGGCCAAGGCCCTAAAATCCAGCCTTAAGGCAGCCTTAAGGCCAAGGCCCAGCATCAAGGCACTACATCACTGTCCAATACAGCCGTTGCACTGAAACTAAACAAACAAAATGACACCAAGATGATCCATTACAAAGCTCCACAATCAACTGAATTCAACACTTACGATCAACATTCAGTGCAAGCATAAATAAATACATAACAAATAATTTGGGAGGCTAATCATCCTAACTTGCAGCTGAGAAGCTGAATTGCGAAGGACACGGCTACAACGTGGTCAAGCCGCAGGCATGTAAAGGCGCCTATGGCAGCCAACCTTACGACCCATATATGACCACAGAGCACAGCCAGAGATCGAAAGTGTTTGATTTTTGAACAAAATTCCTTGTTAACCTGTGAAAATGTTAACCATAAGCACCAAATTTTCTGCCATACTTAGCAGGAAGTCTTAGCGTATGATAAGCAGGACCACGAATCGAGCTCAGATTTGGTCAAAACTTTGAGTTTTGATAAGAATTGTAAATGCCACAATGTTAAGGCAAAACTTCATTTGAAACACTCACCTGCATGCATTTCTAGCAGGCCCCAGTAACCTATCAATGCACTTGTGTAGTGTGCCCCAGTTAGCTTGATGGGTCAGTAGCGCCAGTAGATGTGCGCTACCAATTCGCTTCTGACTGTCTCCACTGCTGCTGAGGCTGTTCCTGTTCCCAAGGGGTGCTGGGGCAAAGATGGCTTGCTGCTGTAAATCAGGGCAAGCCTGGCACGCCTCTGGATCCAGAAGAGCCAGCCAGTCAGTCAGGAGGCCTGAGGTAGAGGCTAGGAGCTGGGGATGACTGAAATAAGAAAACAAATTGTTATAAGAAAGAATCAAAATGTTTCTAATCAGAAAACTCCCAAAAGAGCACATAATTCTCTTAAAATTCCTAGCTAGTCTTTTCAGCAAAATATTCCATGCATTCCTGTACTTTACCTAGAAGTCCGGGTACCAGACGTTGATGAGTGCTTCTGTTGCTGGTGGGTTAGTAGTCTGCTGAGCATGCCTACCCTCTGGCTGGCCTGTGAGGGCGCTCTTCTACCATGGCTAGCTGTCAGGCTGGTTGTCAGTAACTTCTCCATCTGGTTTGCATTGCTGTCTAAGAGCTGCTTACAAACTGGAAAAATAGTCAAGAACGAGGAAAGTTTAGAGCTGAAAATCTTCCTAACTATGTCAAAAGTGTAATCCTTCAATTTCGACATTGAGTTTTCTCCCTGTACAATAGTGATTTCTGCCCTGCCTGAGAGTTTGTAAAAAAAATCAAAAAAAGGGGTGGGGCTCTAATAACCCACGACCTCCAGCTTTTCACCATGTGCCACAATAATGATAGTAGCTTGTGAAATTTTCTTTCCAAAGCTCAATAGATTAAGGTAAAGGTAACACCAGAAATTGAGAGTTTTTACCTTGCTCTATAGTAGTTCATCGTTTGCAGGGGCTTGGCCATGTCTGAATGCCTTCACAACCTTCTCCATAGATTCCTGTTTGTTTTCTTGTGAATCCCTTGTCATCTTCTTCAGGGCTTGGTCGACTAGAAGAAAACAGAAATGTAAAATTGTAAAAATGTTCACTTTCTTAATCCTAAGCATGTTTGGACCCCAGTCACTTGCAAAATCAAAACAGCATTCTCAGGTAATCCCAGATCTTTTAAAATCAACCGGAGAATTTAGATGCATTAGTTCATAAGCATGGGGACCAGCTAAATTGATGTGCACTTCACTCGATGTGTCTGTATCACTTGACTACGGCCAAGAATAACACCCACACTTATGGAAGTCACTGGCTAGCGGCTACAGCCTCTTCCCATAGACTCATGCATTATTTCCAGCCATAGCCAATTGATTTGGACATGGCCTTATTCTAATTCTTAGGTTACAGAGCACCCTCGTTAGTTCACTAATGGATTTGTATGCTTAGTAACTCCATGATAATTGCCGCTTACCTCTCTCGTGAGTAGCAAACTTAGCAGTGGACCACCGATGTCTGCCCGCGTGGTAAGCTGACATGGAAGGAGACTGCCATCCTTCACTATACTTAGCAAACTGCTTAGCCGCTCAGAGGGTTTGTGTAGCGGAATGTTCTCAGTCTCCGAATGTCCTTCAAAATCTCCTGAGTAGATACAACAGTGATAAGCAATTGGTTTTAAATGGGACAAATATGTTTTGTATTTAATCGACTTCAATATCCTATCTGAGATTATTCAGTCAAGTGTGACAACATGTTACCGTTGTTGACACATGTGCAAAGAAAACAGGAAAAACGAAAAGGTCTGCTTTGTCTCACCTGTTGTATGGTAGCAAACACCTGTCGAGATTCCTCTGACGGCTCATCTTTAAATAACTGCAAGACACAAATGAGAAGTTGGATTTAACCAAATTTATATACATTGTATCAATGCATGCTCTTTCGTTTGCGATTCCATCACTACTAAGTTTTGCACAAACTATTACACACTTTACTGTCATTTTCCATTTTATCTTTTTGGAAGTATTTAATCTAGTCCTTATCTGAAATTTAATTTCTTACTTTTATTCTGATGTACTGTTTACTATTTTCATTGTTAAAACATCTCATAATTGTCGATTTTATTCCAGTTGGGTTTGGATAAAAAGCTTTTTTTGGGGGGGGGGGGTGTCTTTGCATTCCGTTCACATTTTTTAACATTATAATTCTTAGTGTCTGACTATCTTGCGATTTTTTGCTGTTTTTCCACAAATGGGCATTTGTTGTTAGAGAGATGGAGCTGAAGCTAAAGGCTCAGCCTAGATTTCAAAAATGGCTCAAGACGTCATCTTGTCCAACATCTGAGACTGTCCTACCTTGATGAGTAGCTTGCACCATTCCTCTTGGTGGTCTTCATCAGGCAATCTCAATGCCGACTCAGAAGTGTCCATCTTCTCCACAGATTCCTCCTTCTTACTCTCAACTTTGTCTACAATTTTTTTTTTTAAATTAAGTATGTTACAGGGTAACTGACCAAGGTGTGGTGTGGGCAGAGAGAGATGGTACTAGGTGAAAAGGGGGTGGGTTGATGAATCTTACCTTTGTCCTTGTCCGAGGGTTCCTCCACCCCTTCGGTCAGCAGTTTGTGGAACTCCACCCCTCCCGACGCCCCCCTCATCTGCTGGACTTCAACCAGCTGAGCCATGTAGGCTTTGTCCACTACCGCGTTTTCCATGGCTTGCGAGTCCTGCACGACCACAAATACACTTATTTTTTTCTGGAGATAACACGCGAACTCGGTTTATGGGCGCCGCCATTTTGTCAACAAATCGAAACTCAGTGTGACGCCCTCTCGCAAGAACTCGAATATAAAAATAAGTACAGGTCGTACATGCATGAAAATGGTACCATTAGAAAGAGCGAGAGCGCCCCCTCTTGATGACATGTTACTCTATTTTAAGCGATTTTAAGCACGAACATTACCTCGTACATGTACGAGGTTGGCGCTTTTGGAGTAACAAAAATACCTCGTACATGTACGAGTTTGGCACTGAAAGAGTTAATTCAATTACAACATTTTCATCAAGTTTCTATCCAGCGTGACAGACTTCACATACCGTACGACGCTTTACATAAAAACCTTTCTCACTCTTGCAAAATCTGACACCATGTAGTAAACTCAACACTCAAAATTTTGGACTCTGATTATTGGTGGTATGCTTTACCCCATGTAAAGCATAATCAGTTTACTAGTGCAGTACTCACTCCAACAGATTCCAACAAAACATGCAGTACGTTGAATTTTGAAGGGTTTGGGGTGGTTAGGTTAATACACTTTCCTGATGAGTTCTTGGTTAAATTCTTGAACACTCTTTTGTATGACAGTTCTTGTCCATCATCATTTGCTTTCTGGCATTCTTGCTTCATTGCCAGAAATGAAATAGCCAGTGAAGTATAACGCAGCTTCCTGCACATTATACCCTCAAAACCAATGACATCTGTGAATGCTATGTTACTTCGAAACCAGAATCACAATATTACTTTGTGTCTTGAATACTTACTGGGATACCTAGTCGGCATTAGTCTGTTCGTCTCGGAAGCCCTGTCCTTCCACGGCCATTGGGCGACGTACCGCGCAATACAGGCGACGTACCGCTAGAGGCGACTTACCGCTAGAGGCCGCGAAGTACCGCTAGAGGCGACTTACCCGCGCTAGGGGCGACGTTGCCTCTAGCGACTATTAATTGTGTTCAGGGTTACCTTTATAGACATCTTTCCTGCAAGTTTCAAAGAATTTCATTTCTTGGCCAAAATCGAAAAAAAAAAACAAGGGGTTTAAAGCCTTTTTTGATGAAATTTGGCCAAAAAATGAATTTTCTCCAAACTCTGCAGAAATCCTTTAATATGCAAGAGGAGCGTCAAACAGCACTCAAACACCCAATATATTGCTGATTTGGGCAAAAATCATCGATTTTAGAGAGAAAAATCATATTATTTTTCACTACTTTCATCCCAAATTTTCGTCAAAATTTCATTTTCAAAAGCACATCTTTTCATTAATCGAATTGGAAAGTGTTCTAGGGTCCTTTAGGCATCTTTCCAGCAAGTTTAAAGCAATTTTATTTTTTGACCAAAATTGAAAAAAAAAACAAGGGGTAAGCCTTATTTTTTGATGAAATTTGGCCAAAAAATAAATGTTCTCCAAACTCTGCAGAAATCCTTCAAAAGGCAAGAGGAGCATCAATCAGCACTCAAACACTGATTTGGGCAAAAATCATCGATTTGTAGAGAGAAAAATCATATTATTTTTGACTGATTTCAAACACCCAATATAGTGAAGATTTGGGCAAAAATCATCGATTTTTTGAGAAAATCATATAATTTTTGACTGCTTTCACCCTCAAATTTTCGTCGAAATTTCATTTTGAAAAGCACATCTGTCCGTTAATCGAATTGGAATGTGTCTTATGGTTCTTTAAGCATCTCTCCAGCAACTTTAAAGCAATATCATTTTTTGACCAAAATTGAAAAAAAAAACCAAGGGGTAAGCCTTGAAGATTGGGTAAAAATCATCGAGTTTTAGAAAAAAAAATCATTATTTTTGACTGATATGTCACCCCAAATTTTCGTCGAAATTTCATTTTGAAAAGCACATCTTTTCATAAATCGAATCGGAATGTGTTCTAGGGTTCCTAAGGCATATTTCAAGCAAGTTTGAAGCAATTTAATGTTTTTGTCAAAAATTGAAGAAGAAAAAAACACAAGGGGTAAGCCTTACTTTTTTGATGAAATTTGGCCAAATAATGACTTTTCTTTAAACTATGCAGAAATTCTTTTAAAGGCAAGAGGAGCGTCAATCAACCTTCAAACACCCTATATTTCAAAGATTTGGGCCGTCGCTCCTGGAGGAATAACTACCTCTAGGGGCGACCGATGGCAGTCGCCCGTAGAGGTAGTAATTCCTCTTGGGCCGACGGCTAGCTGCCGCCCCTAGAGGAATCATTATTTTGGACTGATTTTACCCCAAATTTTCGACGAAATTTCATTTTCAAAAGCACATCTGTTCATAAATCAAATTTGAATGCGTTCTTGCGTCCTTTAGGCATCTTTCCAGCTAGTTTGAAGCGATTTCATTTTGGGCCCAAAATTGAAAAAAAAACAAGGGGGTAAGCCTTACTTTTTTTATGAAATTTGGCCAAAAATTGAATTTTCTCCAAACTATGCAGAAATTCTTAAACGGGAAGAGGAGCATCAATCAGCATTCAAACACCCAATATAATGAAGATTTAGGCAAGAAAAACATCGATTTTAACAGGAAAAAGATATTATTTTGACTGATTTCACCCCAAATGTTCGTCCAAATTTCATTTTGAAAAGCACATCTGTCCATTAATCGAATTGCAAAGTGTTTTGGGGTCCTTTAGGCATCTCTCCAGCAACTTTAAAGCAATTTCATTTTTTGACCAAAATTGAAAAAAAAATCAAGGGGTAAAGCCTTACCTTTTAAATGAAATTTGGCCAAAAAATAATTTTCTACAAACTGTGCAGAAATCCTTTTAAAGACTAGAGGAGCATCAATCAATACTGAAACACCCAATATATTGAAGATTGGGGTAAAAATCATCGAGTTTTAGGTAAAAAATCATTATTTTTGACTGATATCACCCCAAATTTTCGTCGAAATTTCATTTTGAAAAGCACATCTTTTCATAAATCGAATCGGAATGTGTTCTAGGGTTCCTAAGGCATATTTCAAGCAAATTTGAAGCAATTTAATTTTTTTGTCAAAAATTGAAGAAAAAAAAAACACACACAAGGGGTAAGCCTTACTTTTTTGATGAAATTTGGCCAAATAATGACTTTTCTTTAAACTATGCAGAAATTCTTTTAAAGGCAAGAGGAGCATCAATCAGCATTCAAAATGTCATTGCAATACAACGTGTTTATCTTGAGTTCCCAATTTCACAAGAACTGTGTTTACATCTCGACCGGCCAGACGTCGGAGCGCGGTGAGCAATGTTTGTTTAGTGCGCCCTCTTTTGTACGAAATTGTTGTATGAGGATAAAATACGGAGTGTCCTTCATACTGCATTTTCCTTAAATTATATTACATTTATTCTTCGGCGGTTCCTGTCAATTTTCTAGAAATTCGTGTCAAATACCATGACAAAATATTAGAGAAAATTTCATTGCAATACAATGTGTTTTTCTTGGGTTCCCAATTTCACAAGACTATGTTGACATGACAAAAAAATACGGAGTGACCTTAATACTGCAATTTCCTTAAATTAAATTACATTCATTCTTCGGCGGTTCCTGTCAATTTTCTAGAATTTCGAGCCAAATAGCATGGCAAAATATTAGAGAAAATGTCAATGCAATACAATGTGTTTATTTTGAGTTCCCGATTTCACAACAACTGTGTTTACATCTCGACCGGCCAGACGTCGGAGCGCGGTGAGCAGTGTTTATGTAGCGCGCCCTCTTTTGTAAGAAATTATCGTATACAATTAAAATACGGAGTGTCCTTCATACTGCAATTTCTTTAAATTATATTACATTCATTGTTCGGCGGTTCCTGTCAATTTTCTAGAAATTCGTGTCAAATACCATGGCAAAATTTTACAGGAAATTGTATTGCAATACAATGGGTTTATCTTGGGTTCCCAATTTCACATTAACGGTGTTGACATTACGAGAAAATACAGAGTGTCCTTAATACTGCAATTTCCTTAAATTATATTATATTCATTTATAATGTTTTTTATAATGTTGTTTATCTTGAGTTCCCGTTTTCACAATAACTGTGTTTACATCTTGAATGGCCAGACCTCGGAGCGTGGTAAGCAGTGTTTGTGCAGCGCGTCCGCTTTTTGAAAAAAAAAATTGTTCAATGACGAGCAAATACGGAGTGTCCTTACAGTGTATTAACATTCCCATACATTAAACACATTGTCGTAAAAGTTGGTATCTGAAAATTTCTATGCAAAACCCCCTATACCGGGGGTTTGTGTAGAAAATATCAGACGGTTATTTATTACTCCCCACCACGTTCAATTAACTCAAGCAGCGACCGCAAGCCCAATTTGAAAGAAAAAGTTAAGACCGGATCAAGGTACCAACCTTTACGACAACGCGCTGGTAATGTGCAATCCGAATGAAAATCAATGTGTATTTTTTGCGAGTAAAACACTACATTGTTACGATCATATTATTTTTATTATTGAACTGTTTCTCATGATATTCAATGGCACTCTTTTACAAATTGTGGAAAATGATTGCACGAAATGTCAGTATAAACACCCAATATATTGAAGATTTGGGCAAAAATCATCGATTTTTAGAGGAAAAAATCACTATTTTTTACTGATATCACCCCAAATTTTCGTCGAAATTTTGTTTTCAAAAGCACATCTGTCCATTAATCGCATTGGAATGTGTTCTTGGGTGCTTTAGGCATCTTTCCAGCAAGTTTAAAGCGATTTCATTTTTTGGCCAAAATTGAAGAAAAAAAAACACAAGGGGTAAGCCTTTCTTTTTGATGAAATTTTTGCCAAAAAATGACTATTCTCCAAACTCTGCAGAAATTCTGTTAAAGCCATAAATTAAATGATATTACCCGAACAATGTGGTGTGTTAAACGCGAAAAATGCAAACGTAACTTTCATGGAACAAAACCAATACACTCATTTTATTATAACAGATCCAACACACTTGGTTTCCGGACAATAACTCAAGAAATACCTATTGTTTTGAACTTAAATTCAGCTCGAAAATTGTCTTGATATAACACAAAAGTTTAGAATATCGAGAGATATCGTCAAAAAATAATAATGATATTACCCGAACAAGTTGGTGTGTTAAGCGCAAAAAAATATAAAACTATAGTAAAACGTTACTTTCATGGATGAAAACCAAAACACTCGTTTTCCGGACAAGAACTCAAGAAATATTTGTTGTTTTGAACTGAAATTCATCTCGTAAATGGTCGTGATGTATGACACAAAAGTTGTAGAATATCGAGAGATATCGTTAAAAAATAATAATGATATTACCTCAACATGTAGTGTGTACAGCGCGAAAAACGCAAAAATATAGTAAAAGGTAACTTTAATGGCACAAAACCAATACACTCGTTTTCCGGACAATAACTCAAGAAATATCTGATTTTTGAGTGACATCAACATCGACTTAAGTAAGTCTAGTCGACTCTATAGACGCCCAGCCGAACCAGCCCAATAAAAAGGTAAATACAACAATTACCCCATTCTGAGTGTCAATTTCCAACGCCTAATAGTAACACATTAACACTTTTCAAACACCGTGTATTAATATAACGACCATTTCCATATCATTAAAACGTTCTTAACGGTGTGCAGACTCTTGTTGGCGCTCTAACCCTTTTGCAATACTTATTTAATTCACCGAAAGTTCGAAATTAAATTAAGAAATAGAAGTTGCTCAAAAAGAAAGACGTTCTTATTTTTGTGCAGCAAAAAAAATTAGAACAGATTGGAGCAAAAAAATGCACCTTGGAAGAAAAAGTATCATTATAATAAATGAACCCAAGACTATTCCTCTGACGGTATGATATTTCCTAAGCTTATATTTAGTTCAAAGGCTATTGGCCTATAAACTTTCTCCATTTTGAACTGCGCATGCCAACTTTTCAATTTAGAACTTTCCCTGCCAATTCCAACTTACAGAGAGCGTCATGTAATGGTATTGCAGTCACACCGGCGATCACAATGCCAAAGGCTTCGGATGACGCTGTCGCTCCCATTGCAAATTCTTTGTACTTTGGAGCCTCCTGTCAATAAAAAAGAGTGGGGGCTAAACTATTTAATAATCGTTGATTAGGTTAAAGGAGGTGCTTCGTCCATATTTTGGCACTGTTGCCCAAACGTCAAATTCTTGGGAGAAATACTGGTAAGTCTTCAAATCAACATGGTTCGTAATTGAGATTTGTAATTTATGATTATGCGTTCGAAGTCTTCACGTTTATAAGATAAACATGTTTAGATCTCAATCTTATTGTGCGGAAAGAAACCTTTATTACGATCGGGACTTGATAACTCTAAAAAAAGTCGCGGGACAGATTTGACCCGAGATCTGGTTCATACGGGACACCTTTCCGGGTCAAACTGACATTTCTCCGGGTCAAAATCACTTCTGTTGGTCAAAACGACACTTCTCCGGGTCAAAATGACACTTCTCTTGGTCTTAAAATGACACTTATCTGGATCAAAATGACACTTCTTCTGGTCAAAATGACACTTATCTGGATCAAAATGACCCAAAGAATGACCGCGAGAAGTGTCATTTTGACCCTGAAAAGTATCAGGTCAACTTATGACCCGGGTTACTGGTGAAAACCGACCCGGGGTAGGTTTAGAGTATATAATATGGCCTGCTTGACTCACATTTTGCGAGATTTGGTAAAAGGTGTTGACGTAGGAAGCCCCACAGATGAGTCCCGCAAAGAAGATGATGGCGAAGATGATAAAAATACTAGGCATCCATGCCAAGCAGATGACGCATAGAATCACAACCAGCACAGCACACTTCAGAAAAAAAAGCCAATGAATCAAATACATGTTGTAAAATGGAGATGGATGAGCACAAATAAGCAAAAGATCATGGAATCTAATGGGGGGGGGGGGAGAATAAACTACATGTAGGCCTACCTGTAAGATAGGGAAGACCCATAGCCGTTCAAATGTGACAAGATTAATAGAAGACCTTGACACGAACACACCAACTTGGAACAACACCTGAAACCTGCATGGGTGACAAAATTGCTTTGAAATCTTCAAACGGCCAAAAAAAGCAATAAAGCACTAATTTTGTGACCATGTTTAGTTTGGCAAACAAGTTAACCGCAAAGGACGTCAACCTCTGTAAGTTTTCGTTTTCGTCTCTAAAGCTGTATTCGATTCATGGCAACCTTGAATCCATTTTTTTGAAACTTTCGACTCTTGTTATATCAATTATCTTATAACATTAGTTTGTCAAGTCGTAAGCTCTATAGCAAAGTCATACCATCTGTATTGACTGGCGTGTGTGAACCGTATTCCTCGGACAAAGATCAACTCCAGCTGTATAACACATGGGATAAAAGGAGAGAGAGATCATTTACTGCTATAATTTTCCGACGGCCGAACCTATCCTTGATAATGACATATCAGAACGAATATGATATCGTGATATGCTACATTTGATGACCAGAAGGTATTCATATAATTTAATCGAGATATGATAGATTGCTCTCATAGTCAACAATGACACACATTATACATGTATTGATATAATCGAAGTGTTCTATAATTTCCTCTATCACGGTATTGCATACTATTGAGATATTCTAGTTGATACAATAAAAGTTTGATACTCACCAGGCCATTAATGATTAAGTATGAGCCAAAATAGACCAGCATCAGAGGGATGATATACTTCATTAAGTGCTACAGTAAAAAAAAAGAAAAGAGATTTGGAGTTTGAGTTCAACACATAGACAACACAACGAGGTGAGATTTGCTACGATTTGGTGCTACTTGTTCTTCAGAAGGCAATTTGATTTTTCAACATACAGGGTAAATTTTAAAAAAAGGAAAGAAATCGACAAGACTAGACCAATTTTTGAATGAAGCTTTGCCTGTAGCACTTTTAAAATCTAGGATATGAAAGCCCAGTCATTATGCTTTCTTTTAGTACAAGAATCATTCAAAGCACTCATATGCTATTCATGTTAGGGAATTTTGAACACAAAACCCGTTAAAAATTCTGTCCATGGATCACATAAAAATATGTATTTATGTAATGGACGTTTTTGCGTAGGGGTGATGTAAATCAATATTAGGTGTTGCCCTTCACCGACGTATAAACCACCGTATGCCTCTCGAGTCCCGAGTGAAAGTTGAAGAAAAAAAATCACTCGTGTGGGACTCGAACCCACGACCTCATCCTTTCTAGTGCAAACGTTTTACCACTCGACCACTGCACTTACGGGATCGGTTGGCTTGTTCAAATCTGATGTACATATCAGCGGGTACCGCATTATATAACCATTTATAAGATGGCTTTTGAGCAACTATATCCTTCTCAGTATAAAACTTGATTTTATAAACGTACAGCTGAAACTGCCGGGAACGAATGTACAAACGTATAAATATTTATAGACCTGCGCTGCATGCGCCAGCTATGGAAGTTTAAATTCCAAAACCCTTTAGGATATCCTTTGCACTTGTGACAAAACTGTAAACAAATAATTAGAAACGATGCTAGCCTCCGTCATATATACGTAGGTAAAAAGTGTAAAATCATTTTCTAGTTTGGAATCTGATACGTCACACCAATGTCCACTGACCTTCAAATGATGAATTCGTTCTTGAAACGTTAGATGGCGCTCTTCAGAATCCTTGCATTTGCCTTGGAATGGATCGTACTCCACGAGGCGGTCTGGATCCTCGTCCTCCTGACCGTTCTTTTGGAAGGATTTCGAAGTCGGGACTCTGACTAGAATGCACCAGTAGCTAACACAAGCACAGAAAGTAGATGGTCGATTAGTGAGACACTGAAGTATCAATGTCCAAGGCAGTTAATGTCATGTGGCATGTCCTCTGGTATTTCGGGCGATTCACAATGAACATGCGCCACCAAGAGTTTGCCAGAGAGAGTTCATTTTTCTCAGAGCATTGTGGGAGATGGTCGACAAATTCGCGCGCGGGACATTTGAAATTGTTAGTTTTTCTGCAATTAAGGCGGTAATTTATAGACACATACAAAAAAAAATTGAAAACAACGAATTTGTTTTACCTCAAAACTAAACCAAATGGCACAGGGGCTTGTGCAAGAAGCGCATCTCTAGGTGTCAGGCCGATTTCTGTCAGTGCAGCGAAGGACAGGGACGCCACCAGACTAGCAGCACCTGTTCCAGAGGACCAGGTAGACACTACACCCCTGAAAATGAACATGATAAACGTCCATGTGACATGGCATATTTTACTGTTTGTTTCGTGCATAATAGTCTAGGCAATAATTTACGGCAGGAAAAGGCATGTTTTGTAGCAGAAGTTGGTAACATAGCTTTTTTACCTAACTCAGGGGTGCAGAATCCGAAATGATGGTAACCAAGCTGGATTTCTAGTGGAAATATGCATAATTTACATAAACTGTAATATAATTTTATGTCGTGTAATATATTTTTCCCCATTATTTGGGTATATTTTTTTTTCATTAATTCATTTCTAGTGTTACCAACTTCTACTCCAAAATGCCTCTCTATGTAACGATTTTGGAAATATCGCCTCGTCTAATAGGCTATTTCTTATCAGTAATGTAGCGAGATATTTTCATGCAGGGAATGTCCCCCCCCCCCCAAAAAAAAAAAAAAAGAATAATAATAATAATAATAGTAATAACAAAAATATATATCAAAAAATAAATAAATAAATATGTAAATAAAAATTAAAAATTAAAAAAAAATAACAAAATCAAAAACTCACTTGTCATAGAATGACATCAGACTGACGCCTGTGAATTCTCCAAGACCAGTGGAAATGCTTGCGAAAAGTACACCTGCAAAAAATAAATTAAAAGCAGACTTCATTTCAATTTGGTATTGATCAAGGGAGTATGGCTCCTGCTCAGCATTTCTATTTCCAACAAGCTGACATGTATACATTGCCTCCAGTGGATTATCTTTCGATGGGTCTTTACTCAAGTTACCATATAGATTCATTTCTGGAGCAAGACGGAAGTGACCATCTGCCATGCAAATTTGTAATATTAATAGTAATTATGCTGTGTTCATACAGTGTGTATCCAAAAAAAGCTAACAAAATATAATTAACGATCTGATACACCGTGCCCTCTGGAGACATGCACACAATAGGAAACAAAAGATTGTATAGGTCTCCACAGGGCAATTTTATGAAATAGATATATGGATTTTACTCAAACACTAGGAATTTCCAAGGTGGGTTGAACCGTCGCAAATGGAAGAGTTTTAGAAAAGGGATATTAAGTCCGAAATTCAGCCAAGGAAATTAATTGTGGTTAAAATAAGAGCATTAATTTTTGAAACTGCATTTTCAAACTCTAAAACTTTAATACACGAGAACAAACATTTCAGTATGTGCCAGATATAGGATGTGTAACCAACATAAATAATATGGGTATGATTTGAAAAATAGCCTTTCCACTTTACAATGAGACATCAAACGTCCAAAGCTGATAATGTTTGACAGAGTTAGGGGGAAGTTTCCAAGAGAGGTCAAATTGACCATGGGACCAATTTTTTTAATTTTAGGCATTGGGACGAAGAGCCTATAATTGCCTCTGTCTGTATATTTGCCTGGCCTCACGAGATGTGTTTAGCGAGTAAAAGCCAAACAATCAAAATTTGGTCCCATGGTCAATTTAACCTCTGTTGGAAAATGACTCATAACTTTGTCAAACATTATCAGATGTGGACGTTTGATGTCTCATTTTAAAGTAAAAAAGGCGTATCTTTCAAACCATAACTATATTATCTATGTTGGTTACGCATTATGGCATTACGTTATAATTAGTTTGCATTTGTTTTGATACACACTGTATAGCGATTGAGGTCTCACAGCGTTTCGCAAATTAGTACCCACTTTTCATCAGGCCATGAGACATGTTTTTCTGCAGCAGCTCGAGATCAGCGCAGTTTGGTATGTGCCCTCACAGGTGCAATACAATAGGAAAGGGAAATTGTAGTGAAGTGCCTTGCCCAAGAACACAAGCACCATGTTTCCCATAAGGGGTCGAATTAATGTACTATGGCACATGAGTCGAACACCGTAACCACTACGGCTCTTTAATTTCTTTTCCCTCTTTCCTTTCAACAAACTGACCGATATAAGTATATTACAGCAGCCCTTACAAATCCAAACACGGGTCGACGGTGAGGACAAATCTATAGGCATTATGCACTGAATTGGCATCTCAAAGGCTTTTCATTGTTATTTCAATTTAGTGAATGCGCAAATGGTCAACTCATGCCAAAACAAAACGCTGCCCTCTATTGTTACTTACCAACTATTGTCAGAGTTCGTATTCGCACTAAAGCGACGATGAGGCAGCCCAGTACGGCTGTCACCACAGTGGACAGAATCTTGATACTGCAAATTATGAAATAACATTACACCCATGCTCGTCATTCTTATCAAGGATTGAGTTGTTAGGTTAGGTAGTATAGCTTAAAGATGGATTTCGTTGCGAATATATGTATTAATTTGCAGGATTATGTATACAATTTAACTTGACCACAGCATACATAAGCAATAATAACAGGTATGCGTTAAAACGTCTGGACCAAAGTACATGTACATACATTTAGAGTAACCATGAAGCCATTTGCGAATAACTATACCCTTTGCGAGTTACATTTGAATATTGCCCGGCGGACTGACTTGCTCATAATGCTTGGCAGGTTTTAACTTTGAATTATCCGGACCTTAGACACTGTTGCTATACCACATGATTCGGGGCACAAATTAAAGACACCAGACCATTCCGGAGCTGATGGGATTTGCTAGCGTAAAGCACCTTGGGAAAATTGTTAGTATCAGTGGTGCACCCAGGATTTTTTTTTTTTTTTTTTTTTAAATGTTGCCCACAATTTTTGGCCGCAGAAAAAAAATAGAAGTTTTTTTTCGGGGGGCGGATTATTTTGACATTGGTGGCGCCACTTACACCCCTATTATACTACTCGAAAATAGGCTACATACATATTACCAAGGTAAAATCGTGGGACAACCCCCCCCCCCCAAAAAAAAAAAAACCTCTGCGGGGAGGGGCTCAAGCCCCCTGAGCGCGAGAGTGCATGTTTGCCTCGCTGATTTTACGGCAACCTGAGTGCTACGTGTCTACCCGGCCTTGCGTGTTACAGTGTAAAGAACTGACCTGAATCTCGATGAGTGACCTCGGATGAGAGGCACTATTGAATACTCTACAAAGCCCACCCACTTATAACGCTTCAATTCAACTGCTCAAAAGCAAATTAAAAGCAGCACGAGGTCAAGTATAGTTTACGAAGGAATGATATTAAAAAGCTGAAGCTAATAGGGCCAGGTCACTTTTGCCTACTGTACATAAATGCAAACTGTAGAAAACAAATATTTCAAATACCTTAAAGAAGAACAGACAAACCAATAGAACACAAACAATACAGGGACGGATATTTCAATCTGAACTCACTCGTAGTGAATATAGTGAAGAAACCACGGTGCTGCTAGCATAACTACCACTTCCGGTACGATATCTGCCAGTAGAATCACCTATTAGATAAATCAGTCAGCAAAAGCTTTAATACTAAAAAAAAAAAACCAGATTAAGGGGAACAAATTAACGGAAAATTACAAAACTGTCTACATTAGGTCTTGTTTTTGGTTGACGGAAACATATCAAGGTCACAATGGCCGCACTCTTCCCTAATTACTATAAACAAATCATCTCTAAAAACCAGTCTCCAAAAGGATAATTTGTGCAAAACAATTTGGATTATAAGTACAATTCAAAAGTAGGAACGATTATCTCTCTAGCTGCCATTTCTGTGGAGTGTAAATGTGCATAACAACGGCACTTTTAGCTATCAAAGCGCTTCACATTTGTGTTTGCCCTTGATCATTGGGCCAATAAAACATTCCAAAGGCAACCTCAGCTTTCTGGGGAGTGTCTAACTCGATGCAAAAAAATCGGCGCAAAGCAGCTAAAGTCAAACACATAACCATCTCTGCCCTCACAGGTACCCATTTACTTCTGGGTGGGGAGAAGCAATGAGTGACAAAGTGCCTTGCCCAAGGGCACACGCACCGAAATCCCAGGCTGGACTCGAACCCACAACCTGCAAAATTACCCAAGGACCATGAGTTCAATGCTCCAGACCATAAGGCCACGCACTAATGTCTATTTAAATTGTATAGTGGCAGTACAGAGTTGAAAATGTTACTAGGCGTATGTTTTTGTCAGACCTAGAGCTATTTTAAAGGATAAACACGGTCCCGAGACAGCTTGTACCAAGCCCCCCCCCCCCCCGCCCCAACAAAAACCCAAAATTGGACATATTTTACATATGTGCAATATTTACTACCCGACAAAAGTGTGCCGGTGTAGCGTGAATTTACGTGTCTATGAAATTCGGACTCATTGGTAATACCGCGCATGCGTAAGTATGGTAATTAGGAAAGTGACCGGTCACGTGAGAGGGATTAATCAATAATAGGGAAAAAAGGTCCGACTTTCATAGGAGTCGGATTTTCATGTGACACCGGTAACGTGCCCTTGAAAAATAGCCAAACAGTCGAATTTCCAATATTTAAAACTGTTTTTTCCCCTTGCATTGCAAGAGGAATGTGTTGCTTTTGTTCCATGCAAGTTGGCATTCATTGTTTTCCGCGTTTAAAACACTATGTCGTTTCTGTCATTTTATTTTGTTATTGTTTTACGTTGTTTGAAGAAACCAAATCTCCTAATGATCATTGAAAATCACTGGACTGAAAATTCAATGTAATACATCTGGTGTGCATTGAGCTATTGCCCCACAAGTTAACGAGTGGGATATTTTTCCATGAAAGTTGATTTTCATTCGGATTGTATTTTTCGCGTTTAAGCACTATATTGTTTCGGTCACATAATTTGTATTGGTTGACGGTTTCTCATGAAATTAATTCACATAATCATGTTACAAATCATGATAAATCACTGGAAAAAATATCAACTTAATGCAACTGGTATTTCTTGAGATATATTCCGAAACACGAGTATATCCTTTTTGTTCAATAGTGAGGCATCCGTGTTGATGCTTTGTCAGAGGTGGACCACTTTTTATGTGGTGCGCCCTCTATTGAGAGAACATTAATGTAGACCGTAAGGGGCTGTTGAGTGTTGTTCCCTGGAATTGAAAACCATATAACTAAACAATGAGAAACCACAGTAGAAATAATAATCAAACTGGCACACCCTTACCCCTGTTGATAGTTGGTTGCAGTCAAGTCTCTTCGCCGAGGTATCGTTATTTGACGCTGTATTGCTGGCTGGTTTTGCAGTAACATTCCAAAGATCGCCACCGGCCTATTTTTCATTGCGGAATTTATTCGGATTGAAGAAGAAAAAAAAAAAAAAACATCGGTTTTTGAGTTTCGTTATAATTTGAACTTCTTCACTTGCCTTCACCGTCAATTCAAATGAGCTACGGCCAGTGTTGCGTGTAAGCTGATACAGCAAAGCCACGCAATCAAGGCTAAAATGAAATTTGTATGCGGAATATATTGTTCACATATAATTTCTTTTTACAATAGAAGTCTTATTTTTTTTTCTAATAATGTTGCCCAAAATTGTTGGCAGCAGAATGTTTTATTTTTATTAATTTTTTTGTTGGGGCGGACTTTTGACGATGGTGGCGCCATTTATACCCCTATTATACTACTCGAAAATATGCCTCCTTCATATCGCCACGGTCAAATCGTGGGACGAAAGAAAAATTGAACACCCCCCCCCCCAAAAAAAAGCGGCATTGACAACCTCTCAAGATCCCCGCTCCCCCCCCCCCCCCCTTGGTTGCGCCACTGTGCCCAAGGGTACAGTTTCTAAGACAACCTTCATCAGCGATTGTTTTCTTCTGAATGATGCTATTTCAGTCAGAATAATTTCGTAGGGTATTGGGTACCAGTCCTATCGTCACTCTGAGCAATCCGATATTCTCGTTTAATCGGTACTAGGTGTACTTTTCCAGGTATAACTGCAATAATCCCTTTACGTGTCAATCCTTTTCCAATTGAAACATAATAAGTGAAATTAAGGACATCAAGAGACACTGGGTCAGTGTAATCTTTGAAAAGCTCCACATCTGTGTAATAGTTAGATCAATGGAGGAACCTTTGTAGTACCTACCTCAAAATCGCTCCCAAGGATGTCAAAGGCAGCGCTCAACATGAGTACATACATGTAGAAGCTGGACAATCCGAGAATCCTTAAAAAAATAAATGAAATTTGAGAGGTCTTACTATTTCTTTTGTCAGATTTGGAAACTGCAAAGTATTTTTTTGATTACTTCCGGTGTTACCGGAAGTGCAATAAAAACTGAATATAACTAGGAAGCGGAAGCATTTTACTACATTTTACTACGTTTTACTATAGTTTGTTGGAACAAATAAGAAAGCGACTGCTTACAATAATAGTACTGCTACCACATAATTTCATCATATTTGTTCACCAGGGACTGCAAAATCACAGCTCTTATAAGAATAAACCCAGGGGAGGATCCAGGAATTTGTACGAAATCACACAAAGCATTCAAAACTAATGTTCTAGTCTTTGTTCTGATTTCTTCCGGCGTAACTCGCATACTAACACTGATTCTTTAATTCATACCTTTATGCAGAAATGCAATATTTCGACAGTGTAGCCACAAACTTTTTTTTGTTATCTCAGTGCAGAATTTTAGGAAGCCCGTGCATGCAAAAGACATAAGCCATTTTATTTTTGATATTGAGATAATCAAATGTTGCATATATTAAGCTCCAAACACGTCATAGAGGCTCCCTCAAGTCTACCGATTCCGATTCTGACCATGAATTCAATTCTAATATTCTCGTCCATTTTCTGATATTTTTCGCCATAACCGATTGAAATCGCACCTCGCCAGTTTTCCTCTCATATCTGAATGCTGAAAATTAATATTTCTACAGCGTGTAGCCACAAACTTTTCTGTCGTAAACTCAGTGCAGAATTTTATTATGCCCATGCAAAAGAAAAAAAACCCATAAAAGCCATTATATGTTGCATAAACTCCAACGACGTTAAAGGCTCCGTCAAGTCTACCGTTGTCATAAATTCAGTGCAGAATTTTATTATACCCATGCAAAAGACCAAGAAAACCCCCAAAATAAAAGCAATTTTATCTTAAAATTAGCATAATTATGTTTCATAAACTTTAAAGACGTGAGACGCTCAGTCAATTCTACCAATGTAGTAACCTTAGTGCAGAATTTTATTATGCCCATGCAAAAGACACACAAAAAAGCCATTTTATTTTAAGATTAGCATAATTCTGTTGCATAAACTCCAACGACGTTAGAGGCTTCGTTAACTCTACCAATAGTCCCAACTGGTTGTATGCTTGAGTAACCATCCATGCAGCACCAGATGTGCACTTCCTGATAGGCCTACAAGTCTTTTCATAGGATCATTTTTAATTTAATTCTATCATTTGATCCCTGTCATATCTTCGTAGGCTAAATAATGATATCAATTACAATGATCACCTTTGGATATATAATGCTGTGACGTCATCAACCGGAAGTTAGGTGTTATTATTACGTCATCAAACCGGAAGTTAGGTGTTATAATACAAACAATTGTATTTCCCATAGTTTAATACGTTATTTTAACCTCACAATGAAAATGTATCCTCTCCGAAATGTATCAGTATTCACTTACCGTTTTGACTGATGACGTTATCAAACCAGAAATTTCTTTTTTTTTGCGCACATGAAATGTTTACTGAAATTTATCACACCGTTAAAGATACCAGTAACCAAATAATCAATTGTACTGGAAGGGATTTAATTTCGTGATCCTGGTTCTACACGAACATTTATTCCTAACTTAACTGGGCAGTGTATAATGAAAAGGCTGTCCGCCAGACCACTCTGCGTTTGTAACTCAAACAAACGCGAACCTCTAGTTAATTTTTTTTTTCGTTTTTGAGTGTGTATCAGGTCTTAATTATCGAACTTTAATTCCACTTACCAGAATGCAAGAAGATTTCGTCGCTTCTCCTTATTGCACTGTTGATCATCTGCTGGCAGGAAAGCATCGGTTTCCTCTTGGTTCTTGTGCCGTTTGCACGAGTCGCCTTTCTCCATGTCGAAGTGTGAAAACCCAGTGCAAGGCCGCGCGGTGAGAGACTGCTGCGGCGCACAATGGCATGCGTTCTACAGCCGAATAGGCCTATAGAAAAACGGGTCGTCTTTTGAATTCACACCGCGTTCGTTTCACTTGCTTTAATAATTGAAAAGAGTCACGTCAGAACTTGAGATGTGATAAACCTCACCAAGTACATCGAGACAGGAGTTAAAAAGAAAAAAATATTTTAGATATGCCGGCGAGACAAGAAATCGCTGTCTGTATACCCGTTACCGGATCGGTGAAATCTGGTTCCGAATCGTCTGGCCGAGCGGTGTGGTTATAGCGGACGTAATTCAATGGTTATAGCTTAATACCTGGCTCCACACACACACAAGGGCCACATCCTTAGTTCATTGTCCGATGACCTCAAGTCTAAACTGCTATACTGAACAATGTATACAACGTTCCATAATAATTTGTGTACACGACGTTCCCCATAAGGGTCAAACTATTGCTAGTGATGCGCGTCCGTCCAGTATGGAGAGAAAATTAACTTGAGATTGTCGGCGTCAATATAGTTTTTAGTAATACCGCCAAAACCCGTCCAAAGTGACGCCACCGGCTCCAGAAAATCGGACTAACTATAGTAGGTTTTCCCGGCCAATTTCCTAAAATGTTCATTCACATTCGTCTGAATTTGAGAGTCGCTCTGAACACGCCTTTCATTTTCGGTACCAAATCATTCGATTCCATTTCAGTTCAATCAAAGAAGTGATTGAGCAGCACCTTTCGTTTATGTCCATTCGGATTCGTTTACAAGACTTCTTTTTCGCTTTTAGAGGGCGATTTCAAACATTCACAATTCTATTTAACTTTCAGTTTAATGCCATCGGCAACAGATACAATTAGGGTTTTCTTTTTCATTAACGTCAATCAAATAAGTTGTACCTGAAATCAATTTAAAAAATGTATGCTTGCGTGAATGAATGCACAGGTAACGTAACTGGCCGTCCGTTTCTCAAAACCGAATGCACGGACAATGAAAACGATTGAACGTTGAATTGAAATGGGATTAAAGACATGCATTCAAATTCAGACGAAAAAGAATGACCGATTTTTCAGAAGTGAATGAACATTTCAGGAAATAGGCCGGAAAAACCTATATTAAACAGAAAACAATCACACCTATATCACACGATAACTCAAAAACTGTTTATTATAATATAATATGGAGATTGTCGTCGTCAATTAGTATAATGTTTAGAAACACGGACAAAACCCATCCAAAGGGAAGTCACGCTCTTCAGAAAATCGGCCCAGCCATTGAACAGAATAACAATCACACATAATGCAGGCGCGGTTCTAGAGCCAATATTTTTGGGGGCTAGCAGGTTGGATCCAGAATTTTTTTCAGGTAGGCGTGCTGAAATGTAGACCGTGTTTTTTCTCTCCAGACACTTAGGCCTCCGAAAATCAATAGGTAGGTGGGTGGGGGGGGGGGGGGGGGGGTGGCTCGATCCGATCGTGCCATATTTTCAATGTGGAGCGCTATAAAATCCTACAATCAGGCACACTATATTAACTAAAAGTGTACAATTGCACCCTTCTCATGACTATTTCTCTAGGGGGAGACCGTTCCCATGTACGTCACATTCTTTCATTTTGCTAGTGCAATTTTGTTTTTAATGGATTTGGGGGGGGGGGGGGGGCGGGGCTAGACATTTTTTTTTAGGCTAAAGTCCGAAATTGTAAAATGGTCTGATTCCCATCTTGTGAATACGAAGTTACAACAATAATGTTGGCATGGAGCCAGACTAAAATTTGTCAACGGAAACTGTCTTAAAGACAGTAACTGCGCATGTTCAGTGCATATCCGGCAAGCTAACGTTTACTAAAGGTATGCCGTCTCCGGCTAATTTCCACTGCCTTGATAAAACTTGTGAAAACGTGAAAGCTATAATCCGAATGAAAGCAACGTTCATGGCAAAAAAGTCACACTCCTTTTTGGGCAATAAGAAGTTCGTTTGTTTAACCCTTTTTTCCAAGGGCATTTTATCAAAACATTTTTTGTATTAATACACTTTCCTGGCTTTATTTCCTCGCAAGTAACAAGCGGTTTAATACTATATATTTCTTTTTTCAATAGAGGGCTCGCCACATGCACAGTGGTAACTACTGCCTACATAACGTCAACACGGATCGTATCATAGTACCGAGTAAATAGAAAACACTCATGGTTCGGGCAATATCTCAAGAAACGCTAAATGTATCAACTCATTGTTTCGTAGAGGAATGATTGTTCACAATGTGTCACGATCGCCAGTATTTCACGAGAACTCGTCAACCAACAAAAATAATATGACCGAAACAGCTTAGTATTTTAACCGTGAAAAAAAAACTCTGTGGTTCGGATGATAAGTCACGATTTACCAATTAAATTTAATTGAAATTCCGTCAAATAATTCTTCATGATGTATCAAATTCGGGGACATATTTTTATGGGAATTTGTCCAACCAGAAAGAAAATGAGATCGAAACAATTGAGTGTTTTAAACGTGAAAATAATATCCGAATGAAAGCAACGTTCATGGCAAAAATGTCACACTCCTTTTTGTGCAATAACCCAAGAAATTCCAACGACGTTCGTTTGTTTCACTTTTTTTCAAGGGCATTTTTCTCGAACGCTTTTTGTAACTACATTTTTCTGTCTTTTTTTTCTCGCACGGAGACAAATGTACCAAGCGGTTTAATGCTATTTTTTTCAATAGAGGGCGCGCCATACGCACAGTGGTCACTACTACTGCCTATGCTGCTTTATGCTTTCTGTAGTTCCAAGCTAACAGCTTCGGGCGGGAACTGTCTGTCGTAATATAAACGTCTGCAGTACTGACCTTAATATTAATGTCAGCAGGCCTATCGCTGGTAGTCCAGTTGTACAAGTGAACTCTTGTAAATGCTTGGGGGTTAATATTGATGAAACTTTAAGTTGCGGCCCAGACGTTGAATACGCAAAGAAAACAGTTTCCTCTAAACTAGGTATGCTAAATAGAATCCGCGACTGTTTTCCCCAAAGCAGCCTGCACGCTCTTTTTGTTAGCTTAGTTAATGCCATCTTTAGATAATTGTAGTACTGTTTGGGAGGACGGTACATATCTCATGACAATAGTCTTAACAAATGTCTAAAAAAAGAGCGGCGCGGATAATCATGAAGTGTGCATTCTGAACTCCACCATTCGATACGTTTGCTAGATGTTATGCTGGAAGTCATTCTCTGACAAAATTGAGTACCAAAAGGGCTATTCTTGCAATGTATACGCAATCATGCATAAACAAAATGAACTCCTTTGTATATGACAAATCTGTTTACACTACTTATTCAGATTCGTGAAACGAGACAATCCACTGACATGACACTGAAGATTCCTTTTGCGAAAAAAAAGGTTATGCCTCAAGCTTTGCTGTAACTGGTACAATCATATTGAATAATTTGCATGATATGTGCAGTTGAGAACCATGACTTCTCCTATCTCATTCAAATCTGAACTCCATAAAACATTCAGTCAGTAATATTTCTGCATTAATGGTCGCTGCCTTCACTGATAATACAAGTATATAGCTGTGCTGACTTACGGATCGAGTAAACAAACTTGGCTAAACACTAATAATAATAATGAGCCGGATGGGAATTTCCCGTTTTTCTCCCAAAAGGGTTTTCACGGTTTTTTTGCCCCTCCTGTAATCAGCGAATGTATAGATATATAATTTCCCGATGTCACGAGAAATGTCTACATTCTTCGTGTTCACATAATTTAGATATATATGTTAAATATGGAGGAAAAATAGAGATTATCGGCGTCAATATAATTTTTAGTAACACGAACAAAACCCATCCAAAGTGAAGTCACGGTCTATATACAGAAAATCGGCCTAACTATTAAACACATAAACAATCACACCTGTGTCACTCGACAACTCAAAAACTATTTATTTTAGGTAGATTGGAATTTTGCCTTGAAGTTGAGCATGACTGGCAACACAAGCCTGTCAAATATTAAGAGAAAACACGCAGATTATCGACATCAATATAATTTAGAGTAACACGGACAAAACCCATCCAAAGTGATGTCACCGTCTCCAGAAAATCGGCCTAACTACTAAATAGAAAACAATTACACCTATGTCACATGATAAATTTTGCCTAGATGTTAGTCATGACTTGCAACACAAGCATGTTAAACATTGAGAGAAACAAATGAACACTGCCCTTCCCGTTAAATCCTACAGATAGCATCATGTACTGGAATAGCGATCATACCGGCGATAGCAATGCCGCATGACTCGGAAGCTGTTGTCGCTCCCATAGCAAATTCTTTATACTTCGGATCCTCCTGTCAATTTAAAAAAAAAAAAAAAAAAACACGCCAAAGTGAAATTAGTGAACTGAGTTTTATGGAGGGGCCTTAGGCTGAGGTGTGACCATGCTATGATTATATACGAACGGCGCTGATAGGACCTCGACATTACCATCAGTATGAGTGTTCAAAATCTGCGAGTTCAGTTTTAAACAAAAAGGCAACAGTGTATTGAGTGTTTATACTCCTGCATTTCAATGCTCTCTTTCTATCAGACGTCCGTAAGTCATCGCGTAACCAAAGAACACATTAACCCTAAAGGGGCCGGGGGGGCGGAATCCCCCCCCCCCTCAACATTTTCCGCGATAGCTTCTAAAAAAATGTTTTTCGCAACCCGAGCTGTTATGACTTTTTAGCCTCGAGCTTTGCGCATCTTTTGATACCAAAAACATAAAAATCGGACCACGGGTTGGCACGTAGCGAAAATTTTTTCGGCGCTACGCGCCGTGAAAACTGAATTTTCGCATATACGTCGTGTACACTGAGCAGAATTGCCATTCATACATATGAATAATTAATTAGCCATAATTCCAAAACCCTTTGACCTATAGTCATGAAATTTCTTGGGCATGTTTAGGAAGAGTTGCTCTATGCATGTGGTGAGTTTCAAAATTTTTCGTCACTCGATGGCCGAGATCTTAGGGGGGGGGGCGGAATCCGCCCCCCCCCCCCGGCTGAGAGATGGTCAAAATAACCCGGCCCCTTTAGGGTTAAGGAGCGTTTACAGTTTCTGTAATGTTCTTAACATGGACGTCGCCAGGATTTTTTATAGATGGGGGCAAAGCACATTTCCCCCCAAATCCATGTAGTTTTCCAGCATATTCTTGATTCATCATTTTTCGAGGGTGGGCACAGACATTTCCCCCACCCATTAAATTAACAGCAATATGACTTCGCGGTTTTTTGGTTGTTTTTTTTGCTTTTCGGAGGGGGGGGGGGGGAGGGAGCAAGCGCCCCCCTTGCCCCCGTCGCGACGCCCATGGTTCTTAACGATGCCCACTTAATGACTGAGTTTACTCACATTTTGCGAGATGAGGTAAAAGGTGTTGACGTAGGACGCGCCACTGACGATTCCCTCGAAGAAGATGATGCCGAAGATGAGAAAAATACTCGGCGTCCATTCGAAGTACACACCAGATAGAATCAACACCAGCACAGCCCACTTCAGAAAGGAATGAATGAAACGATAATACGATAACAATGGAGAACGATAGAACAGGACGTAAGAAACGATCAAGTCGATGAAGAAAATAAGTGCGGTAACCTACCTGAAGAATAGGAAATATCCACAGTATGCGACAAGTAAACAGGTTGATAGAAGACCGTGATATGAACACACCAACTTGGTACAGCACTTGAAACCTGCATGGTATGAAATACAAATTTCACAAGGGAAAAGTCCGAAGTACACTCGACTCTCGTTAATACCAACGCTGTTAATACAAATTCTTCTTATACCAAACTTAAAGCCTTGGTCCCAATTGTACATATATGCACACAATGAAGGCGACTAAAACGCTCGATCCTCTTAATACAAAATTCTGAAATGACAAACATTTTGGCTATGTTCAGCTGTCTTAACAAGAGTCGACTGTATACAATGTTGTTCACTTGATTAAAAGAAGGAGATTCGTACCTGCGAACGCAAGAACACCTTAAAGATGCTTTGTCCACCGTAATTTTAAGCAATATATGGAACTTTCTAATAGCAATCATTCTTGAAAAGTATATACATCATTCGGTTACGAAGCGATGAAACTATAATAAGGTTGACAAACGATTATCCTTCAACAACGGGGTCTCGACGTTTGATCAATGTCAACAAATAAGGTCGCAGCATAAAGATCACACGCCTTTCAGTATTTCTTTGTTGAATTCAAAATCATCAAACTGTAAACTCGAATTATTTTATTTTCATTAATTTTGTCGGTGAACAACATGATACTCCCATAATAAAAACCACCACTTGTCGTGTTCTTTTAAATTGTCGTTTTTATCTCCATTGTGATGAACCAAGTTTTGATATCTGCTGTTTAAAAATTCAATACTTAAATATAGATATCTTAGATCTTCATAAATCATTTCTTCATCTAAGTGTTGTGTCCGCTTTGCAATAAACTCAACCAAATTCATACCATCTGTACTGACTCTCGTGTGACAACCAAATTCCTCGCACAACGTGAACAACATGATACTCCCATAATAAAAACCACCACTTGTCGTGTTCTTTTAAATTGTCGTTTTTATCTCCATTGAGATGAACCAAGTTTTGATATCTGCTGTTTAAAAATTCAATACTTAAATATAGATATCTTAGATCTTCATAAATCATTTCTTCATCTAAGTGTTGTGTCCGCTTTGCAATAAACTCAACCAAATTCATACCATCTGTACTGACTCTCGTGTGACAACCAAATTCCTCGCACAAAGATCAACTCCAGCTGCATCAAAATTACAAAGCAAAATCAAATTTATTTAACTGCAACATTGCGTGGAAAATTATAATTCGTTTGCCAACAAAAATACACTTTTGGCAGACAGAGAATATAAGGGACTGGTGCCCTAGCCTCCCACGTCTAAATTTCTGCATATTTTTACAAAAAGTCCTCGATTCGTTTCGACCTTCACTAAGGGAATAAACGTGTGCTTGGTCGGTTTTAATCACTCTGTTTAAGACCGATTGGAGTCTGGGTGCTGATAATTACCCGAGCCGAAGACTCCAAGCGGGTTTAAACCGAGTGATTAATACCAACCAAGCACATATTTATTCCCATTCATAAATACCTTTTCGGTCAAAAAAAATCAAAACTTTTCGGTCAAAAAAAACCGATTTTGTTCAACAAGTTCACTTCGCGTAAGTGAAACACCCCTCTGGCTAAATTGTGGAGTGTCCAGCTCGCCAATAAGATGTCGACAACTCATTTTATGAAGATTGGCGCGCGCGTCGCGCGTACTGAGCGATGTCGCGCAGAATGCACCTGATGGGGTGTTGCGTTGTGAATTTAGGACTATAAAATACTGACTTACCGGTAGTATTGCGCACGTTCAACCAATTAAACGGTAAGAGGCACTGGATTTTTAGGAGTCCAAATTTCATGTGACACTGGAAAAGTGTTTCAGATCAGCTAGCTATGTCTTTATCATCCGTTTAAGACCGGCCACGTGACGGGCTCTCGACCAATAGGAATGGGTAAACTGTCTTAGGTATTTATGAACAGAATTTCAAGCCTTCTCTAACAACCCCAAGGGCGGATCCAGAACACAATTTTGGGGGGGGGCCAAAAAAAAATTTGGTCCCCCCAAAAAAAGTGAGTCTCAAAAATTACGGCGTGGGGTTCGGGGCCCGTGAGGGCCCCGAAAATTTTTTGGATTCTAGATGCTCTGTGGTGCGATCTGAGGCAATTTCTGACCACTTTAACCAATTTTTTTTGAGGAAAAGATGGTGGTGTACTCATTGCCTGCCTTTATTGCAATGTCACATTAAAAAAAAAAAAAAAATTGGTTTCGTTTTGGGGGGGGCCATGGCCCCCTTTGGCCCCCCCCCTGGATCCGCCCTTGAACAACCCAAAATGAATTACGAGGGTATAATTTAGTATCTACATCTGATGGACGAAATATGATTTTAAGACATTCATGATGACATGAATGCATCACTATAATTTAACAGAGATTAAATGGCGACTTACTCACCAAGCCATGGTTAATGAAGTATGAGCCGAAGTACACAAGCCACAGAGGAATGATGTACTTCAATAGGTACTACAGAAAAAAAAGATAGAGTGTTAAGAAAGGAACTTCCTGACAATAATTTTCACATTAGTTTGCGATTCAAAAAAAAAATCATGGGTATTACATGGGTCACAATTCCAATCCGCTCCGTTCACAAGTACCCCCTCACCGGCAAAGGAAGTACAGATGGGGGGTGCGGCCACTGCGTGTACATAGAACAAATCCCCTGGTGTACGCGCGTCACACACAAGGAACGGTGCGTGTCAACCAGCGAAATGTACCGGCCATGGGACGTCGTTGCTAGGTAAAAGGGCGCCCTCTTTTGGTAGCGCACGGAGCTCATACTGAGAGAGAGCATGCAATTCAGAGTAATGCTTTATTCGTGCACCATCCAACATGGCGCGGCCCCGTGTAACCCGTCTCTAGAGGGCACTATTCAAATAGACTGTGAACACAACACAGATCACTGCCACTGTTCTAAAAGTAAAACTTATTTCTTTAAGCCCCTTTGTTCCGTAGTCATCGAAATCTGATCTTCATTTGAGTCGTATAATCGAGAAGAATGACTTTGTATCTTTACATCACGACTAATTATCAAGCGAAATTTCATATCAATACAATTTGTTATTCTGGAGTTATTTTCTCCAAACAGAGTGTTTTATTTTTGTTCAATTAAAATAGACTAAGATTCGGAATGAATTTTTCGTGATTAAAACACTTATTTTCTTGAAATCATCCTAAATTATTTTTATTCTTTCACGGAACCCGTCAATTTTTAAACTTCTTGTGTCAAAATCATGGCCAATTATTGGACGAGATTTCAATCCAATGCAATATGTTATTCTGGAGTTATTGTCTCCACAAAGAGTGTTTTATTTTTTGTTCAATTAAAAGAGACTAATATTCGGAATGAATTTAACGTGATTAAAACAATTATTTTCTTTAAATCATCTAAAATTCATTCTTCCACGGTTCGCGTCAAGTTTCTAATTTCCAATATCATGGCAAATAATCGGTCGCAATTTCAATCCAATGCAATGTGTTGTTCTGCAGTTTTTGTCTCCACAAAGAGTGTTTTATTTCTATTTAATTGGCAGATGGTAATAGGGCGCCCTCTTTTGGAAGAAATTGATGACAGCAAAAAGTATGGAGCGTCCTGACACACTGCTGTTTATTGTCGTGTATTTTTTTTTCCTTCCACAGTTCCAGTCGATTTTTTGACACTTTTTAAGTTATTACATCTCGACTAATTATCAAACGAAATTGCATATCAATACAATTTGTTATTCTAGAGTTATTTTCTCCAAATAGAGTGTTTTATTTTTGTTCAATTAACTTGCATGCCAGAGAAAACAAAATGGTTACGGTGTGTTGTTACTTTTCCAATGATTACTTTAATACAGTATGGTTTTATCAGTATAGGTTTGGGGTAACTGTACATACATATTTTATAAGTACGGGTCTTTTTCTGAAAACAGTCACCTTCATGTGCGATCTCCATGATCCTCTATAGCCAAGCGTAAATGGCGTAATATTACTTCTTTCTTTGTTAGTTTTCAATCTGGGCATTCTTCAATACTGACCTGAAAGTACTTGGCTCGTTCTTCAAACGTTAGATGGCGCTCTTCAGCGTCTTCGCATTTGCCTTGGAATGGATCGTACTCCTCAAGGCGGTCTGGATCATCGTCCTCCTGAACGTCGTTTTGGATGAGTTTCGATGTCGGGACTCTGACCAAAACGCACCAGTAACTAGAACAAGCACAGGGAGCAGTGCGTAAATTAAAAAGTACAGTCGCTCCTTAATAGGGTAGGCCTAAATGACAAAACTGTGCTGAGAGTACCAGTTGTGAGACGATTTGATAGAGTAATTTACCAATTGCGGTCATATACCTGCACACGATCAATCTCATATGTTCGTCTCAATGCGAATGTGAATTTTTAAAAGTCATTTAAACTTGTTCAGAAGTAAACATATCAATGCTGTAAAAGATGTCTTATTCAGACATAATTAACTGCATTAGGCTACACTCCCAGGTATGGACACGAAACTATTGATAAAGAATCTTGCCTGACGACACGCAGGGCAACCTCTCAGGATAGACCTAAGCCTATACTGTATCCACTTTCTGTAGAATTGCCCAAAAAGCTTAACAATACTGATAGAGTGTCTTGCCCAAGGACATCCGTACAGTATCTCTGAGGTTGGACACGAGTCCATTGTATACCCACAACATTTCGAATGTGAATAGCAAGAGATTGTTTTCGACCCACTAAACACTGGGCAATATCGCCCCATCATGAAAGGCAATCATCGTCAATTTACCCGACCACTATGCCCAATGGCACAATGACCTGCACAAGTAGCGCGTTCCTCGGTGTCATACCAACTTCGATCAGTCCGGCATAGGCAATAGAAGCCACTATACCAGCGCCACCGGTACCGGATGACCAGACGGACACCACACTCCTGAAGAAATGAAATAATAACTTTCGAATCTACAGAAGATGTCAAATCAATGCAATATTGTCGGTTCTTTCAGAGACCAATTTTTTTAATGATAATTCACGTTCTGTGTCAAATATATCTGGTGTAGGCTTACCACTTCACAAACAGCTGTAAAAAAAAAAAGGTGCAGAACGGACATTTCGGCGTTATTTTCTTGTGTGCGTCTATGTGTTTTTTCACAGAAGGATGTGTTTGTTCCAACTTAGTCCCTGTGCTATTCAAGGGTACGCTACTCTATTGGATTCCTGGTTCGTGTAATTGTGAATAAGACACGGAATGGTCATACATGTATACTGCAATGCATAATGCAGGCCTACAAATACGAAGAGCCATACGTGTTTGTGGTACTGATTTCCTGGCCTTCCCAAAGTTGACCTGGGTTGTAATCCCACGAAGTGAATTGGGTTCAGCCCTACCTAAATCAATAGAATTATAATACAATTCTTACTTGTCGTAAAAGGACAAGAGACTGACGCAGGTGAATTCTCCGAGGCCACCGGATATGCCTGCACAGACAACGCCTGGAAAGATGAATTGGAAACAGTTTTTATTGTTACTATTCATCCAACCTTGAAGTCATTTATACGGCTATTCATCTTTAGTTGCCACCGATAATAGGTCAAAACAGAGCCCGAGGTCATGTACTAGTTCGGTATCTCGATGAAGTACCGTTAGTCCAGGTCAAAGATCATTCGGGATAAAATCGCTGACGTGATGATACGCGATGTTACGCGGACGCCCATTCTGGTTGATATAGACCTATGCGTGCGACCGTCCGCGCAGGTTCATACGGTACGCCTTCGATTATCCCGAAGACCCGTGACCCATATCATTGTGTGCATGCGCAGTTGAAATACCAAACTGGCTCATTATCAAAGCAGAGTGAAATGGATATTTATTTTATGTATTCCATTTCTTTACCAGATACAAGTAACTCAGAAATGTTAAAGAAATAAAGCTATACAACAAAAAATAACAGTCAAACTATAAGGCATGAAATACTGGTAGATTTTGAAGGAAATCAAAACATGATCGTACTGATTTGCTGTGAATGGGTTCAATTGATTTAGCCCAATAGAACATTTATCGAAAGCGTGGAAAGGAGAGCCCGTTGTAACTTACCAAATATAGTTAGTGCTCGAATTGGAGACAGGGACACAATCAGGCAGCTCAGTACGGCTGACGTCACAGTAGAGAAGACCTTAATACTGTCAATTGTAAAAGAGGAACCTGTTATTTGCTTCTTCCACCATATAGGCTGTTTTTCCCTAAATCAAATACAATGTCGATACAAAAGTCTTTCTTGCCTCGAATTTTAAATAAACGTACATTCTCACTTGGTTTACTCGCGTGACGTTTATGACGTGTATTGCAGTTTGTGTATGTAAAGTCTGTTGACGCCGCTTTTAACCCTAAAAGGGCCGGGTTGTTTTGACCATCTCTCAGCCGGGGGGGGGGGGCGGACTCCGCCCCCCTAAGATCTCGGCGATCGAATGACGAACAATTTTGAAACTCAATACATGCATAGCACAACTCTTTATGAGCATAACCAAGAAATTTCATGACTATAGGTCAAAGGGGTTTGGAATTATGGCTAATTAATTATTCATATGTATGAATGGCAATTCTGCTCTGTGTACACTACGTCTATGGGAAATTCAGGCCGGATTTTTTTTTTTTTTTGGTATCAAAAGATGCGCAAGGCTCGAGGGTAGAAAGTCATAACAGCTCGGGTCGCGGAAAAAAAATTCAAGGCTATCGCGGAAAAAGTTGGGGGGGGGGGGAGCGGATTCCGCCCCTGCCTTTTTAGGATTAAGAGGCGGCATCGACATGATTAAGAGGATAGAAGTGTGATTGAACTGTTAAACTAGAGCTTATAAGTGTGGCCTCGTCGCCGATGGACAGAGGCGCACGCAGAAGCAGTAACTATTTGTCATTATACAGGGTGTCCCAACAAAAATGCCCATCTGAAGCGTGTACAGAATTCTCATCATTTATGGGGAAAACAATTCCATTATAGAATTGATGAGCCCAAACATTTTTTTCTTGTTGAAGTTTTTGGTCGATTCGGTTCAGTGGTTTTGAAACAAAGGCCATTAATGTAACCCTAGTCCAATTTACTCCAATCCAAGATTGACAATATAGGTCGTCCCATATTTGCAAAGAAGTGACTTGTTACAAAGAAAAAAAAACCCTCAAAGCCCGGCCTCAAACCCATTCCAGAAGTAAACTCACTCATAGGAAATATGATGAAGATACCACGGTGCTGACAGCGTAACAAACATATCCGGTAGAACATTTGCCAGAAGAACCGCCTGTAATATAAACAAATAAACAGGACACTGACAGAGGGATGTTTCATTTTGCTTTTGATTGCAACTATACATTTCAGTTGCTGTAATGTAGTGAGGACAAACATGTCGTTGTCGCCCACCCCCTCCCCCAAAAAATGATTGTGGCTGAAATCGCGTATTCGAGTAGATTTTTTTTTCTCGTATTTTCAGTTCACCAAATCCTCTCTCTTAAAATCCGACTGATTTCAAGCCAGTTTCAATCTGATTTCGAACGCATTATATTGGATGTAGAACCAGCTGTTCATCTGTGTACGTTTCAAGTGCCGAACTTGGCCCTAAATGAAGTTGTTGTGATAGATTGGACCGGTGTGTTTTTCTGCCACCAAACGTCTCAAACGTCTCCCATATGGTGACTCTTGCGACACTTGGGAGCTGCAGCAAACACATTGGTCCTTTTCTATTGTTGCCTCATTTTGAACATGCGCACATAAGCTAATAGGGCCCATGTAATGTAATTTGTTTAATGCCGTCCTTTGTAAATACACCTTTGTGTTCCATTTAACCTTCTTTAAATTTGTTATTTTGCAATTTTTTAGGGCATTTTGGTACCTTTTTGGTTTTTATGTTACGGACAATTTGTATATTCATTAGCAAAAGTGTGATGTCATTTCAGGCAGAACATTCAATGTTGCAGATATTTCAGCATAACAATTTTCTAGAATATTATGCTGTCGTAAATTTTCTTTTCTTCGTTTAGTCGTTGTTGTTTCAGTACATGACAGTAGGCCAATGAGCAAGGTTTTCTCACAAAATCTTTTCAATGAGCAAATTTTAGGTTCACCATTTGAACAGAAAACCCCTCAAACTAAGCAGTGTCTTCCTGAAATGACAATTTCTTCTGTTTGGACCAAGAAAACGGCATCTTTATAGTGCCCTCAGCATATTAAGTCCACAGTTTGAACTTACCCCTGTTGAAAGAGGATTGCAGTCGAATCTCCCCCTTGATGTATCGTTCTCCTGGGACGTTGCATTTCCAATCTGGTTTAATCATGTAGGAAGAAGAGTAAATTTAAGGTGGGATCCAAGGGTCCTTTTACGCCTTTTTAATATGTTGTGCTGTGGTCCAATGGTTACGGTGTTCGACTCGTGTGCCGTGGTGCACGGGTTCGAATCCTGACCGTGGAGACATGGTGCTTGTGCTTTTGAGCAAGGCACTTCACCAACGTTGCTTCGTCCCGTAAATGGGACGTAAAGCTGTAGGTGTTGTGAGTTGTGTAATGCACGTTAAAGAACCCAGTAACACTTATCGCTAAGAGAAGGGGTTTGCCCCGGTGTTTCTGGCAGTGAAAAGAAATCCTGAATTTTAACAAATATCAGGTTACACATGATGTGGTAAGCAAATCCAGACTGTGGTTAATGACTAACAGATGTTTCCATAACCTACAGAAGAGAACATTCTGTGAAACATCAGCATGTACCTCGTATTGGCCTCCTAGAATGTCATACGCAGCACTCAGCATGACGACGTACATGTAGGAACTGCACGCCTCGAACAGCCTTGAGAAATAAAGTATTCAATGTGTTTATTTATGAACCAAATTGCTGAAGTTATTTTTGTTAAGCGCTTAAATTCCGTTTTTCAAATACAAGCTTCGTTTTAAAACAAACAAAATAATACTGCACAACATGGTGTGCGAATCGTTCACCACTTACCAAAATGCAGCGAGGTTTCGTATCTTCTCCTTGCAGCACTTTTGCACATCCGCGGGAACTGCGGGTTCCTCGGGCAAAAACGCATCTTGTTCCTCTTGTTCTCCACGCAGCCTCTGAAATTTCGATGATTTAGTTTTCCCCATGCCTGGAAATTGACTATCGAAAAACGAACGAGGAAAAAAAGAGCCATCCAGGAACGTGGCTATAGAGTATGAAAATGAATCTGAACTCAGGCCTTTAGCCTGCAGTAGGAAGTCCGGCACTTTCTGGATTTTTTTTTTTTTACAACCCTAAAACAACTGGTATCACTGGAAAGACAATCACACACCAAAGTGAATTATGTTAAAATCATTTTCATGGGAGCTTGCGTTTTGGCGATACAACAAATTAAATGGCAAAATTTCAATATTATTATTTTTAGAACTCTAACATTTCCACTCCTATCAAAATGTTTAATATCATTGAAATCATTATTAAATACACAATGATTTGATATATATAAGTCTTGTTGTCTCTCTTTACAAAAAAAGGTTATGATTGTTTTCCGGATCATCGCACGATGTCCGAGCCATGTCCAGGCCCACCCCGCGATGCAACCAGACAATGCCCCAGACGGGCAAAATACAGTTACAATCCCGCTTCGCACAACGCGACAACACGGAACATACAGGGTGGTTAAAAAAAGGACACCCACATTTGACAGCAATGTTCACCTATTTTTAAAAATTATTTTAACTGTCGATTAGTAGTTATAAAAGTACTGACCTTTAAGCAAATGTGACGAAAAAATCGTTGCATTTGCACATTTTGTCGTTGAGCTATGCTAATTTGAACATTTCATGTGCGAAACCTGTTTTTTCCACGGAGGTACACATTCCCTTCGCTTCACTGGGCTGTTATCGGAGCTTTCTTTGAAAGGGCATGACATTTGATTGTTGTGTAATGTTATGCAACAATGAACTTCAGCCGACGGCTCATTGAGAAGATGATCTTAACCCTGACACGAGTAATAATTGGACAGCTTCAATAAAAGTTACCGGGGGAAAATATATTTTGGTGGGAAGGTTCTTTAATTTTTATGAACTACGAAAACGTCCAATTTGCATAGAATAACCCGTGGACAAGACTGATTTTGGTGACTTGTATTCAAATTAGGATAATATGACTATTTTTGTGACTTTTACTCAGCTTTTTTCACCATGCATGGTTAAAGGCCTATACTTTACTACCATGTAAAAAAATGTTTAAAATAAATTCTTTAAGTAGGTGAAAATTGCTGTCAAAATAATGTGGGTGTCCTTTTTTTTTAACCACCCTGTATACACTCGCGTAATCGCTGTTTCCGCAAGACAGGCTATATAAGTCTTGTGAAGGACCAATACCAGCCTTGCATTATACATATGGTACAAGACTATATCTGTCTGGTTGCCGCCACGCAAGAAAACGGCGACAACGTGAAAGTTTGGCAGCGATGTCGATAATTTACCCTGGCGATTCTTCACGAAATGTCTTTTGCAACTTTTCAAACGTAATTCTAGACCAAAAGTGGTCAATTTTTTATTTTATAGATGGTATCGAAAACTCTGTACAAGAGAAATTTAACACTTCATGAGAGAGAAATCGGAAGAAATTACCCAGTTTTTGTCCCGCTTTTCCAAATTCGTCAGCGATACGCCTAAAGCAACATCTATGCATCACATTTGATACCATGTGAAAGCTGGGACTTTTTCCTAGAAAGGACCACATTATTTAGGTCTTTGGTTTAAAAAGGCAGGAATAGTACCGAGCCGAAGTTTCAGTATCAAAATTTCGGAATCCCTACCTGCAGGGTACCGGGTAGGCTTGAGTACAATCAAGAATTATGGTTGACTACATGTACAGTTGGGTCGCGTCTGAAACGGGCTTCCAGAGCTACGGCTACGTCTACCTATAGTTGTAATGGGTGAAGACCTAGCCATTATCCATAGACGAGAGATTCGGACACGACCTTCGACATGCCCTCAACCACACTCAACCCTAATAGCACTACAGCACAGAACTATGCAGTTTTCCTTTTAAGTTTTCCTTACCAAAAATAAGCCACTCCGTAACAGCTCAGGCAGCACAATTCAGTACAGAATACTTCCGTTTCCCTTCCGTAGGACTCCCTTCAATACCAAAAATGAGCCACTCCGTAACAGCTCATGCAGCACAGTTCAGCACAGATTTAATCCGTTTTCTTAATCTGGTAGGATTCCCTCACGCATGACTTCTGGCCTTACCTTGGCCTGTTTTGGCATTGGTACTGTCCGTTCGTGTGCTGCTGTTCAAGTGACCATCCATAAAGACATAAATCTTGACAACAATGAATGGAACTGTAATTTAATATAGCTTTATGAGCTATACCTTGGGAGATCTTCGGATGAATGACCGATCACTCAATGCCGGGTGCCGGTGGACACAATGGCATAGAAAGTATGTACAGGGTGTATCAATAATGGAAAACCCAAATGTAAACGTTAATTATAGAAAATCTAACGAATATTTTCATATAAAAATGAAGATCATGTGAAACGATAATGTGTCCTCTTTCCGATGATACCTTGATTGTGTGTCTGTGGCCACGGATGACTGAGCATTCGTTGTTATTATGTTAAGGGTCAAAACCCGCACTGGGCCAAGTTGGTGCAAAAGGGTAACTGGTATTCTGGGCATGTGGAATGGCTTGATTTAAAGAAAGAATACATCATTTTCTTTAAAACAATTTATCCAATGTTGACAAAATGATTAAACCACTCTCATTGTTGAAGTTAACCCCTCATGGCCCAATGCCTTCAACGTGGCCACCATCTTTCCACACAAAGCTCTGCACGAAGTCTAGTCCATTTCAACCTTTGCATAACAAACCAGCCAGCAATCTTAGCCAGGTAAAACTTGGCCCAGTACAGGTTTTGACACTTGACAGAATACCAATGAATGCTCAGTCATCCGTGGCCACAGACACACCTGAATCAAGGTATCATTGAAAAGAGGCTACTCGAGGCTTCACTCGAGCGCAGGATGGTTGATACTCAAGTCGACTACAGTATTGGGAACCGGAACCAAGGGTATGGCTGCATCGCTGGTTACCAATCGCCGCGAGCATCATAATGCACAGCAGGAAGCCTGGATCAAGAATGTTCGTGATGATCATGTCAACTTAGAGCAGCGTTTGACAGGATGCGTACGCACGTTGCTTTAGTGCGCAGGTACCATGCAACCACTACTGACTAGTCGACTGATAGGTGTCGGCCGAACTTGCTCCAATTTGAACTCTTACCCACCCTTACCGTGGACTTCCAGGCTACACTGACAGCAACCATCTTGAAAATGGCGGCCATTTTCAATGACTGGAGTGGCTTACTTATTTTCTGAGACAAGTCCAATCAATGAATTATCATGATCAGAAGATTATAAGTCTTGGCATTTAATTTTTTTCAGATACATAAAAACAAGAAGCTACAGACTCACACTCCCATTAAGACATCAACTCAACTACACTATACACATCACAGGAGATAAAAGTATGGATGCAAAACAATGGGACACTTTTGAGACTCTTGGTGGCGGCAAATACACTATTTGCAGGACCGGTTTATTTGCTGCCACCAAGCGTCTCAAAGTCTCACATGGCCTACAATCTCCACACCAATGGAAACGGTCCACTTCAGACATTTGGAAGAAGCAGCGTACAGTGCAGTGCACATGCACACACTGCTCTACAGACACATTTGAATTGAAGTGAACTGAATTGAATTGATTGGTTTATTAGACCACAAATTGGATGTGCTTTACAATATTTATTTAAAAATAACAACATCAATTAAAAAAATTATCAGAAAAACATTGATAACGAAATTGTAAATACAATTCTAAAATATAGATTTCTCGAAGTAACACACGAGTACAAGCAAACAGTGACAAAACGGTTTTGCAACACTCCCATACCCAATAAAGAAAATACATTTTTCTCTTTAACCACCCCTTCACGAAATGTTTGAACCCAACTCTGTAGCTACAGGCTCTTGGAACAATACGCGCTGCGCGCAATGCTCAACGCGCACATCAGCATAAACATTTGCTCATAATACCGCGCCATGGAATAGACCGCTTGCAGATGCGTTCGATAATCGACGCGCGAAGGCGCGCGACGCCATGTTTTGGGACAGGCGTATATCTATCCATGCACACTTTGTCCCATAACATGGCGTCGTGCACCTTCGCGCGTCAATTATCGATCGCGTCTGCAAGCGGTCTATAACTGATGTGAGTTCCACCAATCAAATGGCAAGGATGTGTATGTCAGTTATTTAATAAGCAACTATATGTCAAGTTCCGAAACAGGGTAATGAATACGACCATTCTGAACCAGACTTGTTCAATTCCACCCGAGTAACTGAGATGTAATGATGTTCACACAAGCTATCGGGAAACTACTGAGCAGACCGTAAAACATGAGGTCGCTGAAGGGCAACAAAATTGAACCGATCCAGTAAGCACCGCCCAGTGCGCACGTGGGCAAATTAACACGTGCTCCTCTCCCATGCTACGCTGCATATTCCTTCCGCGCGCATCATACGCGCGTGAACGCATGTCGGACTTTAGTGCACGCACGTCGGACATAAATCACGACTTTGATTGGTCAGAACACCATGGGGTGGTGCTTACTGGATCGGTCCACAAAGTCTATCTTGCCTTCTCCTGTCCATTACAGCCGACATAAGAGATCATGTACTGGTATCGCAATCACACCGGCCAATACAACGCTGGAGGCTTCGGCAGATGTAGTCGCTCCCATCGCAAACTCTTTATACTTTGGAGCCTCCTGTCAATTTGAGAGTTAGCGGAAACAAGTCGATGGAGGTTAAGGAAAGGAGCTTGTAAAAGTATTATAATAACTTGGAGGTTCGGCTCTAAGTTATTATAATGCACTAAGGCAGATTGTTCATAGATTTGCAGTGGAAGAGGCAAATCGTAAATTAATTTTTAAACGTACAGTTTATCGAATTGTTATATGCCAAACATCCAGCTATAAAACGGCCTGCCTTTCATATAGATTGTAAAGGAAAAGTACTGTTGGGCGTCTCCTAAATATGTCTGGCGAATTCCAGTTAAGGCCTAAATGTGCCAAACAAGCAATCAAGTCAGTTTTCGAGATGCGAATAGACTGAGTGAATTGCTCACGCAGTAAAGCTGGCCGACAGGTTGGTTAGCCTGTGTGTCGAAGCCAAACGAAACATTTGTTTCGTCTGATTATACGCGAACATGTTGAACGTTTTAACCTTTTTTATTCGTGCACGACCATTTTTTAAAATATTTTCAGGACGAATGTTCTTGGTCAGCGATCCCTTAATAACAATTGACGTGACTCACATTTTGCGAGATTTGGTAAAAGGTGTTGACGTAGGAAGCCCCACCAATAAGCCCCTCAACGAAGACGATGGCGAAGATGATGAAAATACTAGGCGTCCATGCGAAGCAGATGACGCATAGAATCACAACCAGCACTGCCCACTTCAGTAAGAAATCAATAAAACAGTTGTTGACAGGTTGTAAAAGTGAGGTGGGTTACACCGAACTAATCAAACAATCACCTCTAAGGCCAAAAAAAAAGGCTCCAGTTTCTGGTATGCGCGCGCGTCGCCGTAGCCATGCGCGTCGGCAAAATGAAAAAGGTTTTTTTTCAATGAAAGATGATGTCTCAAAACCGCCAGACTCACCGGTTTGACTAGAATCCTGCTGCTGCACAATTTAAACGTGTTTTTAGATTGGGTTATGGTCGAGAATAAGCTTGATGTGGCCTCTCTGGACTCCCATATATTTGCACTAAGTTTAGTCGGGCACCATTTGCAGTCATCAGCCGACATTTGAAGCAAAAAAATCAGGTAAAAAAAAAAAAAAAAGCCGCGTCGCCGCACCACTTTTGGGGCAAGCTCCATACCAGAAACCGGAGACTTTTTTTTTTGCCTAAGCTATAGATAGAAGCGAGTAAAGTTTGCAATCTAAAAATCTCGTGTCAGACTCGAGCCGTAATTAGGGTCAGATTTTGATCTAACACTCTTCAAGGTCCGCAAAATTATATTTTTTTTTCTGAAAAAGACTCGATGCGAAAATGATTCGTTTAGCGTCAAAACGACTTCAGGCGACTCGGAGAAGTGTCATTTTGACCCGGAAAGTTGTCTGGTCAAATCTGACTCAGATTACGGCTCAAATCGGACCCGAGACTGTTGAGAGTGTGGGACTACCTGTAAGATCGGAAAGATCCACAGCCTTTGAAAAGAAATTAGATTGATGGAAGACCTCGATATGAACACGCCGGCCTGGTACAACACCTGAAACCTGCAAGTGACCCAAAATATGCAAATCGATCGACAATAAACACACAGAGGAATCCTTCTTGGTTCGGTTTGTGCTTGAAAAAGAGAAGAAAATCCTTCTTACAACCCAGTTTTAAATCCACGTTGTTGTTTTTTTTAATGTTATCTTATTATTATTATTCTATTTTATTGTTTTTATTTTTATTATGATATAATTTTTTTGGGGGGGGGGGGGGGGGTGGGGGGGGGGGGGGGGGGGGAAGCTCCCATGTATTTTTCAAACGGCCGTGGATACTTTGACGGGGGTAGGGCTGGAACTCATCTCACCCTTGGAGGCGCTGCTTTATATAATTTCAATTGAAATATAATCAGTGGAACACGTAAATCTTCTAGATGTAAAATTATGTACATTGAAGATATAACGTATGTAAATTCAATAACCCTTTCAAATAAAGTTTCTGCAAGGTAAGTGCCCGACGTCATTAAATCTGAAATTCAATCACGAATCCACTTTTAATCATCCACGTCATATACATTTTTTTTAATCAGCTACAAATTTTATTTTGTGGGTGTTTTCTTCTATAAATCTGTTTGTCCAAACTCATACCAACCATCTGTACTGACTCTCGTGTGTCAACCAAATTCCTCGGACAAAGATCAACTCCAGCTGCACCATAATTGAAACAAAATATCAAAGAAAAGCATCGTTACATGGTCTGCGTCATCGGCATGGGCCGAGCCCATTTTCGTCGAATATTTTGATCAACACAGGTGGGGCGTTTAGGGTCTCATGCCATTCTCTCAAATTCCCACGGCGCTTCAATTTAATCTTCCGTATACTTCATGGTTTCATGTTATATACCCTGCCACTGTACCCTACGCTTGCATGCTTGCCTGATGCTTCCCTTGTCTTTGAAACGTTATTTTGCGGGTGTTTGATGAAGATTTAACCTTTCGCACTTCTCCATGGTTCCCGTCTAGTACAATTTGCTTGTCATACTTGTGTGTGTTTGCTCTCACCATAGTTTGCTTTCCCCGCAATGAAATTACTTTTTTTTTCTACACTATTATTGAGTGACTGTTTAGGAATGAGTGGGTTTTTTTAATCGTTGGTTCTGGAATTTTGCTTCTTAAAAATGATCCACCCACGGTGACCCAGAGCTTCGCCTGATTAACCAAATTCGTTGCTCTAATCGAGACATGACAGCTTCATGTGATAACCTAAATAAATAATGTAATCGGGATATTTACTTACCAAGCCATGATTAATGAAGTATGAGCCAAAATATACTAGCCAAAGAGGGATGATGTACTTCAATAAGTACTAAAAGAAAATATAGAAAATAAATAAAAAATATATAAATAAAAAAATAATAGTCGGGAGGAATTGTATAATCTTTTCCGAGCAATAATTTAGGACATTGATTTTGTAAGTTGTAAATTTTTCCCTTCCAGTAACTGAATTTTACTAACACAAGGATTTTTTGATTGATTGATTCATATTGTTTTTCTTATTGCCCTTGGTTTTCGAGGTTGCTCTTTATACACCACGTTCTGTTTATTTCTCCATCAGAGGGATTGAATGTGGCATTTTGGTCAGGTTGGGGGGGAGGGGTCGTTGTTTTCCTGTTCTGAACTGGGGTGTTCCACATGCGGATCAGGCTTTTGAATTTCTTTAGTGTTATGTTTTCCACTTTTAGAGTTTTAGGTAATCACATTTTTAATTTTAATTTAATTAATATTCCTATTTTATTTATATAAACTGTTTGATTTAGTCTAGCTAGAGGGGTGGGGTGGGGGTGGGGAGAGGATTGTCGTTTCTGTTCTGTCCAGGGATGTCGACATGTAGTTTCAGGCTTTTTAATGACTATTTGACTATGTTTAGTTTACATTTACATTTGAGTGTTTTTATCACATTATTGATTTTAATTAAAATTCCTTTTTTACTTGTAAAGTTGATTTGGTCAAACTTGTGGGGAGGGGTTGTTTTCTGCTCTGTCCAGGGTGTCGACTGATGGTTCAGACTTTTTAATTACTATAGTGCTATATTATCAATTTTTGAGATTTAAATAATCACATTTTTTTATTTAATATAATATTCCTTTTATTAATATAAATAGTTTGTAAAGCGGGATGGAGCATTTTTTTCTAATGGATTCGGCGCTATCAAAATGTACATTATTATTATTATTATTATGAAATTTGAGAACACGATGAATACCTTGTCCATTTTGTCAACAGATTATCAGATCAGGCCTCGATAAAATGATTAAACAGCTCCTTAAATATCACGATAACTGTACTTATCATTGAGAGTTTAATCTGAGTGTTCTTACAAACTAACCTTCAAGTAGTGAACTCGTTCTTGAAACGTTAGATGGCGCTCTTCAGAATCTTTGCATTTGCCTTGGAATGGGTCGTACTCCACGAGGCGGTCTGGATCCTCGTCCCCCTCATCGTCCATTTTGAAGCGGTTCGAAGTAGGGGCTCTTACTAAAACGCCCCAGTAACTATTAAACCCAAGCACAGGAATTAACATTTTGCGCAAGTCAGCTGTCACATTATTGATTTTTTTTTTAAATTAAAACAAGTAATATAAGCCCTTTAGGATCTTTTTAGTATATTAAAAATCCTGTTGTCTTACAACCTATATTCTGCGAATAATTTTAAATACATTTATTAAGTTTTAACACTGAAATAGTTTCACGATTTATTTCAATGTGTATATACAAAATGCGTACATCCTTCAATATTGGCACTATAGGTGTTATGTTATCTATTTTCTCTGTAAATAGGGACCCAATAGCCCCTTAGAGCATCCGATAGTTGAGCTTAATGTGAAGTTTAAGCCTGTAATTCGATATCATTTGCCCTCATAGGAAATGTGCTTATTCCTGGTTGGGAAGGAGCAATAACTGACAAAGTGTCTTGCCCAAGGACACACGCACCCCAGCCACACAGGCTGGAATCTTACCCTATCGGCCTTTACATTCACCCACATTGGCTTCAAGGTCCCAGACTTCGACACTAAAAGCACCTTTCATATTCGATGTATGTAGCAGTGGTATTATTTCAATTATTCATTTACCTGACTGCTATACAAAATGGCACGATGACCTGTACTAGAACCGCATGCCTCGGTGTCATTCCAATTTCGGTCAGTCCAGCATACACCAGGGCGCTAACAAGTCCGGCAGCACCAGTACCCGAGGACCAGGCGGACACCACACTCCTCAAGAAAATATGATACATTTGTTACAAACAAAATTTCGGAACCTAGAATGATGTACTTTCAAAGGCTAGTTCTTGAATGATTTACGTGTTAGTTTTCATTCGCTTGCTCTAGATAAATGACCAATTGCGCCCTATACAGTTCCTGCACGGAGTTCCTACATGTTAACCCGATTTGGGTACAACTGTTGTAATGACTGGAGTCATCGACTTGACTCGAGTCCGACTCGAGTCACAATTTTTGGCCACTCGACTCGACTCGAGTCCCAACGGGTAACTGGCTCAACGCGACTCTAGTCACTGCGAACACATGACTCAATTCGACTCTAGTCCCTCGTCATCAGAAGACTCGACTCGAGTCGAAGGCCAATAAAACACTCCAGTCATAAACTCAGTGACTCGTTGCAACTCTGCAACTTTTCCATGTATTACAGGCTGGATTTACAAACGGTTAGCTACCTTATATTATTTCCCGAGTTAGAGAATTATCTTACTTGTCATAGAATGACAGCAGACTGACTCCAGTGAATTCCCCGAAGCCAGCGGATGCGCTTGCGAACAGAACACCTGCAAATTGAATTTTAAACGAATTTGTTGTAATTTAAGCAAAACATTGGCTTACTTAATACAATTATCCAAAGTTGGGGAAAGAGCCAATCTCTATTTTAACTTACCCAATATGGTAAGAGCTCTAAACGGTACCAAGGCGACGATGAGGCAGCTCAGTACGGCTGTTGCAACAGTACAGCTAACCTTGATACTGTAAATTATACAAAATTACACAAACATTGTCCATCCTAATCCCTTTATTCTGTTGACTATATGATTACATAGCAATAGGGCCGGATTGCAGTTGATTGGGTTTAGCCGAATTGGTTAAATTCCACAACTATCATTTTCCCTTGAATTATCAATAGGGATCCTGCAGCAAAGACATGTGCTGGTATTATAAACCATGTCCATGAATTTATAGTAATACGTGTGATGAAACGTGTCGTGGATATGTAGATAATGCAGTGGTGTTGGTCAACCCGAGTATTTGACAGCTATCAAGGTTCTACCAACAGATTCAGAATAGTCTTATCCCGTACCTGACCAGATTGCTGAATAACCTACTTAAATATTGACTGTTTAATTTATAGTAATACGTGTGATGAAACGTGTCGTGGATATGTAAATAATGCAGTGGTGTTGATCAACCCGAGTATTTGACAGCTATCAAGGTTCTACCAACAGATTCAGAATAGTCCTATCCCGTACCTGACCAGATTGCTGAATAACATACTTAAAGATTGACTGTTTACCCTGTATGAGGGAGAAGGTCCAATTCAGTTGTGTTGGTCACCATTAGGCTAATAATTTCTGTGTCAATCCATTTTACCAGTGTCAGTATTTCATTGATGGTCAACTTTTTTTGGTGGTGAACATTTTGTTTGTAAATAAGTTTACACGCTAAACATTTTTAGCATGAGGTGATAGCAAGAAAGTGTTTGGAATTGTGTTTACCCGCTAAACACATTTTTTTGTAGGTCAGGCAAATATCCACACAGAGCCACCTAGGCTATACCTGTGTCACAATGCGAAAAATTGAACACTTGGTCCTATGGTCAATTTGACCTCCCTTTGGAAAATTACTCATAACTCTGTCAAAGATCAGATCTGAACGGACTTTGATGTCTCATTTTAAAGTGGCAAGGCGTATCTTTCAAACTATACATATAGTACCTATGTTGGTTACACATTCTACGTCTGGCATTCCGATATATTTTGTTTGCATTTCTCTTGAGAGACACACTGTTTAACACCTGCACTCAATAAACTCACTCGTAGGAAACAAAATGAAGATACCATGGTGCTGAGAGCGTAACAATCATTTCGGGTAGGATATCTGCGATGAGAACAGCCTGCAACATGACAGATACAACATGAACGGAAACAAGTTTGGGTGTATAGATATAGGCCTACTTGGGGATGACGTAGTATAAGCTTCTGTTTATAGTACAAGTTATTAAGTTACACTTGTTTTTTAGTTTTGCACTGTCACCCATCAGCTACCAAAAAAGGGGCAGAACTGCAGTATCTACAAAGAATGTCATAACTTTGATGCTAAATCGGGCAGTCACAGTATTTGGAAAACAATCACACTAGGAATGACTGCTTATAGCTGTGGGTGCTTTCAGTTTTGTATGTCACTTTTTTCTACGCTTTGCCATGTGTTGTACGTTAGTAGATTTAGCCTAAGCCTAGGCACTGACATAACACTCCACTTGTTACTGCTCGGGCGTACAAGTTTACTTCGGAGAACAAACAAGCAAGGAAAGAGCAAAATAAATACAAAAAAAAAATCTTACCCCTGTTGACAGTGATTGGCAGTCGAGCCTACCCGTCGATGTATCGTTTTCATTGACCGTTGTATTCCTGGACAGCATTCCAAGTATATGCTCTAGATCCTGTGTCTTGTATAATTATTTGAATTTAGAAGGAAGAAATTAATTTTTATCGAGATTTGTAAAAGACATGTTCAGAGATAAACCTTCAAAGGGAAACTTGCCATTTTGGGTTGATTCTTTCTCGGAGGACAATTGCTTTCATCATCACGCGGCACGCAGACTATACACATAGGTTTAAATTATAGAAGTGAAATGCATTTACTGTTTCAACGCCCCGATAAAACCGCCCGAACTGCCCCAGTGCCATGGTTTATGGAATCTTCAAGGCTTGTTTGCAATGTACTAACATGTAATTCAATTGATTGTGGGTTAAGCTCCATAAAAAAAAATACGAAGACGTAATACGTAGAATGTTTGTTTTCAAATCACCCACATGCTACAGGCGTTTGACAAATAAGAATAGCCAGAGTTTTACACAGGTTATTTAAGTTATATAATGTAACACACAACTTAATTTAATAAATATGAATGTGAAACAAAAATAATATATTAAATGTTAATTAATAAGACGACCATCTGATAATAAGACAAAGTTGTTACAATCCTTGAAATTAAAGGTACACGTATAAAATATGTTCTTTAGACAACGGACATACCTCATAATTTTCCCCAAGGATGTCATAGGCAGCACTCAGCATGACCACATACATGTAGCAACTACTTGACCCAAGTATCCTTGGAATAAAACATAATTTGTATATTATACTTCTTTCGATGCAAACTAGACTTACGCTTTCATGGAAGTCGCAGAAACAAAGATTGGTAACCACTCCAAAGCTTGATGTTAAATGACAACAGAATAATCGATCAAGAAAATCCTCCATGCACTTTAGAGGCAATCATTTCGTGGCATGTCAAGCATTTCCCCTAGAACATTAGATGCTGAGGCAAAGAAAAAATACTGCCGTTAATATTACTCCCAACAAATTAAAGACGAACCTATTCATAAGTTGTTCCTTAGAACAAAAGGGAACAAAGACCTTGTGCACACGCATGTATATATTTAATTAGTGTGCTACTGCCTGGTAATTATTGCCACTGCGCGTTAGTGTTTATATATATCACAAATGAGCATTATGATTTGAAGTTTAATTCGAACTAATTATGCATAGAATATGCTTTCGGAAAAATTACTGGAACACCTGTTTAACAAGTCTCAAATTGGATTGGTGATTAGTCCCATATGTTGTTCGTATAAATTATTCATCCGAAAAGGACTGCACAAGGACTCCGTGTCAAAAAACGACACCACCAGTTCAATATGTCAAGTGGATTTTGTTCGTGTTTTTATGTATTGTGCCACAGCATAAATGTAATTGCCACTTGTGTTTTGATATATTTTACAAATGAGCGGGTTGCTTGAACAGCAATTCGAACTATATAGTTATGCGTAGAATATGCATTCGGAGAATTAATTGTAAAATCTTATATTAAAAATAAATTATTGTAAACCTTTACTGTACAAATTGTTCATCCGAAAAAGGAATCTGCCAATGTCCTCATTGTGTTACCAGAAAACGACACCGCTAGTTCTACATGCCAAGTGGATTTTGGGCGTGGTTGTTTTTTTTTCCCATCTCATTTCGTAGCAAGCAGCTCGCAATACAGTTTTATATTTGAGTTGGGGAGAAAAAGTAAGAGATGTGATATGGAGTCCTACCATGCCCATCTCAATGCTAAACTTAATGGAATCGAGGTCATATTTTTTCCCAATCCACCCTTGGTTACGTAGTCGGTGGATCAGACATTTTTTGTCTCGAATATTCACGCCATTTACATGTTTTTGTATCAGATATTACTTTATAATTTCAAGGTATCATTTCATATTTCAAAACTGTTTTAGGTCAACAAACATTATACTTACCAAAAAGCAACAAGGTTTCGTAGCTTCCCGTTGCATTGTTGCCCGCCGGCGGGAACTGCTGGTTCCGTTGGCAAAAATGCATCTGTTTCATTTTCGTCTTCGATCTGCCCCTGAAAATGAGATGATTTGTGCTTCACCATGCCCGAAAAACCAACGTCGACAAAGGGATGAACTTTCAGTGACCCGCACTTGGCATCTGTTTAAGCTTGGCGTTTTGCGTTTCGATTCTGTGCCATATTTTATGAACAATTAGACACAGACAATAGGACTTTGTTACCGAGTGAGGGCGCTTTACGACTTGATTTGTCAATAACTTAGGGACAAGTTCGCGCAAGAACTACTGATTGAACAATGGTTAACCATAGTTCGACTAAACTTAGCCCGAACTCTGTCTATAGTCGACGATGGTTGACTTCGCTAGTCGACTATTTGGAACCAGCCTACCGCAGCTGGTCGCGCAACGATTTATAGCTGGTTATCAATGTCAATTTCCATAGCATAGTGCAGAGGGGACCAACTATCAACAAAAATGGCGGTAACCGAAACTGTGAGCGCTATATTTCATTTTCATTGCACGATTTTTCCATGTAAGTTTACGATTATGTCACTTTTGTCACCATATAAATATTGGCGTTTATGTAAGATGTCCTATACACAGTCATTATTATTTATGTAAATAAAGAGAAACAACAAGTCTTGAATAATTGTACGACCGCCATTTTTTGACGTGACAATAGTTCGACTAAAGTCGTTCGCACTTCAACTTCACTGCGCATGCGCTAGGTACGTCACGAACCAACCACTGGTTAACCACTGGTCCTTGCTCGAACTTGCCCTTGGATTCACGTCTCTAGAGATCAGTTGTTGGTACCAGGAAAAATGGCGTTTGGTAAGGCTTTAACGCCCTCTTTTGCCCCCCCCCCCCCCCCCAAAAAAGTATTACATTCGAGTGGCTCTTATTTACTAACTAACGAATTAATTAAAAGCTAAAGTTTGTCAAAATTATTCGTTAGCCAATTACATTCGAGTGGCTCTTATTTACTAACTAACGAATTAATTAAAAGCTAAAGTTTGTCAAAATTATTTGTTGGCCAATTCTCAAAGCCAAAGCAGTGCGAATTAGGATTATAGCCCGTAAGTGTGTTTTCTCATCACACGGAATTGGACTCAAATCTTACGTTACCATTTTCTAAGCATTTTGTGTACATTCTCAGGGAAAAAATAGTCTTGGGCTATGCTATATAGTTTGACTTACATTTCCAGTCGAATCCACCATTCGATCTGTGTACTCTGAGTCTGTCTTGTCCATCGTGAAGAGTGACCGGATAGGAACATGTGATATGTCAGCGAGAATACAGATCTCTGCGTTTCTGCATTGGCTATACAGTTGGGTTTTTTTTTTCAAGGTTTTTTTTTTCGGCGTACACTGATAGGTAACGTGAGCCGTAGAAAGTATATGACCCTAGTAAGACCCGGCCTTTCAGAATTTACTGTACAACGGTACAACCAACAATCAGTTCCTATTGAACTGTATATAATTGCCATCGGGCAAATATATTGTCAAGCAGTGGACCAAAGCAGTACACAATGGCGTATATCAAGGTCAATTTATTGGGGGCAGAAGTTAGAAAGGGCACTCGCTCTTCCGTGTGCACTCGCTCTTACGTTCTTAAAGGTATGGACAGGGTGTTTACCAGTCCAACGGCCTACATAACATCAAAGAGCGCTGTACACGTTCTGACCGTCAATGCTAATTCTCACGGTGCTGGTTAAAAGCCCTTATTTACGAAGGGCGAAACCAGGGACAAGCTGATTTAGAGCGAAATCATTCAAATTCTGGTCTGCTCCTTGTTTATATGCTCCTTACCCCCATGACTTTTTGTTGCCGCACAACAGTGCATAAATTCTATTGACCAATCAGGAAACAGGCGTTTATGCAAAGTGCAGGTGGCTCAGTGCACAAACAGGTGACTCAGTGCTAAACTATACAGTTATGGGATTTTTGTATGTGGCTTATAGTTCGTGTTCCGTCACATTATGCTTTGTCCAAAGAGCTCATTTTCCGATGTTTGCAGCAATCAGTCAGCATTCTCTTGCCAAGAAAAAGTGGGGCATATACATATACATATGCTATGCCTCATTATTAATAACAACAAGCTAAGGTATAATCCCGATAATTGATTGGATGGAACGCAAGCATCGCTGACCTTGTGTGTACACTCGCAAGTGCTGATTGGCTGGGCTTACGTACTACGGTATTGAAGGTGCTACGGTCGGTCTAAAACGCACGAACTCTACTTAAACCCTCACTGGATAGACGGTGCAGGCGACTGTTCGTGCGCCAGTGTCGCATTTAGTGCAGTACGCTCCACGCGAGTTACTTTGCATCTATTCGAGATTTGTGCTAGACTTACTTAAACTTTAACTTTGGTCCAAATTGACCCAGATCAAATCGGTCTGCGATCAGCTTTACTATAGGCTTACCTAGTCTGGGTTTTTTTCTGTTCACAATTAAAAGTTGAATAAAAAGAAGTCCTCGTTACGTTTACCGCTCTTGTCGGCCTATATCAGCAGAGCTAATTTCGGTATTAGATAGCAAGGTTTGATACGCATACAAAACACAGATAGTACAAAACAGAATATATCAACCAAAGGTTTATAGATTTGTAAGTTTAAATAAACAACTTATACTTTTCACATGTGGATACGACTGTACAGTAGTAACTACTTTCATGTGAAGGTTTTTGGTTTCGTTAACGAGGATATATAATACGCCAAAACACGATCATGTTTGAATTATATCCGCAGAACCTATGACCGGGAAATCCTTGGCCAAGATCAGCAGTTTTTCCTTTCTCTGTATAAACAACAAAGAAAAAAAAAGATTTAAAAACAAAAATGTCAAACGAAATTGTATAATTTTCAAACATCGTTGCCTATTTTTATAGGTTAAAATTAGATTTAGAGTTCGAAAAAAACCTTGTCATTCGAGTTTAAATAAGAGTATACATGTGTGCGTGGCCGGTTTTAAACAGTATGTTTAAGACCGGTTGGAGTCTGGAAGCTGATAATTACATTATATAATAATTTGTAATGTATGCAGGGCCCCATTGGAAACCAGTTTAAAACTGTTAAGCCATACCCTGGGTAAAGAAATTGGATCAATAAATGAATAAATAAATATATGAGGAGATTACTATAGGTATCATTGTTCTTTTACCTGCTTAAGTTTTTCTTGAAGTCCTCCCAGTTCGCTGATATTGTCCCTCTCCGTTGACCGGCAGGTATTCGTAGTCACAGATTCACCATAACCCTTGGACTGCATCATGCTCAGAGTAATGGTCTTCTCATCAACTGAGGCCAGCAGGTACACCTAAAGTACAGGATTTAAATAGACTTATATCTTTCAACATTGGCAACCTAAAGATGTTAACACCAACGTTTGAGGGCACTGGCATCCATCAAAATTATATCAATAGATTTACGTCTTTCAACATATTCTAATATCAATAGACATGCGTCTTTCAACTTTGGGAAGTCAGGTTAGCGCAGTGGTTCTTTCCTCGCCTTCCACCTCTATGTCCCGGGTTTGATTCCTACCCTGGTCCACATGTGGATTGGGCTTAAAGTCCCTGCCTGATTCCGTGGTGTTTTCCCCAAGAATATTTTCCTGGGGTTTTCTTTCCACATCTGACACTTTAATTTCTTCTCACTGTCTTCTCTCCGCATGTTTCTTCGGGCTATAGGGCACTTGTGAGGAATCAAATCCTTGGTTTCATTACCAGAAAGAAATATAGAAACATAAACCGGAAGTACAGGGCTAATCCCACGGAGCTGCTAACAGGAAAATATAGTGCTTAGCAAACAAAACAAAGTAGCTACAATACATCCACATACAATATACAGGATGAGTAAAAAGAAAGGAGCCCAAAAAGCAGGACCAGTTTTGTAATGAAGTTCTGCATGTAGCACTTTCAAAATCTAGGATATGAAACCCCAATTAATAAGTTTTTTTTAGTACATGAATCATTCAATCATACATAATGTACCTTTCAAATTTCAATTTCAATTTTAAAAACACACGCACCGTTTCAAAGTTCTGTCTACGGATTACGAAAAAGGTAAGTGTTCTTTCAGCAAAAAGTTAATAATTCAACTGTTTTCGTTTTGTTGAAAGAACAACTCTTCTTGTGTTACGTGAACAGAACTTTAAAACGGTGGTTGTGTTTAAAATCTCGCATCTTAAAAAGTACATGAGTGATTTTGAATGATTCTTGTACTAAAAGAAAGCTTATTGATTGGGCTTTCATATCCTAGATTTTGAAAGTGCTACATGCAGATCTTCATTAAAAAAATGGTCCTGCCATTAAGGTTCCTTTCTTTTTACTCACCCTGTGCATTGACTGATATCGGGCACTGACTGGTACCCCTTTGTTTTCTCAGCAAATAGTTAGGGTGCTCGGCAGAATTTCCAAGATTCGCAGCAGCACGAAGAAGACCCCAGGGTACATTTTGCCGTACTCGTTATTTAGAAATGGTTTCCAAATAACAGTATCCTTTGGCGAATCTATCCACAACAATTAATTTAGATCGAGTTAGTTGGGAGTATTACCTTTGGGATGAAATTTAGGCACAGCACCGCCGTGTTGACGACCACAATGGCTGCCCCCAGAACCAGAAACGTCATAGTGACGTCGTCACCAAGGACAGTCATTGTTGGCACAGCTAGAGCTATTGTCAAGACAACGACGTACACTGACGCGGCGATGTATTTACCTGCCACCAAAACAAAACCACCATTTATTCGAACAGTTTCATGTTTTATACATAATATGACGTAAGGTGGCCCTGAATGGACGTCAAACTACATATTATGTTGCGAGGTGGCCGCGTGGAAAGACGTAAAACTCGTGAGTTACTTTCACACTAAATATGTAATACATTTTATTAATGGTTTTAACCCTCAACGTTCGTGGATTCGATTCCCGCCCGAAATTTTTCTCGCAATTTTCCGGATGGTAGTTTTGTCGGTGAAAGCAAACCAATGGTGATTTTGGGTATTTGTTTTACGTTTTATATTCTTACTGTCGTTGAGTTGAGACACGGCAATATTTCTTGTCTCCCAGGCTAAGAAAAGGCCAAAGGTCAAGAGAATTCCCTTCACGCCGTAGAGGGCGATGGTGAAGTATTGAGCACGCTCACTGCTGCAGTATCTGATCATTGGAACGTTGAAAATCTCCTTCTCTGGATCCGTTGTGTCAAGCTGCATAAAGCAACAACATTAACACAGAAAAGTCAATAACTTACACATCAGATATCTTCACATTGTATTAATTCTGCTTTTTAAATCATTTGCATAAACTTAAATCATTTAGACGGATGTTTAATGTACACCTACCCGGGGCTCAAGATATCGACTGGCAACAGTCGTCGTGTCCAAGGCAATCCACACGGCAAAAATTACGCAATCCACGAACACAGCCGTCAGAACTCCACCAATGAGCTTCCAGTCCGGTAAGTGCTGTATGGCAAAATTTGGGTGTTAATTCCGTTTCACATGTCGAGAACTGTACGCGCACTTTAGTGTCTGCTGCCACCAAGAGTCCTGGACGGCTCCAATGCATACGTTCAACTGCAGAATTCAATTGGCTCGTATTAGTTTGACTTCGGTTGCGTCTTCGGTTTTGGCTTCAGTTCTTGTGCTGGATTTATAAGGACGTTGTAATCGCTCGATACACATTAAAAGTCATCAAAAGTACGACCTCAAGGCCCTTTATGTGCCCGTAAAAGAAAATAGACTTTTAATACCGACAGTTTCTTAAGTCTGAGAGTCATACAGATAGAGGCCCAAAGCCGAATCCAGACAGCACGCTCAAATGAGGACATAAACCATTCCACCAATTAACATACATTTGTATTTATGTCTTCCACAGATTCTCTTGAACTGACTTGGTACAGTCTTAACTAGAAAATAAGCCACCATTTTGTCCAAAATGTCTTTTTTCCCCAGGGCAATAGGTAAAGAGAAATTAAGAATTTGGGTTTGCATTTTCCTATTAAGCCTATTATTTTCATTTCGATATTTCTTTACATCATACATTATTTAGATGTTTTTCGCACTCTGAACTGGAAGATATGGTGTTCCCTTTTTCTAGACAGAATGCTGTTTTCCCAGAGATTAGGTCCTACTTACAATTCGTTTAAATCTCTTCACTGCGAGAGTGAATATGGCGTGGATCCTGTACGTCTTCATGAAGATGGCACCGAAAGCAAACGACAACCCGAGGGAGACTAAAACCCTCTCCAGCTGAAATAGACATTGAAAATAGACACAGGAATTAGTTTGTATCAATTGAAATCGTTGAAATTGGTAATCAAACCACGGCACAGTACATTATTAAAAGTTTACACTTTCTAGTCTTGTTTGACAACAACTTCGGCTTACATGACACTTGACGATGATAGCCGTATCCGACAAGCCTTTCTTGTCCCATCCTGTGGCGAAGACCGAGGCGTAGAGAAGCAGACAACCAACCACAGTCAGGTTACCAAGGGGAGGACTCGACATCTTGATGGCCCTGGAACATGAATAAAAAAAGCAAAGCGCTGATAAGCATCTGTGTGGGAATTCTGGTTGGCAAAGTTGTTTTTCCCTTCTGTATTTAATGTCTGCCGAGGTTTACTTTACCTTCTATTTTTGTATCTAACGTTAAGGAAGAGGAAAGCCAAGGCCAGGACAGCACCGAGCGAGGCCAGGGAGAAGAGAATCGCCCGTACGGTAGACGAGACCTCTAGGACCACATATCTTATCGTTGCACCATCCACTGGAACATGGCCACCTGCATAAAGATACAACGGCACAGACGCATGATTCCAGTCGTGCTTCTCCGATTCATGACTTTTTGGTGTCGACAGAGTGAGCGCATTTTCGTATAAAAGCTTTAACTATATATACGCCAAAACTTTCGCACCGACGTGTGACGTTATCATTAATAAATCCACGGTGTTCAGAAACTTTATATAAAATTTAATGTGCACGTGATGAAATGCTAACTTTCGTTAATTATAACTTCAGCACTACACAGAGTGAGTTAAAAAAAAAACACCGAAAAACAAATGGCAGGACCAATTTTTGGATGAAGTTTTGCCTGTAACAATTTCAAAATCTATGATATGAAAGACCAATCATTAAGCTTTCTTTTAATATAAGAATCATTCAAATAGCTCCTGTACTTTTCAAGTTTTGTATTGAATTGTGTACACAAACACGTTTTTGAAGTTCTGTCCACGAATCACAAAAAAAAGGTAAGTGTTCTTTCAGCAAAACGAAAAACAATTCACATGCATCCCTATGAGAATATCCCAATGATAAATGTTTTCGTTTTGCTGCAAGAACACTTACCTTTTTAACTGAATATGTTCCAGTATAAGCAAAACCATAGTTGATGAAGTGTAAAGAATCAAGTGCTCAATGAATTTAGTAAAAGGAAATGTAATCGGTTGCTACAGTGACCAATGTAATTAAAAGGACACGCACTGTGGGCCGTTTATAACACTCGCGATTGGAGGGACATACGATATCCATTGTACGCAGAAGTTGAATGTACTGGAAAGCAATTTCAGAAATTAATTCCGACTCATTAATTAAAAAAAAGATTTAAAACTTCGTGAATCTTTATAACAAAATAAAGTAGTCTCTCAGGCCATTTGCGTTATGAATTTATATACTTTACGTTTATGATTTAAACGAATGTAGAGACCCTGCGGTAAAAATCCGGAGTTCACTTGATTTAAGTATACATACCGTTCCCGTATAGATTCAACGTTCCTTTGTCAATGAAATATTTAATCAGTCAGAGTAAAATCCAATCCGCTTTAACCTCCCTATGAATGCACCCCATTTTATTCATCTTCCACGAACGTCAATGGATGAGTATTTGAAAGCCATCTTGCTATGCCGTTAATATTATTATATTACCGTCGTTTTACAAAACGTCTTTCTTCGCAGAACTGGCATTATGACTACCGTTCAAAAAAAGATTAATGTTTTACCTCTCCACTTGATATCAGCAAATCCCGAATTCACCACGATATTCTCCCGAATCTTGTACAACATGACGTTATTCAAACTCGTATCTGCATGTCAGGGAGTAATAATGCTGGAACTTAACATTTTAACCTTTTGAAGTTGCACCTAAATTATTGTTTTAATTACATACAATAGTGTTTAGCATGTTAAGTGCACTCATTTTATCTGTCTTTATCACTTACATTTTCCTGCAAGTAGGACCTTTTATGTGATTTTATCCTTGAAATTAACGTCTTAAACTGCACTTTCGTCTATATTGTCTTTTTCATATAGACATATTGTTTTGTACCCGTTCGTCTCTTTGGATTTTTATTCGTTAATGATCTCCCTTTAAACCCATTTTATATTTTTGTTTATTCCTATTTGTTTCAGTATTTGTATGTACTTTTAATCCTTTTAAATTGCTAGGTTTTTTTCTTATATCCTTCTAAATTGCTTTTTTTTTTTTTTTGTAAATCCTTTTAAATTGCTAGGTTTTGTTTTACTTCTTATCTTCTTAGGAATTTAATGCTCAGTACCCTGTGGGAGACACATTAAATGTGAACGGGCCACTTTGATTTAAAAAAAAAAAAAAATAAATAAATCCAACAATAATGTCCCATTTTGCCATAAATTGTCACACACAACATTCTTGAAAACAATAATAATTACCGTATATACGTTCCTTTCAATGTTTTAGAGAATTATTTTAAAAAATCTTTGACACGGAACAACTTCAGCTCCACCTTGAGAGACGGACTTCCTTGCTAGATCCAGAGTAACTTCTTGTATTAAGTTATCAGTTTATATAATTTCTAAACAAGCTTTTGATTTCATTCATTTATTGAGGCCAAATACAAAAAAAATAAGAGTAATAGTTTAAACCGTTGATGCATGGCGCTGTTTCCGGACCAAATGACATCTAAATTTTTGTGAGAAAAATGCAGTAAAACCTCAGAGTTATTATTTGATTTTTTGAGGTATCCATTTTATCTGAAGGTAAAATGGAATATAACATGTGGATTGATGATTGCACCTTGAGCCTGGTCGATGAAGACTGTATCTGCTTTGCGCTGTCCATTCTCAATGCGAACTGGCCCCTGAAAAGGAATAAAACTACTTGTTAAAACACGAGCATGTACGTGCGTGACATGGTTGTGCATATAGCTCGTAAGATCATGTTCAATGAATGGCCTTGCCTTTTTGGTATTTGCATGATATGCTTGGCATAGCAATGGAAAAGGAGTTATAAGTTGAAAGCCATTATCACATGAAAAAAAGCCATTACCGATAATCCAAGGAACTCCATATTATCTGCGTGACTTAATATCACTCCCGCCATCTCCGTGTCGGAGTAGCTGAAATCTTCAAGTCTTCGGTGGTGCTCAAGACGTCTTAAGTCCGCTATGGAGGAATTCAAGGCCAGTGCTACGGAAATGATGCCGTCATGCGTCAGTGGTATGATGTTGTTACTGAAGGGATAGATGCTGTTGTAATAGTCGTAATGCTCCGGCAAAGGTTTCTGCAAATTGTATCGAAGAAAGACAGAGAGAGATGTTTTCATGAACAGTGGCGTAAACACTGAGTGGCGTTTACGATTAAATTTCACTCTAATTAAAACGTCTCGTCCATAGTTTCCGACTGTGGGAGTGAATCTTCACTCGAATGGAGTGAATTTTCACTCTTTGGAATTTAGAGAGTAACACGTGTCAATGTTCTGCATTAACATTTTTGTTTTCCTGTTGCACGTACCAACCCATTGAAGTCCAGTTCTGGTAGGCCTAAGCCCTGATGCGAGCGGTAATTGAGGTTGAAATGGATGGTTGAATCAGCAGCAGCAATGATCTCCTCGGGCTTACACGGCGCGGTAGCCGACGGGGGGTTGTTCATCCACCACGGGTAGGTGGTCCAGTAGGGCGGTATCCACACGTACTTCGCATTAGTCATGCCGGCAATATAGGCCTGTACCAAGGAAGCCAATTCTGATAGTTTTGTAGGCATACGTTTAAAAGGTAACCCGAGGGTTTTGTCATAGCATTTACAATACACCTATTTTTTTTCATTAGACATTAGCCGTGAGGATAACCAACAGCTGTTTACTTTTAATGTATCGATCCATAAGCCCCGCTTCGTGTTGTTCTGACCAATCACAGTCGTGATATGTCTGACATGCGCGCACAAAAGTCAGACATTGCGTGCACGCGCGTATGACGCGCGCGGCTGGAACTTGCACAAAAAAGGGGCATTGGAGAGAAGCGTTAATTACCCACGTGCGTAGTAGGCGGGCTTACTGGATCAGTCTATCCGGTTCGTTAGTTTGACGTCACTGCAGTTTAAACCACGCCCACTGAACATTAAGTAGCATTGGAACCGGACGTTAACGCAACTTAAGCCAATGGGCGGTAGTAATTAGTGGTGCGCGCGCGTATAACGAATTCACTAACGAACCGGATTACAATATGACAGTGTTGATGACATTGTGTTGTTGGTGTCGCGGATCGGAACGTAACTTCATGATCATCAGAACCATTACTATCGTCATTGACGTTATTCTCGTCATTGTCTTTGATGTAGCTGTCATCATTTCACTATCATAATTTCAATTCTCATTGTTTTTCAATGTATGTATTCTCGTCATGTTAAACATGAATCTCGATTCCTCGTTCTGCATTACAACTTCCACATAAAAAGGTAAAACATTTACATTATAAAGAATAACTGCCGAGAGTTAATATATATGAAATACAAATTTAATATACATCACAATATTTTCAAAAATATATATTTATATATGTACATTCTTCATGTCATTGTCACCTTTTTGATTGCCATTATTTCGTCACAGTCACCAATGTCTACTCTACAGTCGACCGATGGTCGTAATAAACTTCGAAAAAGTCCGTAAACTAATCATCTTATTTCACTGACTTAGTACCTGACAGAAAAGCTTCAGTACGGCGGCCCTGTTGGAGAATCCAGTGTAAATAATTCTGACGTCTTGACGCTGAAATACAAGAGATAAAAATAAAAATGTTAAGAGCTAGGTCCAAAATGCACGTCATAATCCGTCTAAGATCGAACATTTTGAGATTCTTTCTTCTTTTGTTTTAGCAGGTTCAAAAATACACCAAGGTATTGGAGAAATAATTAATACAAAATAAATACCTTTAGGTTTTGAAGATGTACTGGCAACATACTCATCAGTTTCACTCCTTCGGACGCCACTACCTTGATCCCATCAGCTTCCAAAATCTTCCGGAAGTCTTTCGTATGCTACACAAAATAAAAGCAAATACGCGAGCTTTTTGTAGTATTTGACTTTCAGGGCCCCGTACTTATAGTTTGGCCAGCCTCGAGCGACAGATATATTTCACCAGTAATTGAACAAAAAAATAACGAGAGGAATTGAATGATATTGTAAACATTTTGTACAGTGAATTCACGATCTGCGTCAATGTTCCTCCAGGCAATCCTTCAAAATACAATGTCCGTATTCAAACGGTCCCCGGTAATTGAGAGTTAAAAGGAACCTGTCAGGTGTAATTACAAATATTCTTTCCAACTGTTTTAATAAAAACAGACGTTCAGCTAATGCAGCAACACACGACGGCTATTTTATGCTCACCATTCTTACGACCCTTCATGGGAAGACACGTTTCTTTTGATACTTGGTTAACGCTATAACTCTGTACAGGTTTTTTCGAATATCATATTAGAATTGAAAGATTGAGGACTATCAGCGTTAATGTTGCTGGCAATGATGTACATTATACTAATTGTATCATAACTTTTATTCAAATTTTCAACATTTCTACTTTTTTTTCTGATTTAAATTTATATTCATTACATGTACTTGTACTTGTAACAATGTTTTTTTTTTCCATGGTCATTTTGGTATTCTAATGAGCTGGTCTTTTGTAATGGTTCATAAGAAAAAAAATCATAAACTAACCATCCATAAACTTACCATTTAAACAATTCGAACACAAGATAACGACTGTAAATTTTAAAAAGGTGTTGGTCACTTTGAGTCTACGATTCGAGCAAAAAAATAGCGCCATCTTACGTTTGGGAAAAAGGCGTTTTCCTCGAAGATGAATGCGATTCGCTTCCACCCCATCTTCTTAATAAATGCAGCCCCGCCCACTAGTCGTTCCTTCTCACTCGGGTAGGCTCGGACTGTGTACGGGTAGGCAGACCGATCTCCTAAAGCTGGAGTTGATGATAAGCCGATCTGTCGGGTAATATTAACCAAAATGTATTTCCAAATTGAATCGTGCAGCATTTGCATTAAATTGCAGAATTATCTTTGCAGAAATGCTTAGCAAATTTCAGGAGTGTATCTAGATTCTACTGCAACGTATTGGGTCATTAGAAATACAAATTCTACAATTAATGTTATGGAATGTTGTCCATGCAAATCAAACCGCAGTTCTAACGTATAACTATGATTTGTATGGTACACATTTTTATGGTACGTCTTATGGTACAGTTCTAATGATCCATAACATTGTGAACTACTGGTAGGTTTTATGAAAATAATGAATCGGGCGACAAGGATCTTTTTCTTTCTTTTTTTAATTAAGGGGTTCTTTCCCCAACCGCTTTGATTGATATTGGTAATGCCTCATGATCATCAAGGACTCGACTGCAATTAGGCCTACTGTTCAAACCTAGGGATAACGGCAAAACATGAGAGAAGGCAGTGCCGCAGGTTGTTTGCAATATAATGAATGAGATTCGTCATTGCACTTTGTCTCGATTTCTGAAGCCGAAATCCAGAGTGCCGTGGCCTCGTGCTCATGAGCATTGTAATCGTGGTCTGCAAAGTAATTCTGCAGGTTGTGGGTTCGAGTCCAGCCTGGGGTTGTGGTACGTGTGCCCTTGGGCAAGGCACTTTGTCACTCATTGTTTCTCTCCACCCAGGAGTAAATGGGTACCTGTGAGGGCAGAGATGGTTATTGTGGTTGATTTGAGCTGCTTTGCACCGAAATGGCAGCATCGAGCTGTATACTCCCAGGGAGCTGAGAATATCTTTGGAATGTTTCATTGGCCCAATAAGCAGGGTAATCATGATGTAGCACCTTGAGAACCAATACTGGTGGATACGTGCGCTTTATAAATACAAAACGAGAGTAACAATAATGAGGTATCGCAATTTCATATTTATCGCAATTTCATCGCAATTTCATAATGTTCACTCTCGAATTTCTTCCCTGTCAACTGTAACGTTAAATCGGGACATGAGGCCAATCGGGGGGAAATGGTAAATAAGTGAAAAAAGAAATTAGCTGACCTGAACGATGTTGAACCTTGCCGCCACCTTGTTGACTATAAGCGCCTCCTGTGACAGAAGAGGCCCCCATATAATTGGAACAGGTGCTCCGGTGTAGGCTAGGTTGTACAGTATCCGCAAGCCTTCCTCGGGATCAGCTCTCTAGAAAGAATACGATTCAGTTTGCTGAAAAGGTCGTTCATGTTCAATTTAAGAGCATTAAATCGCAAACTTTTGTCTTGTAATTAAAAGAAATAATGTTTATTTACGTAACGTCATTCACAATTAAAAGAAAAAGCGATTCAGGCTCAACTTTAATAATTAATATGCAAGGCTTCGGGAAAATATTATGCTACAACTATATAACAGAAGGCACAATAAAGAAAAAAGCATCTAAAACACTTAAATCGAATGTAAATTTTACAAGTTATACTTGAAAGGATCAATAAATCCTCGATCCTAGAGCCACGGAGTAGAAGATTGTGGATGGCCTCGGCGTTTGATTAAAGGTGTATTACGGCCTAAAATCCCTAAAAATATTGTTTTGGATTGTTTACGTATCTCATTTCAAAGGTCTGGTTGAAAGGAAACTAACCTCATGTCTTATCGTTCCCGAGAAAAGACGAACAAAAAAAACCCCGGTTGTTTACATCGGACGCGGCGGACATTTTGTGGCATACGCATACGTATTTCTAGCCGTGTCCATTCAATGTATGGCCTACACGTTATGCGTTTCACATTACACACACCTTACTTATTTGTCGCACGTCCGCATAATTCGATGCACTGTGCGGGCGGATTCACGACTAGCACTCAACAGGACGATTATTGAGAGTCAAAATTTAGACACCCGAAATTCGTTCTCGCAAGAATAACACAAAAACGCCCAGAGTTTTAAAGGATGGTTGGGTGGACGTTTATACTTGAAAATGCTCTTTCCAATTAACATCATTTCGTTTAAAACATTGTAGCCAAATTGGCGCATTCCAGTACGTAATGTCCCTTTAAAGATTGTCTAAAACTGGAGAGATAAATTGTTTAGTTCTCCAGGTCTGATTTACGGAGCGATTGATTATAAAGGGGGTAGGATGACAAGTTCAATATTGCGAGAACATTGTCGATTGCCCGTACAGGTTTCACGGTGTAGACTATAATTTATGTTGAGTGCGTCGAATTTGTTAATAGTCAACCAGTGCTGATGTTTGTTCCGAAGTGGCGGCGCCTCTAAGTTAAACACGAGTTATTACAGAAATGTATTCCATCCGACGTTCGTAATGTCATGCATACTCGCTGTTTTACTTGATTGGTTCACTCACAGTAACGACAGAGATGTATAATTGACGGCCCAATACGAAAACTTAAATATACTATATGCTACTTAAAAAGCCACCCAGTTCATATTAATAAATATGTGAAAAAAATATTCATTTTGGTCTTGTAGGCCTTATATAGTGATGCATTGTCAGTGTTTATACATAATTCGTCCTTTCGGTTGCAAAGATATAGCAGGAAATTGACCACAATTATATGCGAATTTGAACCGAAGTGAATGGAATACAGTTGCCCTTGACTTTCCATATGACATGCTGTTCCGTTTACAATTAAATATGAGAGGTTATATTATTCAGTTGGCACAAAATTTAAAAGCTAATTAAATTAAATATTTATTGTTCCGTTTCCCGGAGTTGCATGTCACCGCACGAGCAGCTAAAATAAAATAAATTTATACACGACTTCAAAACGTGCAAGAAGAATTCTGGCACAAGCAAACGACGAACGTAAGAAATGAAAAATGAGGCTTTCAATTAATATTGGACAATGACATGCATGTATTCCCATAATCTGATTCGGTTCAAAAAATAATATCGATTGACAGTGTGTTGAGACATTTTCTTTGACTTTTTTATGCGAATATAATTGTCATACACATGGCCAACTTTCTTCTATTTTCATTATTATCTAGAAACAGCCTGCGTTTTATTTAATTAGAATGCCACGGGCGAAAACGTAAACCAATTTGATGGCATTTCATATTTCAAACGAAGGTTGGAATGATATCATTTTCTATCGCCAACTCTGTTTTGTGTATATGACTCAATTGGGTTACAAGGAAGAGCCGTGAAGGCGTTAAATTTCAGATTCCACATGTCTCCACAGGGTATCGTGTAACAGATCATGACCATATAAGCGCCTACCCATGATTGCCCGATTTTCCAGCGCACGGATACAAGCTTAATTACAGTCACACACGGAATACTTTTATCGATTTCCGGCGGAGGATTTAATCGAACGGAACAGTTTTGAAGACTTCATTCTTCGAGTGAGGATTTATGAGATTTTCCACCTTTTTGGCTTATTCCGATTTTTTTTTCTAGTGGTCGAGTCAAGCAGTCTGGTGCTTTGGGAGACAATCGGCGGTCTCTACAATGTGTATACATCCACACGGCGGACCAGACAGTTGTATGCATGTCGAAGTGTACTCGAATGCTTGCAATGAAGTCAGATTATGAGCTGCATGTATTGTTTTCGGAAGACTTTACCATTCTGATTCCACAGATATAACAAATGTAAGTTGCATGCGACTCTAGCATCGTTTCAGATCGCTTTCCTTGCTTCCTCGTTGCTTGTCGCAGCGCTTATAGACATGGCAGGATTTTTTAGCTACGCTCGTGCGTGGCAGGAATTATTGTTAGCTATACACACGGCGTGTTGAGGTAGCACAGGCAAGCATGCCACGGTTTGGCATCAAGGTAAGCCGTGTTTTTTTTTCTTCTTTACTGTCAACACGTCTGACTAAGGCAGTGCCACAAGTATTTGTTCGCCCCCGATGCAATCCACAAAAGCAGCATTAACCAGAACAAAATAAACAATACGTGACTCGGGTTGAAATGGAAAGCAGCGAACGAGGATGCGGGACAACTTTGCCTCCACTATTTACGCCATTAGCTGCAATTGCATTGGACTCAGCTCTGTAAAAGCTCACCGTGTGTGACTGTTAATATTCCGTTGTGGTTAATCTACCTCGCGTTGATCCACAACTGACAATGCGATTCTCCTGTGACCTAGTTGACAGTGAAACTTACCGCTTCGGACCGTATACAACGTAAGTCGACGGTCAACGCCACAATTTTGAGGCTTACGGCTACCCGCATTGGGTTATAGTTACGTTTGCAACAGTCTCCGGTATTTTTAAGCTATGGCAGGAGCTTCTACATATCACTTTGGTGTCGGTTGGTCGGTCGGCGAAAAATTGACCAATTTTTTATTTTACAAAAATTGAGCAAATGCCATGCCGTATAGTCAGTAAATTGTTTGTAACCATTAGTATAGTCAAATTGTTTGTTACCATTCGTAAAGTTGTTTATGCAATTGTAAACGGAGGCAAGATATGAGCAGTATTGTTACAGTTTCGCGGTAATTTCTATAGTGCTTGGACGGTATCCAGAAGGAAGAAAATGAAAATTGTGCACTCGAATTTGTTTACCAAAAAGTCCGATGCGGACTCGGCTATTGTGTTTGCAAAGTGGGCTACCTGTACATGGTAGCAACAAAATCAACACCTAAGATGGCTTTATCTTATGAGCTTTGGACTAGGGAGGCATTTTCTGACTCGAAATCCACCTTAAGCGATATTACTTGAATGATGACCCAAAGCGATATCAAGTCTTGAATGATTAATGATGAAAGATTCCCCGAACGACCAGCACATTGTCAAAACGAGAGGGGCCCTTATTATGTACCTTAACGACATGGCAATATGAAAAACAATAATAGGAATGAGCATGATAATCTTCAATTGCAAAACTAAGGGCAAAAATTGCTCCCCAAAAATTGGGTTCGGCAATTATTTGATTTTACAGCTTTATTAATTCCAACTGAAAATCTTGCATTGGAAAAATGACTTCAACCCTAACTTCAATATAATCTGCCTCGCTTAAAGCTTCGCTTAGAGTCTTCGCCGAGTTTCATAAACTATTAGTGACGTGGAATTTATCGTCGATTCTCTCATGCTAAGAGCGAATCCTTCTGCAAAAGCAAAAGTTTTAAAGGCAATTTGTACTAAGATAAACAAAATCGCTTATTCTTTCCAAAATATCTCTTACCCCAGTCCAGTTCCATCTCATGCTCAGATGGTAGCCGTCCAGAATCCCATCCAAGCCGTTGACGTGATCTAGTGCCGTCTGCGCCACCTCTTGCTGCATACCTATGGAAGGGCTGCCCGGGAAAGCGAACAGGCCGCCCACGTGTATCACGCATTTCGCGCTAAAGGTTGCGTTCTGCGAGTTGTTACGATCCGCGGACAAGTGTGCCGTGAACACGAACAGAAGCAGCCCGAGTGCTGCGGACACCGCTCTCCGCTGCGAGGCGCCCATCGTAGAAAATGGCAAATAACCAGACATGCAAGCAAGCTTTATATATCACCCACTGACAGAAGGACTCGGCGGTTGTACGTCAGCGATTGGATGGAACACGATCATAATTTTTTATACATACGTGTTGATTGGTTGCAGCTTGCAAATTGTTTTATTTTATTACATGACGTAAGGCAGTATACCCTGGACGTCTGTATAATAGGCCTAGTCGTGTACCTCGTAACACAGCATAGGCCTACACATGATAAGATTGTGTGGTTTTCTGCCTTGGTCGTTTCTATACCACAAAAGAGTTGTCAAGACGGCTATAATTAGAATGTGTCATTTAACAGCAATCTTAAAGATTACCATATCTATTTTTTTTTTAAATGTACACGGAGGTTGAATATCGCTGGGAAACACGCTCCGGAGAAATGGTATAAGGTGTAAAACAGTATTGTAATCAATGTAGCGTGAGATTGTACGGCAAGCTCAACCATAATAACTACATTTACATCGGTCAGTTGAGCACAGGGCGAGTGGCACTCAAGCGATAAAAAAGGAAAATAGAGCTGTAGGCTACTATAGTATCAACACCCGGTTATTAACAGGGGGCAAAATAACGCAAGTAATCGATGAAGGAGCCGGTGACAAGTTTTTTTAATTAAATAAGAGCAACCTGTATTGTTAAGTTGATTTATCACGGTTACCGTGGAAACTGTACGACGACAACAATATTTTGTAGGCGTAAGGCCAGTCTTGTATAGTGGTGCGCTCGCCGTTTTGAAGCAAATACCAAAGTGAGGAACTGCTGGCTGGTATAAAAACCCGCGTAAAATGTTGGTGTTCGTTTTGGCTTTTGGGTTTGTTGGTTTCCTCTCTTTGCTACCCGTGCGAGGGAAGATGTGTAGCGCCATGATCAAGACTGCACCCGGTGATGATCTGACCGCGCTTCGTGACAAGGCTTTCGCGGCTTTCAAAACAGAGTGCCGTGGTACACAAGACAATCTCGACAACACCAAACGTAAGTGATTAAAAAAAGTAGTTGACAGCGCCACTATAGTAGGCCTATGCTGTCCTACGGGGAAAACTCAGAAATGGCGGTTTCCACATACAATAATAAGCACGAAGCGCACAAAAAGGCGTGTTTTTTAATGAGAAGAATCAATGTGCACTAGGCCTATAAGCAAAATTAGATTTTCTAAAACGAGCTTTTGTTAGCGTTAATCGATACAAAGGCCTATGCAAAGTAGGAGGCGAAGTAACGGGGCATAATTGAACATGGGGTTTCATCTGAGGGCCATAAAGTTGACTTTTTCCCGTGGTTAAAGGTTTTTGAAATAAAATCATTTTTCTCACTTCCCTTATTATAATTGTGGTACATGTATCGCCATTTTGGAGATGTTTTAAGCCCCTGTGGGTGTTTACAATTCAATATTCATAAGCAAATAGTGAGGTAATTGTAGGCTCAAGATAAAGGAGCTTATATTTTTGGCACTGTTCTCTTTTACGGGCTGTCATTTTTTATTTAGGTACACAGAGGTACACACTCAGACTGATTTAAGGTTAAATGTTAGTCACAGATATACATGTAATCCCAAGAAAGCTCGTGGATTACCCCGTCAGCGCCCTCAAGTGTCAGAAAACACAATAATACCCGTACATTTATAATGGCTCTTAAAAAAACAATGGGCCTTTAAAATGATTGTGGTAGCCCTGTCATATTAATGCTAGTACATATTTTCTTATCCACATACACGTATTGTATTTTCTTCTGCTCACCTCTTTATGATTACACAGCTTGCGCGTTCACTCTGGAGAAGACCTGGCCTCCAGTTGCCACGTTCATCTTGGAGCCGCTGAGGGCGCCTTTCCGGTTGGACTTTGATGTGAAGGCCAACCGCGATGCTATGATAGTCCTGGCGGAGGAAAAGACAAACGCATCAGTCTTTGCCTGGATAAGTGAGTGCCACCAAACTATTGTTTAGTTACTTTTTTTGTTTGATTTTGTTTAAGTGTATCTCAAGATCCACTCAAGGGGTGTGATCAACGGCCTGGGGAATTTCATGGTGTTCGGAAGGAGACATGCACAATTTATTTTTTTTTGAACGAGATATGTCTCGTGAAACCATCGTAGGCAATCGAACGTTCTTGTGGAAGTGATATACAAACTCATTGAAATAAAATATTATCCGCTTTGAAAAATAACACGACCATTTTGGGGTTCATAAGTTATTACCTCTAGCTTGAATACTTTATTTTCATTTGCCTAAAACGATCACGTGTTAAGTTTTAAAAATGTCATGGCACATTCCCTGTGGGATATCACGTACGTGATATCCCACAGGGAGTGTGCTACGACTTTGTACGTACGGTACGTACGGTGTGAAACGCTCGTATCGTTGGTACCCACACTATTTTCATCATGTTTTCACACATGAGTGGGAGCAGCGAACTAGCAGACGATCAACTGTTTCGAGCACGCGACATGCATGTGAGTTGGCATTTGATTGTCATGATTGTTGTGTTTACTGCTGTTTGTTTTCGTGATTTTTATATCAAATTCCAAAGAATCCAAGCCAGAGGTATAGTATAACAAAACAATTGTTGACCGCTGTGATGTGGAATATGACGTTTTGAACACCCTCGGGCGCGTAGCACCCGGGTGTTCAAAACGTCATATTCCACATCACAGCAGTCAACGATTGTGAAATGACACTTACAACTTTTAATAATCTATCATTCTACAGCCATGAACGCTTGGGAGAGACAGAGGTCGGCCATCCGAGCCTGTTTTTTGTATGACTTACAAGAATGCGTTCAGTTGTTGGGTGGGCGTTCAGAGCACACCGAGGTAGATATCATCGTCGATAGTGAAAGTCGCCCCTTCTGGATGGAGTACAAACACGGCGTGGTGACCGTCGGCAAAGGAGGACAGGAGGAGGCTTTCTTGGAGTGGGACGCCGCTGCGTATCATCGTCGCAACATATCAACGCCGGTGTACCTTGGTATAAGTGCTTGGAGTTATGGAGGGGTATCCATAGAATGGGTGTTCTACCAATTCTGTGGCTAGGAAAACAAAAGCAATGGGCCGAATAAGGGTGATGTATTTCGAGGTACAGACAGTTGAAATAATACGTACATTGAGACATTTGAGCAATTACAGGGCCTACTTTAATCTTCAGATTTTTTTTAAATGTCGTTTTTATGTTTTTATGTTAATGGCCAAGTAGACGACTGAGACGGGTAAATTTTGACACCCTTTCTAAGTCAGGTAAACATAATTTTATAGTCGTGAAAGTGGTCAGACGAGGGGTATATTGTCGTAGTGAGTGTGGCCCTGTTTTCTTTTCGTTTTTAAATATTTATGCCTATAGTCATAACTAGTCTTTGCAAATGGTGCACCTTTTGTAAAGTTGGTAGTTATAAAGGATTTTCATTAACAATTGTGTCATTTGAAGAGTAGCTTAGAAATGAATATATGCAGAATGTTTTTAGGATGCAGAACCGAGCATTTGTTCAGCATGAGGTAGCAGAAATACAGCGCATTGCTCAACTCAAGATCTCCACACTAGATCAAGTTCCCAATTCATGCAAACTGCCAAATTCTGAAAAACTTGCACAACAAAATTGATTTGAGAGAGGTGGGCCTATATAACAACGTAGCGACTTTGGAATTACGAAAACTAAACCGTGGGTCAAATCGATTTTTAAAAATAATATTGTTGAAATGTATGCCACTATAAAAAAAAAACGAAAGTAAAATAAAGGCTTTTATAGGTTTGATAGGTTTTAAAGGAATCCCTGTGGGGCCTGATATAGGTTTGTTTGTGTGATTTCAATTCGTTTTAATAATCGTGTAAAATAACGCACAGCTGATATTGTATGATGTTCAGTGTTCGCTGTTCTCTTTGTTTCAATTGATATGCTTATAGTCGTAAGTAAACTAGTTTCTGCAAATGTTGCACTTTTGGCAGTTTGGAATAGTTGTAAAGCATGTTTAATTATTGTAAAGCAAGTGTCACTTACAGGAGATTGATTCATATTAGCGGAGAAAAAATGAATTGAGTTTTTTTTTCTGTGACTTCAATTCGTTTTAATATCGTGTATAAAAGAATTACAGAAAATATCTTTAATATTGAATTTTATTAAATTGATCCATAATGTTGAGGTTTATTTTACATGTATTTAGTGACTAGCGATTAGGTCACCTGTGCACGTCTATACAGCCAACCAATGTATCGCAGCATGTATATAATAAATGTGATTTAATGCATATCTTGCTTGTTACTACACCACAAAAGAGTTATAGAGACAGTTATCAATGTGTAATTGGTGTCAATCTATTCAATGAACACCATGATGAGTATTGTTGTAAAAAAGGAAAACCTGCTTTATATGGAAATAGTGCAGGTTGTCGTACCGTAACAGTAGTTATAAAGATACTGTGCGTGCAAGAAGTTCAATTGTTATTAATAGGCAATATAGTCGATTGTTATGGGACATGGAGTGATTGCCAATTAAGCGACGAAGGAAGAAATTGACCTCCGCCCGTTTATTAGTTATTTTAAAACCTGTTGTATGTGGAATATTGCAGGATGTAATACAGTAGTTTGTGTTAAATATAAAGATGTTGTGCGTGCAAGAATACACGTATCAGGTGTCATAATGTGTGTGTGTTCACAAGTTGTTTACGAGTTGATCACTGGCGGGATTGACGTATATCGCCGTTTGCCAGTTAGCCACTCCCCTTTTAACCCCTATGGAACTCTCCGCCAGTTCTCCGCGAAGCGGGCGAGGGGAGTCGAAGCCTTGTTGTGTATTAAATGTAGAGATACTCCCAGCAAGATCTTCAATTGTTATTAATAAAAACAGTCAACTTAGTCGGTTGGATGGGCAGTGATGGCCAATTAAGCGAAGGAGAAAGAAATTGAATTCTTAGCTAATATCCACCCGTTTATTAGCTGGCGGCAAATCTAAGAAAGAATATATATGGAGAAGCTTGACAGTTTTATAATTAAGAAACGTAGTAAGGCTGGATCAATCTTGATGAACCAGTTACACACAATAGCCATTGTTACGGTTACTGTGGAAACAGTATGAAGACAACAGTGGCGGCAAATCTAAGTAAGAATATAAACTGATTATATTGAGTAGCTTGACAGTTTTATAATTAAGAAAACGTAGTAAGGCTTGTTCAATCTGAATGAACCAGTTACACACAATAGCCGTTGTTACAGTTACCGTGGAAACAGTATGACGACAAATGCGGAGTTTGCTGACATAAGGCTCATCGTACCAGGGAGTGGTGCGGTTCCCGTTTTGACGCAGTTACCAAAGTGAGGAACTGCTGGCTGGAAATGAAAAACCCGCGTAAAATGTTGGCGTTCGTTTTGGCATTTGGTTTTGTTAGTTTCCTCTCTTTGCTGCCCGTACGAGGGAAGATGTGTAGCGCCACGATCAAGGCTGCACCCGGTGATGATCTGACCACGATTCGTGACAAGGCTTTCGCGGCTTTCAGAACTGAGTGCCGTGGTAAACAAGGCAATCTCAACGACACCAAATGTAAGTGATGCTACTCCATAAAAACCTGTTAAAAGTGCGTTTATAATAATAACTATACCGGTATGTTGTCTTTTAATACGGGGAAATTCAGAATTGTTGTGGTTACTATATAACAAATTGAGAAGCATTGCCGTGTACTAAACACAGGGTTTTATGACAAAGAATATGTGTAACTTAATTGCTCTATCAATGCATTTGTTAGCAATACCAGATTTCTAAAAAGATCAGTCACATTTGTTTTTACGCTTATTCCAATCTCTTTAAATATTATTATTCATAAGCAAAATAGCGATTTCAATTTAGGCTTAAGATAAAAGGGAATTTAGTTTTGGCAACGGTTAATGTTCTGTTTTACATGTTATGTCGTTTTTTATTTAGGTCCACGGCGAAATGTTATGAACTTTAATGTCAGTTTGACACAAGTCATATCCAAAACTGTACAGTGGATTACCCTATCAAACAGCGCCCTCAAATGTAACAAAACACCATGACATGACGGTCCTTACAAAGAATGAAAGGCCTAGAAACAGGCCCTTGTGGTTAAACCCTGTTGCCAATGCCTGATGAATATATTTCTATTTTGCCCGTTTAAATATGTCTGCATTACCTTGGGTTCGCATAGCTTGCTCGTTCACTTCGGAGCCGTCCTCGCCTCCAGCTGCCAAGTTCATCTTGCAGCCGCTGAGTGCGCCTCTCCGGTTGGACTTCGACGTGAAGGCCCAACGCAGTGCCAATATATTCTTGGCGGAGGAAAAGACAGAAGCAGATGTCTTTGCCTGGATAAGTGAGTGTCGGTGACTAATGGTTCATTTCTTTTTGCCTCCTTTTTTATGTGCATATCGTAAAAACACAAGGCCAAGAGCCACTCAAGGTGTGGGATCAACAGCCTGGGAGAAATGTCATGAAGTTCGAAAGGGGACTAGCCACTTTATTTCGTTCGAACGCGATCTATGTCGGGATGCCATCGAAGGGAACATGTTTTCTCGTGGAAGCTATATATTGAAAGGAGATAATCCGGTTTGGAAATCAAAATAACCTTCCTGGGTTCGACCTTAGCGGTACCGGTAGTCCACTCGCCAAATGCGAGTAAAAACAGCGGAGGACTATAGTCGAAATCATTCTCTCAGTAGTCCACCTGGCGAGTCAAAATTATTGTAACAGGGCATGCAAGGTTTCTGCGAAACCACGGATTTGCGCATTTTAAAGCAAGCCGGTCTTAGAAAAAAAATAGTCTGACTGACGCGCATTCGGCTTATCTCATGCCGTTGCGCCAAGGTAACTTGCGCTGATATTGCTTGCGTATAAACTTTATTTTAGGAAGAACATCGCCTGGCTCTGCGTTTTTACAGCATAGAAAACTACAGGACACAGACTCCATACGCATTCTCCAGCATGGGGTGTAAATTCTGGGGGATGGGGATATATATCCCCCACACACACTTTTTGACCATGGGGGTGGGCTATTGAATAATTATCCACCCACTTTTTCGTGACGAGAAAAAAATGCGGATTTTGAGGTGTTTTTCGTTAATCAATTTTTGTCTAATTTTATTCTCTGTGATTAAATTCTTTTGCCGACTACTGAAAAGGCCCGCGGACCTAAGTGTCTGCTTCACTAGTCTCTCAACTAGAGTCTCTTCAGCTGGCTAGTGAAACGAAAATGAAGAGCGCAAACTGATTAATGACACCAAAAACCTTTGTTTTTCTATAGCAATAGGAAGCTGGGGGATGACAAGTCGGTCGGCCATCCGAGCCTGTTTCGTCCTTGACTTACCGGAATGCAATCAGCGTTTGGGTGGGCGTTCAGAGCACATCGAGGTAGGTATCGTCAATGCGAATGAAAGTCGCCCCTTCTGGATGGAGTACAAACACGGCGTGGTGACCGTCGGCAAAGGAGGACAGGAGGAGGCTTTCTTGGAGTGGGACGCCGCTGCGTATCATCGTCGCAACATGTCAACTCCGGTATACCTTGGTATAAGTGCTTGGGAACATGCACCCGTGGATTGGGTGTTCTACCAATTCTGTGGCTAAAAAAACGAAAGCAATGGGCCGCATGACGGCACTGTATTACATTTTGGAATAATACGTATATCGAGGCATTTTACAAAATATATATAATCTTCAGACTTTTTAAACGATGTGATTTTGGACGTTTTAATAGCAACCCGTAAACTCACGTAAATATTTATGCTGATATTCACGTCTGTTTGTAGGCCTACCCTAAAAATGGCGCCCTCATTCCCTCAACATTATGGCCAAGTAGACGACTAAGACATAAAAACGGCACAGTGTGTTTACACGTGCGCTCATGGGAGCCAAGTGGGGACGAGGTTGACACCCTACCCGATTCCCATAAACGTTTTGGGTTTTTTTCTCGTTTTATTTGCTTTTATAGTCTCAACTGGTCTTTACAAATTGTTGTCACTGTTGTCACTTTGGTAGTTCTAAAACAACACCATTATTCACCATGATATTGTTAAGCAAGTGCAATAGGGCCTAACGTTGTATATAATTTATGTATTATATCGTAGAAATGAATGTAGGGTTGTTTTTGTGATCCTAATTTGATTTCATATCCTATGAAAAAAAGTACAGGTGGAATTTTATTGAAGT